CTCTAGACACGCTCTTGAAGAAAGAGCTGGGCTTCCAAGGATACGTGATGACGGACTGGAATGCGCAACATTCTACTGTCGAAGCTGCGACCTCCGGACTGGACATGACCATGCCTGGCACTGATTTCAACGGCGGGTCTCAGTACTGGGGCTCGAAGTTGACTCAAGCTGTAAGCAGTGGTCAGGTGCCGCAGTCGCGTCTCGATGACATGGTGCGCCGGGTTCTGGCGGCGTGGTACTTGCTAGGCCAGGACAGTGGCTATCCCGCGACCAACCTCAAAGCGAACGTGCTAGGAACTCACAAGACAAATATTCGCGCGACGGCGAGGGACGGAATCGTCCTGCTAAATAACGAAGGGGATATTCTCCCTCTGAAGAAACCCGGCAAGCTCGGGTTGGTCGGCTCTGCTGCTGTTGCCAACCCCCAAGGAATCAACTCTTGTACCGACCAAGGATGTAACACCGGTGCCCTCGGAATGGGTTGGGGCTCCGGAACTGCTTCTTATCCGTATTTCAGCGCTCCGGCAGATGCCATTAAGACGCGAGCCCAGGCCGACGGGACGCAGATAAGCTTGTCCTCGTCTGACAGCACCAGCTCCGTAAGCTCGGTCGTCGACGGGGCGGATGCCGCTATCGTATTCATCACCTCCGACAGCGGTGAAGGATACATTACGGTGGAAGACAATGCGGGAGACCGTAACAATCTTGACCCGTGGCATAATGGCAACGAGCTCGTTAAGGCGGTTGCTGCAGCGAGCGATAATGTGATTGTGGTCGTGCACTCCGTCGGCCCCGTCATACTCGAGACGATTCTGGCGCAACCGAACGTAAAGGCGATCGTGTGGGCTGGTCTCCCGTCTCAAGAGAATGGCAATGCGCTCGTAGACGTGCTCTACGGAGACGCCAACCCTTCGGGCAAGCTGCCGTACACTATTGCTAAGTCTGCCGCGGATTACGGAATTAAAACCAGTCAAGGCAATGACGACTTCAAGGAGGGTCTATATGTTGACTACCGCAAGTTTGATAAGGAAGGCATCGCGCCGAGGTACGAATTTGGCTATGGTTTATGTAAGTTGGCTCGCAATGCTTCTTTTCGTAGAAAAGGTCCATAACTAAATCTATTCCGCAGCGTACACTAACTTCACTTACTCGGATATTTTCGTTGATGGGCGGCCAACAGCGGGCCCTGCGACTGGGGATATCATCCCTGGAGGACATGCTGACCTTTGGGAGACGGTAGTAACTGTTACAGCTACAATTACCAACTCGGGCGCTGTTCAAGGCGCCGAGGTGGCACAATTATACATAGGCTACCCAGAGTCCGCCGCCGCGCCGCCAAAGCAGCTTCGCGGGTTCGAGAAATTGGCCCTAGAGCCAGGCGCCGAGGACATTGTCGCCTTCGAAATCAAGAGGCGAGACTTGAGCGTTTGGGATACAGCGAAACAAAACTGGGTTGTTCCCTCGGGCATTTTCAACTTCACCGTCGGTGCGAGCAGCCGCGATATTCGGCTGAGCGGCACCCTCGAGGTTCCATGATCGGAAAGATGTAAACAAAACTCCTCCATTTACCATGTATATATACCATTACATACAGACATCAGTTTAAACGTAACCTATTTAAGGATACAGTTACATATAGACAGCTAGAACTTTCCATCCATGGTGAATTTGAATACAACACTTATTTATATACCGTGTTTTAAACAAGACAGGTCAGAAATTTTTCCAAAACGCTATCTATTCTCTTGACATGTCAAAAGACAGCAGTAGAGGCTTTTGGTCGTTGTGGATTCAACTCGTAAGTCTAAGTAGATCGATCGTTGAATTAAGCCAAGTTTATCCGAGAGATTTATAATGGTTTATAACATGAAGAGTTGAATGATCAGTAGTTTGACTAGCCATCGAATTCCCCTGGGATGCAAGTGGGAGGTAAATTACGAACCAAATATTAAGTACCAATAAGCATAGTTCGTTTCAAAGGTTTATATCGCTCCATCATTTATCATTGCTCGCGCGTGAGTGTTTTTGGTTAGGAGTTGGGTGCATACCTATACCAACGTACAAACAGAACAATATCAACGGAACAGGACACCTCTTAGTATTCCACCAACGATAATATATAGCGATAGAACATACCAAATCTACTTTATATATATAAACAAATAACAGGATTCTAGTCACTCAGGGAGATAGCCGTCCTCTGTGGCGCAATTGGCTAGCGCGTCGTAAGTCCAATCCACTTGGTTTATGTGAATATTCACATACTAATCCTATCATCGCAGTGACTGTTAATCAGGAGGTTGGAAGTTCGAGCCTTCCCGGAGGAGATGATCTTATTTTTTTCCTTGCGCGAATATCTGCTATGTGAGCTTTCGTTCTCGTGGAAAGAAACGCTTCAACATTTTAGTCCAGGTCTATAAAGGTCATGTTATTTCTCGTCTCGCATTTATACATAAGATTTATCACATTTCACAAATCATATGTTTTATGTGCCACGGGTACCGATAATATTTACAATTTTACTACTCCCACCAGCCGTGTGTGCTAACCAAGAAAGTAAGTAGTATTACGTGCTAATAGTAGGGTATATCCCGCAGTGGGTCGTAAAAATTCACTCGTTTTGTTTAACTATTATAAACTAAAGGCAGCCTTACGGGCTGCATAATATGCCCGAGTTTACATAATTGCGCATGTGCCAAATACTGCCCATTAAGTTACTTTCCTATTTAGGCCATGGAAAAAATTCGACATAATAACCCCTCGTAAACTCGGGCATTACACTACAAGTTTTATTAAACAAATAATTAAATTTATTTATTTTAATAAATTTAAACCATAAATTTAAAATCGTTTATAAAGTTATACCTTTTTTAACCACATTTGTTTTTAACCAATTAAACTTTAAAATAACTTTTTAAAATAATTTTAAATTTATGGTTTAAAATAATTTTAAAACTTTATATATTAAAAACATACGTTTAACTTTTTAAAAAAATAACATTAATAATATTATTAAAAATAATAATATTAACGCGTTTTTATAATAAATAATAATTAATTATATAATCGTATTAATTTTATTATTAAATTTATTAATTAAATTTATGCGTTTTAAGTTTTTCGGGGTGTTAAAAATGGTTATAATAATGGTTATAACGCGTTAACCGTAACATCGGTTATAACGGTAACCGTAATAAACGTTAAAACCGTAATAAACGTTAAAACTTAATATATAAAACCGTATAAATATGTAAAAAAAGTTAAAAAGCTTAAAAAATAATATTATTAACTTTAAATCATTAATAAACAAAATTTTATACGTGGTTATAAAATATTAAATTATTATATTTAAATATTTTATATAAAGTTTAATATAATAAAAACGTTAAAAATTTTTAAACGTTAAAGTTTAATATATAAAAACGCAATATTATATAAGTATATAAAAAAAATAAAAAGTTAAAAAAAATATATTATAAATTTTAAATCATTAAAATTAAAATTATTTCGTACATTATTATAATATATTAAATTATTATAAACATAATATTTAATTTTTTTATCATTAATAAAAACGTTAAAAACCCTTGCAATATTATATAACTTTAAATTAAATATTTTCGAATATTTTACTTATGACTTATAAGTATAAACACACGGACCACGTGTTGCGTGGCGTTTATGGCAAAATAAACGGGTAAAACCCGTTTTAAAAATATCGGGTTTAAAGTCATTTAAAATAAAGATTTATATTTATTATTAAAAGTTTAAAGATTAATACGTAATATTTTCCAAACCTAGTAGTTTTTTTTTTTTTATTAAGGATTACGTTTTATAAACATTGAAATTTTACGGTAGCTAAAATGCCTGTTACAAGTAAATTACTTGCTTTTGACATTGCTTTTTAAGTAATATCACTGGCCTTTTACTAATATTACAGCCGACCATTGCCGCCAACTTTATAATAACCTCTTATACAAATGTAATATTTGCTTAAGATGTTAAGGTAACGAGCCTTAAGGGTGAAGCAAGTATCGTTTGATGGTTTTTAATCATATACATTAGCCACAGTATTATGGACGGATAAAAAAGACTTAATAAGTGAATGATTAATGATTATGTCCATCCTTAAGTTACTTAAAGAAAACGAAGGAGCCATATATGTAGCTTTATATCCCTGTGTACATAGGTGCCTCTGTACCTAGCTATATTACTGTGGCTTTATATTTTGATATCACGTCCACTAAGTCTTGGTATAATGAGCCTCTTGCATAAGAAATGTATCGGCCGTTTCCTCTGCTTCGTAGGATGGATACCTATGACCGCAAGTTTCTTCTAAAGGGGCATGTAACGAAGTCATATATATTCAATCGGGAATTTCAGGCGTATAAGACAACTACGATATCTAATTCACTCTATTATCAATACGAGAAATCGCTTTAATACCAACCAACTTGGTTTTGAGGACTCGAGATATTCCATAAAAGTACACTCGGGAAAGTTATTTAAATATTAAGTACTCTCACGTCAAACTCCATACCTAAAGCCAGCCTTTGACCAGTACAGCCTTATAAAAGATATTGTTTAGTCTAAACATAGATGCAAGATGCCCAGTGTAGTCTTCATTGTTCAAGGTACTATAATCGTATAAAATTATATAGCCAGCGCTGAAGACCGAGGACGCTTATTTAAATGATGTCCGTTACTCGAGGCGAGATACAAGACTAATACCGCAGTACATAGGCCACGAAAACGCCCAAGGAGACATTTTCTAGGTAAATTATACGCGATAGCAATATAATGCAGCGACACCGCAACTAAAGAGACGCTAGAGAAATTAGCGTTCCCTGGCTAAACTTAAGTAAGAAGACTATAAAATTAGAACTGGCTACTAGTACAATTCGGGGGAATGACGAAACTCCTAAGAGGCATCTCACGCGTCTTATACAATATCTATTCCTAACTCAGTTTGACCTTGAAACTAATTCACCGCCTACTTATATTTAATGATAGTCTTAAATAATAGCATCGAACGAGTTTAATAAGGCAACGAAAACGAAACATCGTGAAAAGCGTGCAAGTGAACAATAATGACTAGGCACCTCAAGTACAAGTAAGCAGCTTTAGACTATTTGCAGATAGAATGCATTATCTACCACAATATTAAATATAGCAAGTACACTAACGTAGTACAACTTACAAGAGGCCCGCCTTCCTCTGTAGATCCCCCACTATTGACGTCTTATAGCGCCTCGGGAATCTGGGCGGTCTCAACAAATCTTGCATGCTAAAGAAATCCTTGGACTTCTTCTCAACGCGCCGATTTCGTACGTACGTATTATGCTCAACGGGCCAGATGCCTCATAGAGCTCGTATAGCCCAACATCTTCTTTCATCGACAAGACGAACTCTTTACTCGGGAAGCTTCCAACGTATCCGCAATTTTCCAAGGTACTCGACCGTAAGCACCGACGGTTGGCACGCCATGTCGCAGGCTGAAATTTCCAAGTACCTGAAGCAGACGCACGACCGTGTGTTCGAGCACAACCGTGCCTGGGCGGAGGAGCAAAGAAAGAGGGATCCCGAGTTCTTCGATAAGCTATCCGCAGGGCAAACCCCGGAGTATCTATGGATAGGATGCAGCGATTCGCGAATTCCGGCTGAACAGATCACGGGCTTGGGACCGGGTGAGGCGTTCATCCACCGCAACATTGCCAACCTAGTCGTCAACACCGATCTGAACGTCATGAGCGTCATCAACTACGCGGTCCGCCACCTGCAGGTCAAGCATATTGTAGTGTGTGGACACTATGGCTGCGGCGGTGTTAAGGCCGCCATGACGCCGAAGGACCTAGGGCTGCTTAACCCGTGGCTGAGGAACATCAGGGACGTTTACCGCCTGCACGAGAAAGAGTTAGATGAGATTAATGATGAGAATGAGCGCTACAATCGCCTAGTAGAGCTCAGCGTCGTTGAGCAGTGCCGTAACGTCATCAAGACGGCAGCTGTCCAGAAGTCGTATGCTAAGAACCATTTCCCTATCGTCCACGGATGGGTATTCGGGTTTGAGGACGGTTTACTCAAGGATCTAAAGGTCGATCATGAGGAGATGCTGCACGGTATCCAGAAGATTTACAACCTCACGGAGTGATTGGTCCTCCACGGCAAAAGGACGGCATGCAGTATCATCATTTCATTAATTGCGGTAACAGCGCCAGTCTGACCCGCCTTGTCAGAGCATTATGCTCATGTAGCTATAAAAGAGTCCGTAGAGCCCCGCGGCCATCTAAGGAATGTTTAAACACCTATAAATAACATGGATGTCCCTTCATTGTACATCTGACTTCTTATTCCTAGCTCTGATCCGCTTCTCTGCCTGATACGTGGGTGTCTACATAGGTTCGTCAGAATATGTAAACCTAAACCATTCGTACCGTACATACAGGGCAGTCCACACCGGCCTATTAAATTAATGGCCTACGCCTCAGTGCCGGGTTACCTACATTACTGTTGTGTATTTCTGACTGATAGTCAAACCAATCAGCGGCGGTGGCTTGCCATGTCAGATGGCCGACGCTTGGGTCCTCGCGAGCCCTAGCGAATCGTGGGCGATAGATATCTGTAATAACTTTTGCAAAGTGAAAACGCGACCTTACTCGGCTCCGTCGGTGTCGCTGTTGTCAGACTCCCAGAATCCATGCTCGAAGCTCTTGTTCTGCCTAAAGGCAAACCGTTCCCAGCTCACGCCTCTTCTGACCTTGACGCCGTCGTCGTTAGTTTCGTACCGCCGCGGCTCGAAATCCATCACGGCGCGCCAGTTGCGAATCATCCGCCGCCAATAGCAAGCCTCGGCAGCCGGTGTGAGATAGCGATCCCGGAATACTTGCGCAGACTCTTTTGCGATTCGCCGCGCTCGATCGGGATCTGCCACGAGCCCATCCATCTGCGCTTTCAAGTCCGACCAATCACGCTTCACTTTGACGTAATTCTAGCCAGCGATGTTAGTCGGGTTCCGCAACAACCAGAAGACCAAGGAAGCATACCTGGTGAGGTCCGCTGTCTTTCAAAAGGGGCTGGTAGTGGAAGATGTAATTTAGTTTGTGAATAATCGGGACGCTTTCACAATTCTGTAGATATCGCAGTCGTCCACTCCACGAATTACCTTCGGTATGGGCAACGTATTTGAAACGACAAAAGTCTTTCATAGCCATGATATTCGAGCGGTTATGCCAATCGATGGCCTCGACATCGTTCCAATCGTAACCTTTCGAAGCCTCTACTAAAGCGGTTCGCAGCTTGCGATTCACGGCCAGACTCCCGCGCCAGCACAATTTATCCTCTTTATCATCCCAGCCGTTGGGATATTGGGCCTCCAGCTCCGTCGCATCCTCGCGGAACTGCACGTAAGACCCTATACCGTCGTCGGGATAGCTCCATCCGTCGAAGTCGGGCATGACCCATAACCACTGATTATCCTCTTCGCGCGCCCAAGTCCATCTGATACGCTCCTCATTCTTTTCCCCTCTGGCTGCTCTGTCTTCGATATCGAGGATGAATTCGACGTTCGGAAGTGACCGAGGGTCGGGGATAGCGGTTATAGCGCGATACATGTTCGCGAGAGCTGCGAGACCGCGGGAGCGATCTGGTTCGCCTTTCTTCTCCTTAATTACGTATAATTCGCCATTTGAAATCATAACGTGGAATTCGCCGTGCGAGAGACCGGTATAATCTTTCTTTGCGTCAACCTGGACGTCCGACTCCTTGACTCGTTTATTTTGCTCTAGAAGGAAATCTCGGGCGCGGTCGAGTTCTTGGTATAGATCAGGGAATGCATTCTGTGATATGATGAGCGCCGGTATACTTCCAATAACCAGAAATCCTAGATCGGTATTTACCTCGCATTGGCTGTCGGAAAGCCCATAATTAAGGCTATCCCTTTTTACATCAAACGTCCAAGATTCGTCATCGGGCGGCGAGGGTATCGGGTGGGTTGGCAGCTCGACGGGTTCTCGAAGCGACTCCTCGACGGGCTCCCCGAACGACTGCTCGATAGGAATCTCGAAGGGCCGCCTCACGCTGCCGAAGAACGATAAGGCAGTCACGATAAAGACGATGGCTAGAATCGGCCAGCGAAGGCGACGCAAGCGCGCCATGAAGGACTCGCCCTGCTGACTACACGGAAAAAAAGACTTGTTGGCATGCATTGTTAAAACGAACGTAAAATAGTAAACTATAAGAGCAGTGTAGTGGTGCACCGCCAAGGCGGGAAAGGAATGCGTACCGTCAAGAGGCGGAACAATTGTTAGAAAATCATCACTTCGGGGGCGACGAGAGGGAGTCGCTCATTTTAATAGGTTTTGTTTGTTCATCGTTTTGTGTCACCGTCTCACCGTGCTACCCAATTTCTGACCCGATATTAGTAAAACAGGTGAACGCAGGAAATCCTATGAAGATATGAAAGATAGCAGCGCTGATACGTCCGGGATGGGAATGGTATCATTGCGTGCCGCCGCGTCTGCAAACCATCAAAGAGTTTGCGGTTCCGACGGCAACCCAACCCCTGTCCAGCCCTGCCACCATATCTAAATAAAAGGGGTACCCTAGCCAAATGTGGTGATCGGATACCGGGAATAAGCTTGATCTGGCAGAAGGATGTCAAAAAAGGTGGCGCACCTACCAGGATAATTGTTAGTAAAAGGTGCGCCAGCTTTTTTGACGCCTTTCTGCCTGGGTTCTTCGCTACCACTATAATTATCTGTTCTTATCTTTCCTGTCTCCCCTTGGCCGATTGTCCAAGACCTAGTATATTATAGAGGTAAACACCTATTTAAATGTTTTACATATGCTATCTGACTGTATATTTGACCACTGCATAGGAATATGCATATCCTGACGAACTTAGGGTAGCACTTATCGGTAGTCTATTGCTTTGATCGTAGTAAATATAGCTGACGGAGTGTACACTTGGTTGATAAACTCTTTACTTTAGGCTACCAATTAAATATACACCTCCATATTGTTTTATGAGTTGCCTTCCCTCCCCTTCCCCCCTTTTCCCCTGTCGAAATGTTCCCATTATTTTAAATCCCATAAGCTTGATGATTCTACCAGAACTTGACCTTCTTTGGGTTTACGCGCGCCATCAAAAGCTTACATCCCAACGACAGCATGGACCAAATTCTCGCTCGCCGTACTATAGGCTGTGGATTCCTAAACTTCGTCCAAGTAAAGATCAATTCAAGTTGCTGGTTAGATACTGATATTCAATATTCACCATATAATGTACATTCCTAATCGAAATCATGGAGTGCCTAGACCAAGCACTGAATGTTAAAGTGGCAGCTCATTTATGCGGTTGTCGACGCACTGCTACGCTGCAGTGATTGTTGTCTGAAATTACTGTGAAGCTAGCCACCATTACTTTGGTATTCAGCACCTACCTCACTCGGTGTAGTCAGATTAAGCGAGCCTGTCATGATACTTTATTCTCTTATATTGAAGTGATTGGGTCTAGGCTGGTCTATTCGCGTAAGCATATGGTCGCCGCTATTGGGTGGCGCCGCCGAATTGTCGTGTATCATAGGAGCCAAGCCTAGCCACGCCCCGTTGGTTGCAGCCATCTTACATTTTTCTTCAGCTGAATGCTATCAGATATACGATATATTGAGCAGGCTTCGGACGCCCGGCCCTCATACACGAGATAGGTAGATAAATAAGCTAAGCAAAGGAAAAGCCACACCGTCAACGAAAGTATTTCTCGTCAGTCAGGCGTGCGATATTTCAACTACGGTCTAGTTCTCGGTTTGTGACTTTTGTTTAATCAGGCCTTGATATAGTATCATCGGTAAACTATTTGTTAACTACTAGATATATAAAGTTTGACAATTCCAGTAGCAACAGTGCAACCAAGTCTCAAGCCACGATCAAGTGTGCATCAGGACTAAAACCGTCCAGTCGTCTGTTCTTTTTCCAACCGGCTATGCATCGCTCCTATGCTCTGCTCATTGCCTTTACTTCCTTTGCTATCGCTCAGACTCGGTCATCTAAGCGTGGGTTGGTGTTTATCCCGAAGCCTGCCAACCCGGCAGATGATAAAGTATGGGTTCGGTCAGGATCTGATCTGACTTGGTACTACAATTATGAGTCGGAGCCGTCATCTGCCTTTGATGACATACCCCAAGACCAGTTCGAATTTGTCCCTATGCTTTGGGGCGCTATCGACGACACCTCCTTCCTCGATTCTGTCCAGAGCCAGATCGACTCCGGTCGTAGAATCACGCACGTCCTCAGTTTCAACGAACCTGATTCCCAGTACGATGGCGGTAGTAATGTCGAGCCCTCGAAGGCCGCGGATGTGTGGATAAAGAACATAGAGCCTCTCGCTGATAAGGGGGTGAAACTGGGATTGCCGGCCTGCACTGGGGGTTGGGGAGGAATACCGTGGCTCGAACAGTTTCTCGGGAATTGCTCCGAACTGATTAGCACCAAAAGTGATAATAAAAAGAACTGTACATACGATTTCGTGACCATACATTGGTATGGGAACTTTGAAGGGCTAGCGAGTCATATGGGCTCATACGCTGCTGCATTTCCAAATATAACTCAATGGATTACCGAGTACAATTTCGACAACCAAGACCTCGCCACGACCCAGGCATTCTACAACACATCCTCCGAGTATTTTGACCGTGTGGATTCCGTCGGTCGTTATAGCTTGTTTGGCTCTTTCCGGTCTAGTGATAGCAACGTCGGTCCTAATGCCGCCATGTTAAACAAGGACGGGCAGCTAACAGATATCGGCTCATGGTATTTGGGTATGAGTGGCACGCACGTCGACCCTCAGTCGGGGGCAGGGAGAACTCATATAACCGTAGCAAGTGCTGTGGCTCTTATGTTGGCTGGCGGTATTTCCTTTATATTGTAACACTAGAGCTCTCCTTTGCTAAACCTTGGGATTTTTTTTAGAGATTAAGACGAGTATGTAGGAGGGGTTTCTTGTTATCTACATATGTGTACTTTAAATGTTTTAATTACATAGCAGGAAATGCCTTTCGATTCGAGGATTAATCGGCCACTGTTTTGTAGTAAAGCTACAAGCCTATGAGCTAGATTTCTACTTTTTGTCAAGACTCATCGATGATATAAGACTTTGATTTTGATTCATAAGTGCTTCAAACCAGTGACCGGGGGGACAATATATCACATCCGGAATAAAATAGCCATGCTTGCTTGCCGAGCTGTCCACGGCTAAGAAAATTGAAAATGGTAGAGGCAAGATAACCTACCAAGATGCTATTCTCCGGGGAATGGAACTAAGTAATCCGTAATCTCTTTATGTTCCTAAGGCACTTTAAGTAAGACTTTGGGGCTAATCTGTCTTTTGAGCTCTTGTTAGGAATTTATTTCTCCTATTTTTAAACTGTTATCACGAATACATGAGATATGGCCTTAAGACCGATGAAAATGATAAAAAGTAGAACATGCTATGTACGTTTATGATTACCTCTAAAGGATAAAACGATCTACGTGTGGTCTTTACCCCGGACTTCAGAAATAGTACGTAAAGTATCTTGTACATGAGTAAAAGTAAACGTGCGGGTAAGATTAGCTTCTCCCCGCGGTACCATAATAACGGTCTTATGGTACCAGGTACGGAGTCGGGGACCCCACCGACATATCTGCCGATGGCCGAAGTGACCGAATCAGGCCTCGGCAAAATGCAACAAACACATCCCCTGTATTCCTTGTACCCCCCTGTAACTAACCTCGATTAAACCCTTTCGAGTCTCTCTACGGCGCAATCCATCCATTTATTAGTTCTTTATCAAACTCTAGACAATGCCACTCGCCATCGATTTAAGCTAGTGATACTGCTTTCCCCTTCACATCATCTTCCTCTGCTGTTTCAATTATCAGATACTATATACCAGTTAGTATATACCTCCGTCTGTCAAGACCATCTTTCAAGATGGCTACCGAGCGGGTCAATTCCATTTTGAAGCACCTATCCCCCAGCTCACCCTTAGCTACTATGTAAGTAGACGACGAGTGTTGAACTAACCTGACAAGTAGACGCAGAGTCATCGTAATTAACCTTGCTCGTCAATCTAGCACCTCGAAGAACCCCGACGATGTAGTCATCACGCTCGCGATCCGGACGCCGCTTTGTAAGGGCAAGAAGGGCGGCTTCAAGGATACGTCTGTCGAGTACCTCATGTATGCCATCTTAAAGGCCGCTAGGGAACGTCTAGGCTTCTCACCAGATCTCGTAGAGGATATCTGCATGGGTAACGTATGTACCAATATCTACCGCTTACGGCGCCGAGCCAAGAGACAACCGTTTTAACTCGTTTCTTCCCATGTAGGTATCAGACAGCAAAGCAGCCTACAAGGCCCGTGCCGCAGCCCTCGCCGCCGGATTTCCCAATACGACGAGCGCCTCGTCCGTCAATCGGTTTTGCTCTTCGGGTCTAAAGGCCACGGCTGATATCGCCCACCAGATCGCTGCAGGCTCGATCGAGGTCGGTATTGCTGCTGGTACCGAGTCCATGACTGCGGGAGGCGATAGTCTCGAACAACCTTTTGACGAAGAGGTGACTAAGCATAGCCAAGAAGCCCTCGATTGTATGATGGCCATGGGCTGGACGAGTGAGAATGTGGCGAAGGATTTTGGGCTGTCCCGCGAGGCCGTCGATGAGTATGCGGCCGAGAGCTTCAGACGGGCTGAGCTGGCTCAAAAGGCTGGCCTCTTCGACGACGAGATCGTGCCTATCACTACCAAAGTGAAGGGGCCCGACGGCGAGCTGAAGACGGTTACGTTAACGAAAGACGAAGGTATTCGACCGGGGACGACGGCTGCTGGGTTAGGGAAAATCCGCAATGCATTCCCTCAATGGGGACCCATCACCACCGGAGGCAATGCCAGCCAGGTCACCGACGGCGCCGCGGCAGTAGTGCTCATGAAGCGTTCCAAGGCCGCCGAGCTCGGTTTGCCGATCTTGGCCAAATACGTCGGGTCGACTGTTGCCGGTCTAGCTCCCAGGATCATGGGTATCGGTCCAACCGTAGCGATCCCAAAGTTACTTAAGCAGCACAACATTACTCTCGATGATGTCGACGTTGTGGAGATTAATGAGGCGTTTGGAACAATGGCCGTCTACTGCAGGGAATACCTCAAATTGGACTGGGCCAAGATGAATCCCCGAGGAGGCGCCATCGCGCTTGGTCACCCTCTCGGCACGACAGGCGCCCGGCAGATCGTCACTGGCCTAAGCGAGCTTAGGCGGACCAAAAAGAAGATTTTGTTGACGAGTATGTGTATCGGAACCGGAATGGGCATGGCTGGCCTATTCGTTAACGAGCAATGATACTCGTACCCGGCGGATACCTTCAATTTTTAGATGAATTCGCAGCAGGGTGAGAAGCGTTGGAATTAGATGTTATTCCTATCCACAATCGATCTATGTACATGTAATCAGATTCAAGTATATGCGCCATGTGATTTTGCCATGTCCGGTGCGGCTTATAACCAAACTTGTGCTAGAATCTTCTTACTACATAAATAGCATTATGTGATATAATAGCAAAGAATTTAAATCTCCGGATACAAGCACGCCCGTTACCCGCCAAGGTATTACTTTACCGTGGGTATCATTATTGTTAAGGGGTATCATGCCTTACTATCTCTACTACGTAGAACGTAGAACGTGATTACTAGTACCATTACATTCGATCCAGCAGCATTCGCAACCAACGTATCCTTATCTCCTAATCCGCTCATAGAAGTTTGGCAAAGGCCCAATTGATATCGGTATCGTGAGGCTTCTTTAACCCGCCCTTCAGCCAACAGGTGTGCTGGGTCCCCGTATCGCCCTCAATATAGCCCCAGCCGCAACCGGTGCACCCAGCAGTCCCGGCACAGTTTTTCATGCAGTCCAATATGCTCTCCGTAGGAACCTGGCGCAGATTTGTTGATTCGTCGTCGCTATAATCTATACCACAAATTCGTAAGAATCGCTTATCGGAACCGGGAACTTGGTAGGTAGTCCCGTTAGCAGCTGGGCAGTCAATCTTTCCCTCGGCATTACCGGTGGGGGTGGAACTCGACGTAGTACTGGTCTTTGAGGGGCTAGAGGTGGATGTCGTCGAGATGCCGGTATTTGCTGACGTGATTGAGCTTGAAGATAGGCTAGAAAATATTAACAATATAAGCATGAATACCTATACTTAGGCTGCCCCTGTACAGCGACGAATTAAGGAATCACGAACCTTGACGATGAAGCGGCACCAATACCAGCAACAGCAGCCTCATTAGAACTTTGCGACACCCCTCTACCGACCCCGACACCAACTCCAACCCCGATTGCAATAACTAACAGGAGCGATATTAATGCCACCAGCCACCAGAATTGGTTTCTCTTCAACCCTATTATTCTCTTCTCTCCTGGAGGCGTCTGTCCACGGAGCGGGGCGGGAAGCCTGTCCCCTCCAGCGGAGGGCCCTTCGTCGGAGGGTCGCGGGCTGCTAGGGGGTGTCGCATCGCCTAACCACGTGGATGGTAGGCGTTGACGCCTTTCAGGGTTGGCAGAAGGCGCAAAATAGGCCCGCGACGCATTCTTCAGCTCGTTAAAGTCGCGATTAGCAAAGAAATCGAAGCCGCGAAACTCCAATGGTGGTGATTTATCCGCCTCCCACTTCCCTGCTCCTGCGGTTATACTCGTCGTCACCACCGCTCGCGGTGCTTTTTCTGCTTCTGCTTCTGCGGTGACCTTGTGTCCTTCTGGGGTAGCTGAGGGTGGCTTCGGGCGGCCTGGAACGGTAGTGGCCAGTTGGTCGGACGGCGCCATTAGAGTCGTCTATCGTCGAAATTGACCATTACCGAGAAGTAAACATTATATTACCATAGGCTTTATAAAGAGGGACTAGAGGTTAGAGCAATTGAAACGATCGGACGGCGGCAAAGATGCTCGCCTATTATGGCAGTACGCAATAGCGAACGGAAATGGGGGAGGACGGGGGATAAGGTGGGATTCCGAAGGATTGTTATCACCGCCGTATTTAGACGTCACTTTGATATTAAGGGGGGCTAGCAAATAGTACGTAAAAATAATTAGCTATACCCCATTCATACAGCCATGAACGTCTTGACATTACATAGTAGTTGCGCATGTAAATGTAGTCGTTGACACCTATTAAGTTTATATTCATCAGTTTCTATTTCTAGCAGATTTTCATCCAAGTTCACCTTCTTTATACCTACAACATACACCGTATACACCTTCAAGCAAGATATCTATTACAGATTATGAAGATATATCTGGGACATGAAGGTAATACGTTGTTGTAAGTATTCCATGCTACCTATTCTAGAAGAGACGAGGCTAAGACATCTTTAGCTATAGCCGAGCTTTGGCGTCAGTTTGCTAACCCTAGATCAAAGAGATAGAGTTAACTCATATGCCTACCTTTCATTAGATCGTCTCATGCTTAATGAGGATATTGGCGAACCTTCTAAATGCATGCTCTGTTCAGAGTCTATAATAGATTACTCTTACAATAAAACGAGGGTTATTAATTCTTCTATTCTTATCAATGACAATGGATATATATTTTTGAATAGAGTAACTAGTGATAACAGGTATGTATTTACTTATGTGAAGTCCTTAGATATTGTTGATTATTCTACCAAGAAATATACAGCAATAAAGTAACAGAGTTATGAGAAACCTGAAGCTAAGTCATAGCAAGCGGATTGAAGTTGCGATACATTCAAGTAGGTAAGATAAAAGATGCTAGCCAGCCCATAACTATATAACCGAGGCTAATAAGATGCCGAGTAACTACCCTAATCGCAAAGTTAGCTGTCAGATTAACTACTAACTAGGCAAATACTTAATCAATTGTATCGACCTTTTCTTATCTTCTTGTAAAGTTTTTGAGCTATCTTTAGAAAAATCCCATTCCACAACGTTCTATTGTTGTTGATAATCAAGAAGAATGATAATAAAACTCCCGCGTACCTAGGTACCTCCGATAGAGAACCTTGGTGGAATCGTCTTGATTGGTCAAAAATTTAATATCGGTCTGTGCATATGCATCTAATAATGTGGGTACATTGCGCAGGTACTCTTCATGCAAGTTTAAGATAAGGTTGCAATTGGAGAAATGCTCGTCTCCAGCTACGTGTTATTTGATATCACTAACCTACTTCTATCGCTATCTACGTGTACCTAACTTAGGTACCTGATCACTATCTTCCTTACGCCGATTCCCATCTGATCTTTGAAAAAGGAAGAATAAGCGTCCGCACATAAAGCTACTGGTATCTATCAAGATGGTATTGCTCCTTTCGAACTGCTTGCCTGCGACTCTATAGCATACCTCTTACTAACGTCTCCCAGAACACGCAATTCAACTCTGCGCTCAAGCAGTCCACCTCTATAAAGCGAGACCTTGCCGGTTTATTGTCATCCGACGGCGCACCTCCCACGCCCGCGGCGCTTGGTTCTCTCTCCGCATCGCTGACGGCTTTTTCGCGAACTCTCGACGAGTACAATGCGCTGGCAAAGCAAGAACTAAATCCGGCAAAGCAGGAGAAGGCCTATGAGCGGATTAGGAATTTTCGAGCGGAGCTCTCGTCGTTTCGGACGCAGCTGGACGAACTGAAGACGCAACGAGAAGATACGCTGCACGCCCAGAACCGAACTGAGCTACTTGGTCGACGACCCTTCACCACCTCCACCCCCGAAAACCCGTACGCAAACACGCCGATACCACCACAGTCTTCATCTTCCCCTTCGGTCCCCGCGAACCGCTATGGCAGCGGTGGCCAATTAAGCATGGGTAGCAACGACTATACGCGGGAGACGCACGCTTTGCGGGAACAGAACTTCTTCGCGAGTACGAATACAGCGCTTGATGAGTATATCGCGCGGGGTCAGGCCGTACTCGGAGACTTGGGTACGCAGCGTGAGATGTTGAAGAACACGCAGAAGAGATTATACAGTGTCGCCAACACGCTCGGCGTTAGTGGGGACACGATACGCATGATCGAGAGAAGAGCGAAACAAGATAAGTGGATATTTGGAGCCGGTGTGATAACCTTCTTTGGGTTTTGTTGGCTGTGTCTACATTTCCTCCGATAGGATGGACAAGTAGACGTCGAGGAAGATTAAATTTTGAGAACGGAGGACATTGCGGAGGCTTGAATCGTGAGTTTACGCATCAGTTTTGACGTTTAGCATGGAGTTTTGGCGTTATTCTAAACTACCTTATAGGTAGGTTCCATGCCTTTGGTGGCTAGGCTAACCTGCCTTCTACTTGTATCTACCTCTTGTTCTAACGAAAGAGGCAGAACTTCTAATAAAACTATATATCCCGAAAGTGGAAGATATGCTTTAGCTACGGCGATAATCTATCCTGCCCTATTGCTATCTGAGACTTCGTTCAATCGTGAACGGCCTACGAGTACTCAATGCAAGTTGTTGATGAATTTCTACTTTCTACCTATTTTAATGCGATGGTGAAAAGTACATCCTTCGTAGTCTCAACTTCAACAACTTTTGTCTCGGGTAAAAGATGATTGCTTGTACTCATCTGCCCACCAAACTCGGTTGGCCAGTTCTCGACATCCCACTCAAGGCCCTTGGTCGTGATTACGCTCGGCTCTTTGACCGGGATGATGCCGACGTACTTGGCGAACGGCTCGCCGCTCATGCGAACGAAGTCGCCCACGGTGGCATCAGGCTCGCGGACGTGTATACGATGTTTTCCAGCCTTGAGAAGGAAAGACAAGCTCTCTCCGGAAAGCAAAAACATCTTCCCATCTGCGTAGGTTGGCGAGGTTTGGAATAAGTATAGATGATGTATTTGGCTCAACCCTTGATCAACGCGCCCTCCTAGTCCGCCCATACATACGATATCTCTCCTTGGATACGCCATACGAACGAACTTGACAGCTTTGGCGAAGTCGGTGGAATACTGATCTGAGTCGCGAATGATAGTACAATCCGCGGGCTTGGTAGTAAAAAAACTTCTGGACTCCTCGGATAGAGAATCTAGGTCGCCAATTATGGTATTAAGATTTACCTATACGACTGTTAGCTAGATAGACAGGTAGCGCCCCGAGTGAAAGAGAATCGCGGCTGGGAGCCTTAGAATATATATCTCTCGTATCCTTCCACTTACATAGTTACCACTAGCAGAAGACGCATAATTTTTCTCTGTTAATAAGGATCTTCGGTTAAGATCGTAAATCTGGTTGGCACCCCCATCGGCAGCGACGCGTGTGTGAGCTACGATATGAGTCGGTATGGTTACACGTAAAAAGAATCTTAAAGGGCGATGTACCTATTCTCCAGAGGTCTCTAAACAAGCCCTCGTCGCTGATCGGCTGGTTTAGAATGATCAGAGCGAAGCCATACCCCGGGTAAGATAGAAACTGTCTGATGGGATACCACTCGGTGCATATATTGGGGCTCTCTTGTGTCGAGCCCATGCTGATAGATTTACAAGAGGCCACTGAAAAGGCTTCCTTGCTGGTAGGAACCTGGCCGAATGCTTACACTGGTGACAAGTTTTTAAAGATGAGGTCGAACACGAAACTTGAGTTTACTGATTCGATTGCACCAGTATCTCGCTGTTGATCTCTAGGTAACCTTGAATCTTTCAAAACGAAATGATAAAGTGGGCAGATGGTAGAACCTGACGAGCTGTTTGTGTTAGGTGGGTAAGCGAAAAGAATAAGGACTCAAAAAACAGAGAAGATGAAAGAGATTTGAAGAATTTCGGAAACTAACCAAGTTTACTTTACAATAATATCAAATAATAATATTTACTAGAGATCAAGATGAGTTTCATTTGGTATTTTTAGTGAAAACTCAAAGTGAAAGTATATAATACATCCAATTTGATACCTTATTCCATTGAGGGTACTGACTTTCATTCACATGCAAGCAAGGTACCTAGGTACTAATGTGTTACCAAATAACGTCACTCGAGGCTAGGAGGTACATACCTAATCTAGATTTACCTCATAAGGCACCTGCAGTTAAGTGGTTAGATGTAACCCCACTCCGAATTTTGGCGCGCAGAGGTTTCTCGGTCATTGTAGGTAGACCGATCCTTATCTGGATTCAATTCAAAAAATTTAGAAGCGGGCAATTCTTAATATCGATGCTTCATGCTTACAAACCAGTCTTCGAACAGTCTTCGCTATTTGTTCCTAGCTTGTTTTCTGCGCATATTTCTTCTCACTCATCAAACCGGCTTAGGAGCTCATACACTCTTTAATATCCATCCCTCATTCTTTTAGCCGTTTCTTTTACGTATAGCTCGCCGGTAACATGTACAGATCCGCGTTGCGATCCGCGCCTCGAGCCGCAAATAGACTGCGACCAACTATCATTTCGCCGAATGCACGACGCTTTGCTTCGACTTCCCCTACAAATAATAAACGAAGTTGGAAGAGCTCGGCTATGAGATGGGGCCTAGCTGCTGGTATTGTGTATTGGTATAGCACCAGCGCAGTCTTTGCCGAAGAACCACTGCGTATGCGAGCCCAATTTCTCTGGCGTGATTCAACATTTTCCTGTATTTACTAATATCTCATGCGGGCGATTAGCTAAAACATTACCGCCGCCGCCCCAGTTCTCAGATGAGGACCTCCCCACAGTAGAGGCCGTAGTCGCGCAGAAGCGTCGAGAAGCCGAAGCACGACTGCAGAAAGCCGCATCAGCTCCCGAGCCACCAACAGCTACCCTACCATCCGAAACATCTCCTTCTGCACCTGCTAAAGATGTCGAGACGCAAGATCAAACGACCTATCCGGAGGGAAGCCCCGAAGCTTTGGAAGAAGAGGCCGGTCAACAGGGAGCGTTCAACCCGGAGACAGGCGAGATTAATTGGGACTGCCCTTGTTTAGGAGGGATGGCTCATGGGCCTTGCGGCGAAGAATTCAAGGCGGCGTTTAGCTGTTTTGTCTACTCTAAAGAGGAGCCGAAAGGGATGGATTGTATTGATAAATTCCAGTACGGCCTGCTTTGGTATATATAAGTTCGTTCACTGTATCAAGCTAACAGATGAAACAGACACATGCAAGACTGCTTTCGACTTCATCCTGAGGTATACGGAGAGGAACTAGATGAGGACGAAGCTCCCGCAGAAGGTACTCCTGAGATTGCAACGGAGAAATCCGCCGCCAAGACATCACATGGTGAAAACGGTGCGGTAGCGAAAGTAGAAGAGACGATACCAGCCAAAAAGTCAGCTAAGGCAGATGCGGAGACCGCAGAGGTGGTAAAGGAGGCTGAGAAGCAGAACGTCCCTCCGGCGCAACCCTAATAAGTATACACCTCGAGTGCTTCGGGCATTTGACGTACTCGAGTATGGTCTTATAAAATAGATATCTGGAGCCGTGCATTTTTGTACAACATAATATTGGTTGCGTTATCGTAACTGCTGAGTGTATATTATAGGGCACATGAGATACGGCGAAATGAACCAAGCAACTCTCTCAACATAAGTTCCTTTTTTTTTTTTTTTTTTTCTCGAGATATCTTACTCTCAGCCTTATTCTGGGGTTGTGGATTCATTTATCAAGGATTACACGTGTAATTGGTCCAGTATTTGGAGGCCGGGGCTTGCGACAGGGAACCCTGGATGTTGTTGTGTTCTCGGTCTTTTTTTTTCTTTTCGATGCGATGATCAAAGAGGTATGGACTGCGAAAGCCTTGCTGACACCTGGGGTAATCCCCACACAGTCTATAAGACGTTAGGTTAATGGATATCATGTATAAGTTCCCCTGCTCACCTCCAACTCCAGCTCCCAACTCCAACTTTACCTACCTTCAGATCCCATATCTCGTCTCCCATCCTCCAACTTCAAGACAAACGCAGCCCGATTGTAAACCCTATCCTTACGAAATACCTAGGAGTCCTGTTTAGGCCTGCTGTGTTAACCCAGATACAGGTTATTACTTCTTATAACCACCGTACGCATGGGACATGACAGCACCACATGAAGGAGATAAAATCCGTCAAGCTAGCTCTTCGGCAAATGATACTCAAGCTCGCATCAGTATCGCTACAGAGGACCATATAGCTGCCATAGCCCCGCCACGAGCCAAGCGGGCACAGGTTGCCCGAGCCTGCCAGAGATGCAGAAGACTGCAGAAAGCCTGCAGCGACTCTCGCCCGTGTCGACGGTGTACCAAGGCTGGGCTTGCTGATGAATGCAGCGGATACCCCGTCCAATCCCGAATTCTAACCCGGGCCCGGCCTACTAAAACACCAAGGCTGGCTAAGATACCAGTAGAAGGAGGTGTAAAGCCGTTGGATTTTGCTACGTCTTCGCCATTTATCAATTTTGACCTGCCTACGAGTCCGCAAGCATTTACTAGTTTTGCAAGGCAGTCGTTTGAGAGAAAGGTAGACCTGCTGCCACCTCGAGTAGTCGAGTACTGTTCTAAGCGCTTCTTCGAACACCTCGCCCCGACGATCCCGATCGTGACGCCCGAGTACGTCGCCAATCTTAGAACGCAACTCGCCTCGGATAGTGAGGCCTACTGCGTTCTACTTGGCTTGTGCGCTATGGTGACGTTGCAGGTTGAGGATCCTAGGGGTAAGTTTTTTGCGCAATCTGCCACGGCTGAGAATAATGCCGCATACGGCTGGATGCTGCTCGAGGAGGCTCTAGCAGCCCACCGTCATCTTACACGGAGATCGAACCCCTCTCTAGACTCGGTTCTACTCGTATTTTTTATATACGCGTGCCACGCAAGTTTATTTCACCATTCTCAGGCTTTCTTCTTCCTTCGCGAAGCCGCCACGCTCTTCATCCTAATCAAACCAGAGACACTAGACGATCTTTCCAAGCTGCTAGCCGAGAGACTTTTCTGGGTTCTGCTCATTTCCGAGAGATCTCATGCGATCCGTTACCGGCGCCCTTCTACGCTTCAAGTAACTACCAACGGCTTCGGCTTATCATTCTCTAGGGATCGTGAACCCTCGCTAGCTGGTTTCCGGTGTTTAGCTGCTCTCTTTCGTTCCCTGGATACCAATTTCATAACTCTGCTCAACCAAGAGTCAGCTCCGGGTGCAGTTCCTGTTAATTCGTTTGACGAAGCCGAGTCAGCCATCAACGCGGCGTTGAACCATACGTCTCCATCTGACCTTCTCCCGACGCAAAAGGCTAATCTCAGGGTCACGCAACTCTGGCTCCGCATTGTGCTCTGGCAGTTACGGTTGCGCTTGGGTCATCTCTCGGAGCAGAATATGCGGAGTAGCCGCACTTATCACTATCCACTAGACGTAGCAAAGGATTTAGCACTTTCCACCCGCGATTTACCTGTGCACAGCATCCAGGTACATGGAGTAGGTATAACGGAGAAGCTGTTCGATATATCCTGCGCTGTGGTTAACGTCCTCGCACGCGTACCCATACAGATGACGAGGACGGCGGCAGAAGACGACCTAAAGTATCTAAGACGGCTAATCCTGCAACTTCCTGGCGGTGCAACAGTCTACGACGCTTTGCTTTTAAAACATATTCAACAGACGTTACCCACAATGGCAGCCGGGATAGAAATATAGCTACCTTGACCGAGTTTGCATCACACGAGTCCCCAGATGAGATGGAGCAAGAAATCCGAATCTTGGAGAGCTGCACTCTTGACGGCGCTGAAATTTAAAAGGCGCTACATACTTTCTGTTGACATATTAACTATGATACACTGGGTGTTTATTTAATGTAAACCAGCATCTGCAGTTATGCTTGGTTTATCTCCTTCCCTGGCTCCCCGTCTGTCGATACCCTCTTGATAGCATCGTCACCCCGCTGCGAGAATGGGTCTATCTTCGTCTTGGAAAAGTTGCGTGCTGAGACGTGATGCTCGAAGAGTAGGTCCAATTCGGCGTATGTTCGTCCTAAAATGTAGAGAAGCATGTCAGTTTTAATCCAGTCTGGTACAAATCGATATTATATGGCGTGATGATATATAATACATCATACCTTTAGGTTCAGGCAATCGAAAAAAGACCCAAATGGAGGATATCAAACAAGTCCCTGCCCAAAAAAACGCGGTTTTTGCACCCCAATTCCAGGCTGTGGATGAGAGTTGATAATTGGTCATGACATTCACGAAGATATTGCTTGCGTTGTAAGCAACACGGGCGAGTACAATCGTTTTAGCTTTCAGCCGTGTCGAGGATAACTCCGAGATCAAAGAATATGTGACGGGTCCGACCGTGAAGTCGTAAACGAACGTGAATACAATCAACATCCCACCGATCGCCCACACGGAACCATTCGTCCCAGGGAACGAGAGAGAACCGACGATGATCAGAATGAGAAGCTGACAGCAGAGTCCGCTAAAGTGGATGGTACGCCGACCCATTCGAGACACTTAGGCAACACGAGTCAGCAATGGCCAATTTCACTACGCCAGAAAGCAGGGAGGTGACTGTAGATACCACATACTGAGGAACCAGGAGCCGGCCGTGCCAACCATACCCAGTGCGTATTGTCCCATAGAAAGAGAGAAGGAGTTGGAAGCGTCCAATCCTGCTTGGGTTCTGCAACATGTCAACTCCAAATCCGAGCTATCTTGACTGTATTAGATTGTGATGAGGATTGGGACCTTACAGGAAGTAGGGGAAATAGCCCATAAGGTTTTGACCTCCGAGCGTCTGCACGAGCCAGATGCCGACGACGATTTCGGTCCTTCGCAGGTCAATTCCCCTGAAGCAATCTCGATAGGTGAGGCCTTGCTTCGTCCGCTTCTCAAGCTCGTTGGTGTGTTCGATCATAGCTATGGTCTCGTCCGCGTTGAAGCTCGAGTCGTTTGGCGATGTTAATCTCAACAAAGACGCCCTAGCCGCCTCCCGATTACCGTTTCGAATATACCACCACGGAGATCTGGTTGTTAGGTTAAACATATGTAAGATTTTTGTGGTTTTGCGCTTGACAACTCACTCCGGGGCGAATACCAAGCCGGCAAGAATAGGCACAGGCCAGACCCATTGGACTCCAAATGGAATTCTGTATGCCCATTCGTCAAGGCGACCAACGGACCCTTTGTTCACGGCGGCCGCGAAGAATTGGCCAATGACCCAGCACATGTTAATAAATGTTGTCAGGTACGGCCTAAGGACGACGGGGGCGACTTCAGATGCGTATGCTGGAGCAACGGACTGAAAAGCACCCCAGGGGATACCTAGCTATCGTCAGCCTTGGAAGAGCGTAAGAAGCCGGGTCGATTAGATACTCACCGCATAGTACTTCACCTATAACAAGTACTTGTACATTAGGGGCGAAGAATAGTACGAATATGAACATGATCATCGATATTAGAAACCCAATTGTCGTGATCTTGTACCCATAGCGGTCCGATATCCAACCAGCAAGGATGAGGCCGAGGATCTCGCCGGCGCGTGCGCCGTTGGACAATCCTGACTGCCACGCGGCGGACAAGACCCATTTGTCCTTGTCCGCGCTGTAAGTACCGAATTTCTTGTTAAATACCGGCGAGGCATAGAGGCTACTTAGTAGCGCCAAGTCGTAGCCTTCCATGATGAGCGTGGATGAGAGCAAAACAGACCAAGCGATGGCCTTCGGGTAGAGCTTGATAGCCTCGAGAAGTGACATTTTCTGCTCAACATCCGCGGCGTGCTTAGCCTCCGAGACATGTGTTTCGTCATGCAGCAAGTCCTTGCCCTCGGCTTGCTTACTATCCCTCCCTGTTGTATACACATCTTCTTTTTCGGTTGACATATTTTCTACTGATAAATAATTTATTTGCTGCTTCGACGAAGATAGCCTCCTTTCTTAGTTGAAGGATGTTCTTGTTGTGGGTGTAGGGGGATTGTGTGACTTGGTGGGTTGAGAGTACTGCAAGCAAGGACGCCATCGTGTCTATTTATTTCCTCTCCTAAAGGGAAACCAGCCTTGTAGCTCTCTACTGAATGAATCGGGGTCTATCTAATTTCGCAATGGTCTAGCTCCTTGTGGAGAATGGAACTACGGTCAGCTCGTGCGGGGTGAAGCTGGGGGAGCTGGGGACGGTCTTGAGATATCATCCCATCGCTATATCATTAGTCTTTTAAGACCGGAGTGTAATATTAAACAACAGGGAAGAAGTAAAGTGGATTGGAGTTCTGGCGGAGTCCTTGCGTCCTGATTGGGTTAACCATCGTAAGAGAAGAAGATGAGAAGTCGGAGTTGGGCGGAGTTTCGCAATACTACCTGACATTAGATCGTCTTGGCGAATGGTATCCCACCGCTGAGGAAATATATCCCTATTTCGGACAACGGCGGTGCAATGCGGCTAACTTGGATGTGAACACTATTTGGTCAAACTTGACCCGACGGCGCGGACTCGATCTAAGTATAGGAAAGATTTAATTATGCACAGCGCCACTCTATGCCGTAGTCGGCCGCAAATGTACAGGTACTATTTTGTCTAATAGATGGCTGGGTTTACCTAATTTCTCCTCTCCTCTCAAGACCTCGCGGAATTTTTTTCTATAGAGTGGAGTAGTTTCACACATACAGAAGCAACATGAACGGTTTATATCATAATAATGGGTGGTTTGGCAAAGAGCCGTGGTGGAAAGATGCTACTTTCTATCAAGTATATCCGGCAAGCTTTAAGGACTCCAATGGCGACGGTTGGGGAGATATTCCGGGACTTGTCTCCAAAATCGAATATCTCAATGAACTAGGCGTCGACGTGGTATGGCTTTCGCCCGTTTTTGAGAGCCCCCAGGCCGACATGGGTTACGACGTGTCAGACTACCAGAAAATTTATGCACCTTATGGCACCATTGACGACGTGGATGAACTAATAGAAGCATGTCATGCTCGAAACATGAAGTTGATTCTCGACTTGGTGGTAAACCATACTTCTATCGAGCATGAATGGTTCAAAGAGTCCCGTTCGTCGAAGACCAACCCGAAGCGCGATTGGTACATCTGGAAACCAGCGCGATATGATCTAAAGGGGCAGCGGGTTCCGCCGACAAACTGGCGAAGTTACTTCGCTGGCTCTACTTGGACTTGGGACGAGCACACTGAGGAGTATTATCTCCATCTATACGCGCCTGATCAGCCGGACTTAAACTGGGAATCGGAAGCGTGCCGCGAAGCTATCTACCAGGACACCATGCGCTTCTGGCTTGAACGAGGCGTTGACGGGTTCAGGATCGACACTGTTAATAAATATAGCAAGCGCACCGAGTACGTGGATGCGCCAGTTACAGATCGAGACTCGCCATATCAGCCAGCGCCGGAGATGTGGTGTAATGGACCAAGAATCCACGAGTTCATCCACGAGATGCGGGCCAAAGCGCTCGCGCCCTACGGGGCCGTCTCTGTCGGAGAGCTTTCTAACACGCCGGACCCAGGTCAAGTTTTGCCATACGTGTCGGCAGCGGCACAGGAACTCGACATGGTATTTGAGTTCTCTATGATTCGATTAGGTACTGGGGGTATGTTTGGACCAAAGTACATATATGTACCGTTCGCCCTACAGCAACTGAAAACAATCGTAGCAAAATGGCAGACATTCATCGAAGGCACAGACAGCTGGACGACTGTCTTCTGCGAGAACCATGATAACGGACGAGCCGTGAGCCGGTTCGGCGATTGTTCAACGCCAGAGTTATGGGAGGCGAGTGCGAAAACCATAGCTCTCTGGCAAGCCACATTGACAGGGACGCTGTTCCTATACCAGGGCCAGGAGATTGGTATGACAAACATGCCGACCACTTGGGGGATAGAAGAGTACAAAGACGTTGAGAGTCTCAACTTCTATGCCGAGGCATTAGCATCTGGGGACCAGAAGAGAATAGCAGACACTATGCGGGGTCTGCGTATTCTTGCTCGTGATCATTCGCGTATCCCTTTTCAATGGGACGACTCTCCGAATGCAGGGTTTTCAGACAAAAGTGTTAAAACATGGATGCGTGTTCACGACGCCTATCCAGAGGTTAATGTCAAGAAGCAAATATCGGACCCCAATTCCATCTTGAGTTTCTATAAGATGGTCTTAAAGCTGCGCAAGAAGTATAAGGATATATTCGTCTTAGGAGCTTTCCGGCTACTAAAAGACGACGATGAGGCAATATTCGCATACGTAAAGGAAAGCCCCTTCCGAATTTCAGATTCACAAGCGTCGACGAACGGCTATTCCGTCCGTGGCCGCGAGAATAAGAGAATGGCGGTAGTGGTTATGAACTTCTCCAGGGATGAACGGGATTGTCTAGACGTTAGGAGCATACTAAGTTGTAGTGACGAGGATACGGCGAGATTACTAGTGAGTACGCAGTATCAAGACAACAGGGGCTCGATTATTGGGAAGGATACTATACCGGCGGCTTTAAAACCGTGGGAAGGGCGCGTCTACGTCAATTTCGACTTGGATGATGTCGTGTAAGCATATAGACGAAAGGGGAATAGGGGGTCAATTAAGTACATAATATAGAAGAGCAATGAGTACCGAGTACGGAGGGTTACCGAAAGCTATATAGAGAAATTAGATCCTTCAATGTTGTAAGTTGTTATTTCTTATGTAGTATCAAGGAGAAATAATATGACGTTTCTTACAAGACCTTCGATTAAAGGATGATGGTACTTTGCTACTTAAATATGCATTTAAAAAATCATCCAAGCCCCCGCCTGTTTTCGTGCATATATGCAGGTGAATGGAGCCGCGAATACGTCATTCGATTATGTACATGGACTGGGGGTAGGCAGGGCAGGCACAATCGTCACGATCATTTGCTCATAAAGGTTGTCACGAAATACATTAGGTTAGGTACATTAGGTACATACGATATCTCCCACCTTCCAAGATTCTTTTCATTGTCGCATTTGCTTCTTCTTCACCTTTTCACAACATCACACCACACATCATCGACCATTCACTTGATTCGACCTCAATATTACTATCAACACTCTTCTACCTTACTATTTCTTGTTCCACGACGCAAGTTATTAAGTCATTGCTGACTCGCATTTTTCCACTAACAGTCTCGACAACGTAGATCAAGAGTAAGATCCCGTGCTTCAACATCGCTTGTGTAAAAGACGGAGCAGGATGTAAGAGGATGAATATATATAGACTAACATGAATCTTCCATTATAGTGTCGTATGCTGCCGCGGCTGCGTCTGGTCCCAGGCAAACGCCCGAGGAGGTAAGACAATATCCCTCTAGCAGATTGATATATGATCTGGGTACCTAACATAATTATTGTCCAAGGCTGCAGCTCCTCAACCTCCCGAGATCATATCTTCTGAGTCCGCAAGCACCGCGTCCCTTGTCGACGTCGATACGCCCTCGGTGCGCACCGTACCCTCCGACTTCGGGGAACAGGAAATCCAGACTGAGACTCAAGCTACTCGTCAAGAACAAGAGGATGCTGCCGAGCGAGCGCGCGCTGAGGCTCATCTCGCTAAGAAGAAGGGCACTGGGAAAGCACGAAAAGCCGATAGCATTCTCACCCAGTGGTTTGCCAATCTAAGCGATGGTGCCAGTACAGCCCTCGTCGTCTCCAATCTGGCTGCCGTTGTAGGACTTAGCGCATACTTGGGCTTCAAGGCTTGGGGTTTGTATGAGCACGGACGCCTAGGCTGGAAGAGCGTTGGTATTGGTGCAGGTATCGTGACTGGTGTTGGTCTGATAGAAGGAATCCTTGGAGGGTAAGTGAATTTTTTTTTTCGACTACTTAGACGTTTGCAATATAGTTCGCAAACTAACCATTCGCAGATATCTCTACAAGGGTAAGAAGAAGCAGTCATAGGCGAGCTCATGCTGCGATATATTATGTCACGGTTGACGATCTTCACGCGTTATGAGGTTGCGGAGTAATGAATACTGGCAGCCCAATAGCACTCTACTCGTGATTTTAGAAAGGTTCCGTTGTACCTAGTATACTTCTCATTACATGAATTCAAGGTACCGTATGACTTGTCACAACTCTTTGCCATTGTCTGAGTATTACTCTTTTACCTAGTTTAGGACGGATATGTTTTTCGTCAAAATTATCTGCGTTGAGATAACTGCTTTTGCAACGTCCATCATTCGACTCAATTAGAGTGTTATACTTGCTATAAATACACCTTTAGGGGTATATAAACCGCAATATAGGCCCCTCGAAGCTCAGCACTGTAACTTCAACTACCAGGACAGGGCAAGACTACTCCAAGTCATGGTTCCAACTTAGTATATTAGGTAATCATTAATTATTTCCCCTATTTTCATCCCAGGCCTTCCGGTCACCACCCTTCTTCATAAGCTCCGTTCTCTCTCCGTCATCCACGAGGCGATGACCAGCAACAGCCTTCTTCTCTAATTCGTCTACCTTTCAACTCGGCACAGTCCACAATAAAGTCTAGCAGCATAGCCTCCGCTGTGCATACATTGCCATTAGGCTTGCCGAATATCGGTAGTCCAGGCGGAGCGCCGGAATTCCAGATCCTAAAGCCACCAGCTTACTTAAAGACAGATAGATGGAGCTGGGACCAACAACACCGCTTCCCGCATCCGACAAAAAAATGCCGCCGTGGAATGATGTGTCTCTGATACTGGGGACGTAATATCCGGCAGCATACGTAAAAATCCCGCTACAGAGCTGTCGGTGCCGTCTTCAACCTGTAGGCTGAGCTTCTCAATTTAAGTCTCCGACTACGTCTTAGATCGCAGCCTTGATGTGTGAGGAGGTCGAGATACACCGCCATCACAGCCATCAATTGTCCTAGGACCATTAGCGGACAACGAAGTCCTTGCCGTAGCCATAATGTGGAGGTTGTAACAAAAGAGCCGATGTATATTTTGACGCAATATTATCATTTATATCGTAGCTATTTGTTTTGTTGATTATCCACGCATGGTCTATATTTTTTTTCGTGTTGTTGCGTTTCCTTTTTTTCCTAGGGTAGCGACATAAGCTACCGGTGATGTCAAAAACATAGCGCCATCGTCCACTTCTAAAGGTCGTATTCTATTATACGAGATCATGCTTATTTATTGTATTTATCCTTTATCTGAAGTGGTTAGGTAGGTCGCCTACTCATAACTAGGTGCCTAACCCCAATTATGGCTTGCTAAGGGGGGGATTATAAATGGAATCGGAAATTCTGATATAAGCCCTTATACCTGAAGTACTAAGTAATCTCTAAAGGTCTATATTTCACGCTCGTTAACTTTAATGTAATTCTTTTTTCTCCCAGGTTATATATAGCAAAGCTTGTTGGTGCAATACTAAGGACGATACCGTACTAGTTATCTCATGCAGTAAACGTGGCACTCTCAGAAATTTATCGCTTATAGGAGTCCCCTTTGAAATATTATATGAAAATACCTTCTAATGGTTTATTAACGTACACCTTCCTCTATTCCTGTCATCAGGTACTTATGAAAAAGCTTTGTGTAGAGCTATTTCCCTTATATGCGAGACTCTCTTATTCTCTCACGGCATTTAATGTCCGAGTTTTCGTAGAAGTAAGGTTATGCGGTTGTGGAACCCCGTGTCCGATGCGGTTCGGCCGAAAACGTTGAAGCCGATGTCTAGGTACGTTTGATGATCGGTGTCGTAGGGCGGTTTTATTGCTCGGCTACCCCGAAACCCGCACGAAATTAAAGTTCTCAGCTAAATCAGCTAAATAATTTAGCATTGAGCTGTGATCAAGAAACCCGCGTTGTTCCCAGTAGTATCCGGAAATAACCCGCGCATGAGTGTGGTTGAATCCAACCCAATTGCCTGACCAGCGGAACACTCATCACAACTTGTCATTTATGTACTAATGTACAGGGCGTATGAGTCTTTGATATCTACGGAGCATTCTTTATGTTCGGGTGTAACATCAAAAACTGGTGTCACATTCTTAGTCATGGGACATATATTTTTGGTGCCTCACGTAAATTCCGTGGGACATAGGGGTCATAGATTCGCTGGTTCGTAAACCCATTACATGAATCATGTATATAAAATGTTAGATATAAGAGTTGATATCAATGATTTATGACCGAGTATATCCGTTTATGAGGTAGGTGGTATGCCCTGATCCAGAGCCCCTTGGTTGATTTTACTTTAGCAATTTAGGAAATCTAGCAACACTGGAACGTATTGCTCCTATGTAACTTCGTAGCATACCTAGGTAGGGTAGGTGTATTTGTAATTGCCCACCCCCGGGATTCGGATATAGGTCATGACAGTATTTTCTTTGTTGGGGCCAAAGTGCCACCATTACACTACATGACAGGCCGCGGAAATATCGGATACCTATCCCATCACGGTTGGGACGGATGATGTTTTATATACTATGGCCTACTCAGTGCTCCACCTAACCGAGGATACGATCTGTACTCATTTGACTACCTATATAAACCTAGGCGCTGCTCTCGTCCTGTCTTCCGGGAGTGTTGGTGATAATATCCTATTAGTTTCCTGGCCAACACTACTGAATTAATCGCAACCGAAAAAAGGAGGCAAGTCTGAATTGTTGTACCTATATCCTTCATGACACGAGCATAGAAGGAGAGGCGAACTTCCGAATAACCATTAGAAATAGACAACATGGTAGACTCGGAGACAAATGGATCCAAGCAGGATCAGCATCGCAAGTGTCGGATAGTTCCCAATATAATCGACGATATCGCGGGGGTGGATCCTGGGAGGGAGGCGTTCCTTGTACCGCGCTCCGACAACCCCAAGGATGGTTGGAAATCCATTACGTTTAAAGAGTATGCGAACGCCGTAAACCGCATCGCGCACAGGATCGTCGAGACATGCGGCACTCCATCGCAGGGTTCTTTCCCTACAATAGCCTATGTCGGTCCAAACGACGCTCGTTATGTCATATTACTAGTTGGCGCCGTCAAGGCCGGCTACAAGGTAATATTTCTCATGAACATTGGTTATCTAGAAATAACTGTATTTTAGGCTTTGTTTATCTCTCCCCGTAATTCTCTCGAGGGACAGTTAAGTCTATTTGATAAGACGGACTGTCAATTTCTCGCTTTTGCAAAACCACTACGAGGATTAGTCCGTCCATGGCTGCAAGAACGCGAAATGAAGGCAATCGAAGTAGACCCCGTCGAAACTTGGTTCCCTGAGCAAGATGTCGAACCATTCCCCTACGAGAAGACTTTCGAGCAAGCTGAATGGGATCCGTTGGTAGTGCTTCATACTAGCGGAAGCACTGGAATCCCGAAGCCGGTTGTTATCAGGCAGGGTCTGATAGCTATGAATGATATTCATAATGACTTACCTACATTCGGTAATGGATTCGAACCTTGGCTACGAGGGCTTGCAAAGGCATCGCGCAAAACATTTTCACCTAGTAAGCTAACTACCCAGATTCCCGAAGCTTATAGTTCGATTTGCTCATACGTCTCAAGTGCCCCTTTTCCATGCGGCCGGATTATATCTCTTCATCTACTCCGTATTATACTTTGACACACCGATCGCCTTAGGTGTCAGTGATCGCCCCTTATCAATTGACTTGGTCGTCGAGTGTCTCGATAATCTAGATGTCGAGGGGGCTATGCTTCCGCCAACGATGCTAGAAGAGATGAGTCAGAATGACGAGTGGATTCGACCGCTGATGAAGCTTAAAATTGTTGCTTTCGGCGGAGGTTAGTGATACCTGACAAGAATTCTACTTCTGCCAGAGGGGCTAATTCCGGCAGGAAATCTTAACAAAGAGGCCGGGGACAGATTAACCAAGAAGGGAATAAGACTTGTCAATGTAATCGGTGCTACGGAGTAAGTCTACTTGCAGCTTAGGGCCAGTTTTGGTCTAACAATCTTAGATATACGATACACCAGATGTACTTTCAGCCGAACCCTGAGCTCTGGCAATATTTCATATTCAATTCCGATATAATCGGAGCGGATTGGCGCAAGGCCGAAGGTACCGAGGACGTCTATCGACTAGTAATTGTCCGAAAAGATAAGCATCCAGGTCTTCAGGGTGTTTTCTATACTTTCCCGGAGGCCGACGAGTTCGATACTAAGGACATGTACAAGCGTCATCCAACTCTCCCGGATCATTGGATATACTACGGCAGATCTGACAATATCATTGTGTTTTCTAACGGAGAAAAGCTTAATCCAGTGACCATCGAGGAGATTGTTGTCGATCATCCCGGAATCAAGGGCGCTTTGGTAGTCGGCTCAGACCACTTCCAAGCTGGTCTCCTTCTCGAACCCGTGATAAATCCTAAAAACGATCAAGAAGCCGAGCAGCTGCTTGATAGTGTCTGGCCATATGTTGCTGAAGCAAATAGAGGAACTGCCGCCTACGGACAGATCGCACGCCAATTCATCGCATTGGCTAGCCCAGACAAGCCGTTTCACCGCGCTGGCAAGGGAACTGTACAACGAGCAAGCACGCTGAAGTTGTATAAGGAAGAGATCGATAAACTTTACGAAGAAGCAGACAAAGCTGTCGATGGAGTTGCTCCCCAAATTGATATGAATTCTGAGGACGCACTGGCAGAATCTATAAAGGATATATTCGGAACTAAACTTGGATCTAAAGGGGAACTCGAACTGGACACCGATTTTTTCTCGGCTGGTATTGACTCTTTACAAGTTATCATTGCTACCCGACTCCTCCATAGCGGACTGGAAGCTTCAGGTTTCCGCGTCGACGCAGCGAAGGTGCCTGCTCGTGTTATTTATGGTAATCCCACACCGCGAAGACTTGCTCGGTATATCTATTCTATCGTGAACGAAGGTGACAATGGGAACACCGAGAGAAGCCCGGACCACGAACTCCAGGCAATGAAATCTCTTTGGAAGAAGTATACAGAAAACGTTCCGAGGAAGAGGGAAGGAAGACCTGACCCTGAAGATGAGAATCAGACGGTACTCCTCACTGGATCCACGGGGATGCTAGGGTCTTACATGCTGGATCTCCTTGTGAAGAGTCCATTGGTGAAGAAAGTTATCTGCTTGAATAGAGCTGAGGATGGTGGTATCAAACGTCAGGGACAAGCTGCTAAGGACCGAGGTCTCAGTACCGATTTTACATCCAAAGCCGAATTCTTACATGCTGACATGTCACGCCCGGACTTTGGACTTCCTCCCGATGTATATGGTTGGCTACTAAACGAGGCGGACCGCTTTATTCACAATGCGTGGCCAGTCAACTTTAATATTCCTGTTGAATCCTTCGAGCCTCATATTCGAGGTGTCCGGAATGTTGCTGATTTCGCGACCAACTCATCTAAGCGCGTGGCTGTCGTGTTTATATCGTCGATCGGCACCGCAGACAATTGGGATGGCAAAAAGGGGACGATACCGGAACAAAGGCTTGAAGATCTAGGGCTCGCAGGAGGCGGCTACGGGCGTAGCAAAATGGTGGCGAGCCTTATTCTAGATGACGTTGCGAAAGTTGGTGATTTCCCAGCTGCGATAATCCGAGTCGGACAAATCGCCGGCCCCGAGTCAGAGGCAGGCTGCTGGAATAAACACGAATGGCTCCCTTCTATTATTGCGAGCAGCTTATACCTCGGAGCTCTTCCAATCCACCTCGGAATTATGGACCGCGTCGACTGGACGCCAGCTGAACGTATTGCGAACTTGGTTCTTGAGGTCGCCGGGGTGTCTCAGAAGGTTGCCGCTCAAAATATCACTGGTTACTATCACGGTGTTAATCCCTCGGCTACATCGTGGGCAGAGCTTGCTTTGGCTATCCAGGAATTCTACGGGAAAGATCGTATTCCGGAACTCATTAGCTTTAAGGATTGGGTTGACCGACTAGAGCAGAGCCAGGCAGGTGATGCTCAAGATATAGGCAAGAACCCAGGTGTTAAGCTAATTGATTCATATCGAGGGATGGCAGGCGCCCACAAAGCAGGCCAGAAGCCCTTTATTTTCGATATGAGGCATACGACAGAGCGTAGCCCAACCATGAAGTCCGCTAAGCCAATTACACCCGAGTTGATGAAACATTGGTGTAAGCAATGGGGTTTCTAAGAAGATGTAGTTGTCCAGCAACTAGAGTTAAGAGGGATTTGTTCTCATCCTTCGAGCACCTTAGGTAGTTATATAGGAGGCCTTAACGACCTATATAGAATGAATAATTAGACGTTGAATTAGAAAATTGATGATACGTTACACTGCATCTTAAGTTATTTACTACTGCATAAATAATACCGTTGCACCTCTTCAAGCCGTTGGTAAAATAGTGACTTGATTCGAGAGACTCTAGGTAATACCTTTGTATTTTACTTTGCGGTCTCTTAGGTAGTAACTTGGATCTTACGGAAGTGGTCGGAAATGGACAAGGTTGATAGGTTAGTTTAAAAACCTGGATTTCAAAATATTTGAATTAATCTCTTTCTTGCCTTGAGGATGGGTGGTTTATATTAGAGTAGACAAGGCCAGTAATGCTGTAGAGTATGTAAAAGCGAGAGTCTCTAAATGCGACGAGGAGGAGTGGGCCAAGGTTATTTCGTGTGTGGCTGGCTCAAATACATGTACAGTAGGAGTGGGCTGCCTGTGGCTAAGTACCTAGGTATCTCCTAAGGTACCTATGTAGCTTTGCCCCGTGCTTGGCAGCTGGCGGGTGGCTTGTACTTCTTCCCCTCCAGCTGCCTAGGAAACTACTGTCCACCCTGAAATTTCGACAAGCGGAAAGAAAAAAAATAAGGAATTTCCAAATCGTCACCAGAGAAGAAACTCGACACCTCTTACGCCCACCGCATCTTGCAGAGCAGAACAACAACTTTCATCTGTACCTATTACACATAGCAGCTTTACCAAGCAGAACCGGCTATTGTTACGCAATCCTGCGACAACATTTTCATGAAACGTATTGTTCATTTGATACTCGTAACTCGCATTTCGAAAGCATTCACAACCGCATTAACAGCCGCATCTGCATCCACATCCACATCTACATCCACATTCACATTCGCGTATGTATAAACCCTAGGCACCTTGCTTTATACTTTCGTCGCGCAACGGCGACACTAACCAATAAACTAGACTGGAACACGTCTGAATCCTCGATCCTCTTCCGAGTCGCCTCGAATTTCCGAAGTTCAACACGCCACTTCGCCGATTATTACTATCGGTTATATTTCTTGAATACAGGTTGCAGCCCCGTAACCGTGACAATGCCCTCAAATCTCCCTTCAAGTTTCGCCTCAGCAGCTGCTGGTCAGAACCCGAGCCGTGATGCGAGATCAGGTGCTCGAAGTGATGGTCGAGGGAATAATACTAGCGGGGAATGGTACGTTGTTATTGCCTATTACTACTACTCTGCTACTATTAGACATATTGGATTGCCTTGACAGCAAGCTGATTGCCCCTTTCTTTCCCTTTTTCTAGGTCTAGGTCAGGACGATCAACCAACGGCGGCACTCTAACTTTCCGTCGAATATCGACTACGCCCTCGAGCCAGTCTCTCAATAGCCAGATGCAAAATTCCGAAGCCAACCAGTCAGCCTCTGCTGACCCTGCCGTTATCTCTGCCATGCCGGTTGGCTCCACCAATTTCGACAACTCGGGCATTCTTAGATACTCGCGAGACCAGCTCCTCTCCATGTTCAGCGTCGTCCACGAGTCCAATCCTCAACGACCCGATGTCTCCGCTCTATTCGCGCCCGGATGGATCCCGGGACATATCAATGGTACGACGTCTAGAGGCTGGGGTAAGACTGCCGAGTCTCACGTCGCCCCTCAGGAGCCAGATATCTGTTGGGATGCACCAGGATCGACAACAGCTGTCGGCTTGCAGGAGATGAGCCCCGACGAGAAAGAAGTGAGTCGCGGCCCTAAGCCTCGACCGTCAAAATAAGTCATCTCGTGGACTAACATTTCAAATAGTTATTCGCATCCGACGTAAATTCTACTGTAAAGCCCCCGGCTCAGAATAAGGACGGGAATCACCCGGGAGGAGGGGTAAACGGTCGAAAGGCTTCCCTTTCCCACGGAAGTTCAAACAATTTCGGACTCGCCTCACCTTCAACTACGTCGAGACCTGGTACAAGACGACGTGAAACTACCGATACGAATCCATATTCTGGTGGTGGCGGCTTGACTTCTCCGACATCCGCAACGCGCCCATCTCGAGAGGATGCGTCATTCTGGTTTGGCCGAAAGAATATGGACCCGAAGGATTCAACTTTTGAGGAGCCTGAAGAGGATACTAGTGCGCGAGATGCTCCTGCTAAATCTCTGCCTTTTGGTAATCTAATACGCAACAATACGAATCCGGGCAGCTCGGGTTTCGCAGGAGTATCTCCCTGGCAGACGTCGGCCCCGACTACCTTGCCTGGCATAGGTAGTTTCGGGAATTTTGCGCTTCCTGGATCTACAATTGGGGAGAAGCGAGCTGGAAATCCTCGTGGCGAAAGCCGCTTAGCGCACTTGATTCCTAAGGAGAGCTCCGATAGTATTGCTACTAAAGCAGGTGAAGGTGTTACTCCGGATGCTAACCGTCTTTGGCGCCCGCGCCAGCGCACCGACACGGACCCCTTTGGCGAAGACAGCGTCTCGGGGAGTGCTATTCTAGGAGGCGCTCAAGATACGAGTCCTCCTCCAATGTCTCATCCGCCTCTTCATACCTCGTACGATACACCGGTAAAAGGATCTACCAGTGATTTCGGAATGTCCAGTCTCAACTTGGGGGGACACCCGGAACATGAACAAGCGCCTCTAAGTCCGTCGGAAACGAATCCCTATAGAAGCCCCCCGGGCGAACGAAATGAGCACGAGGACGTGGGGGACAGGCAGCACGGCCCAACCGGTATCGCCGACCATGTCTCCGGCTACGGCGGGGGTCTGCCACGCTCGTTTGCCCATGCCACGTTTGACGGCAGCGATCGTAGCCAGACATCCAGCGTTGGCGCGAAGGCCTACCCGCCGTTGAGCAATCTAACTGGCTGGCCATCTTCGAGTACGCCAGACCGCGAGCGTGCCCCCTTCTCGGGCTTTGGCGGCTCACTTTTCGGCCCTGTTGGAGACTTGCAGTCCCCAAGCCTTGGTAATCTAGGCGGCGTGTTTGGTCCCGCAAGCACGACTGGCTTTGGTGGTTCCGGATCTTTTGGTCGAGCAAGCAAGCTCGGTTCTCTATTTCCCCCAGCCATGCAGGCGCAGATGCAAACCCAGGACAACGAAAGCCTTAGCGATTCGATACCGGACCTTCGTCAGCCTAACCCATTAGGTGCTATCGGCCGTACTGCCCCCGGCGATCATGGCCGCGAAACTGATAGCCCTATGCGAGCCGGTAGGGGAATCTTTGCCGACATGTTTGCCCAGGCCGAGACTAGTCGAACGCCAGTCAATTCTGAAAGTCTGCATAGTATCTCGGCTGCTCCTCACACCCAGACCTTTACGGCGACTAGCAACGCACCATCCTATGCCGCAAGCCAGACGTCCGAACCTCCCTCTGTCCAGTCTCGCACTATGGTCATGCCCGACCGTATGAGATGGGTTTACCTAGACCCTCAAGGTCAGCAACAGGGTCCATTTACCGGGTTGGAAATGAACGACTGGTATAAAGCCAATTTCTTCACTCCTGACCTTCGTGTTAAGAAATTAGAGGATTCGGAGTTCGAGCCTTTGGGCCAATTGATTAGACGCATCGGCAACTCTCGAGAGCCCTTCCTTGTTCCTCAGATCGGTATACCTCACGGCCCACCATCTCAGACTGGTCCTTTCTCTAACTCGGGTGGCGTGATACAGCCGCCTCTCGTTAATGCCTTTCCTAGTTTTGGTAGGACCTTGACAGCAGAAGAGCAGAACAATCTCGAGAGACGCAAACAGGAAGAGCAATATTTGATGGCTCGCCATCGCGAATATTACGCGACCCAGCAGTCAATGGGCCGAGTCCCAATGCCCGGTGTCCCGGGGTTGCATCATCATTCAAGCGCTCACAGCCTCCAAAGTCAACCGAGTTTTGGTAGCATCACATCGCCCATTACAATGCCCCCTCAACCCCCCATTGGTGCCATTGGAACATCGGGCTCTTTTTTCGACGCGCCAGCTACACATCAAGCCGCCGTACAAGGTAGTTCTGGACAGGGACTAGACATGTTCAGGGAAGACGACCTAGCTCGTCTGTCAGGACCAGAACGCCAGATGTTGGCTGGCCTCCATGGTACGGGGGCGATAGGCGGCAACCTCCCACCACAGCCCATTGGTGCGCCCACTTCGGAAGCAGGTGTGCGCAGCCAGCTCCCTAACTCTAATGAACTCAGCGAAGACGTAGAAGGCTTTCGAGGGCGCTTGCAGGAATTCGAAAAGCTTAGGGCACAACACGATGCCGAAATGGCGGGACGACAAGCGTCACCTCTTCGTAATCAGTCCAACGAGCAGGCTCCGCAAATGAGCTCACCTACACACCCTATTGGGCCTGAATCGGCTTCTGAACAATCCCCCGGCGGAGATGCTGCCCGCCATCAAGTTGAGGATGACCAGTCGGCTGTCTTAGCAAAGCAATATCAACATGCTCAAGCTGCTGCAGTTGCCGCAAAAATCAGCGGGCTCCCAATGCCTTTCCCACCGCCTCCCTCCGCTACACCTTTACCTGCTCCTGCTCCACAACGTGTCAAATCTAATTTACCAGAGCAATATGCTACGAGTTCTCGATCTGGCACACCTGACATCACGCCGTCGTCAGCTGCGGCTCAACCACCACCGCTTGCCCCGTGGGCTAAGGACGGTGGGTTAGAATCACATAAAGGACCTAGCCTCAAAGAGATTCAGCAGGCGGAAGCTCAGAAGGCGGCCAAGGCGGAGGAGGCAGCGGCTCTTGCCCGACGTGCTTTGCTTGAACAGGAGGCAGCTCGAGAACGCGAGAAGGTGGCGGCTGCTGCTCCAGGTCTACCTACAAGCAGCACGTGGGGAACCGCGTCGCCTGTCAATCCTAGTACGGCCGGCAGCCCCTGGGCAAAACCGGCCCCGGGGAAGACACCGGCGGCTGGACCTACGGCTCAGGCACAAATCTTAGACAAGAAGAAGACATTGGCCGATATCCAGCGCGAAGAGGAAGCTCGCAAGCAGAAAGCGAAAGAGGTAGCCTCACAGACCGGACCCGTATCCAGCGTCGGAAAGCGATACGCCGATCTCGCCAGCAAAACCAATGTTGTCTCTGCCCCTAATCCAGTACCCAGTGCCAATACCTCGGGGTGGGCTACAGTTGGAGCTGGAGGTAAAGTAAAGGCACCAACCGGCCCTTCTTCACAGGTGCGACCTCCGAGCGCTTCTAAGCCAGCGGCTACCGTTGTAACCCCCCCATCACGACCGGCTGTCAAGGCGTCGAATTCCACGGCCGGCCCTGCCCACACGGAAGCCATGGAGGAGTTTACCAAATGGCTTCACGGTCAGTTGGCTAAAGGAATCACAGGTGTTACGGACAGTAAGTTAAAGCATATAAAACCACATTCATGATAACACTTGCTAACGAGGATGCGCAATAGTCGAAGCCTTCGCCAACACGTTGATAGGGTTCCCTCTTGCGGGCGATCTTATCTCGGATGCTATCTATGCCAACTCTAAAACGATGGATGGACGTCACTTTGCCGAGGAGTTTATTCGGCGTAAGAAGCTAGCCGATAAGGGCGTGGTAGAGAAGCAGCCGGCCAAAAGCCCATCTACAGACACGCAGTCAAGCACAGCAGGTGGTTGGAACGAGGTAGCCAAGAAGAGCAGCTACAAAGAGACCACCAATGATGCCAGTTTGATGCAAGGTGCTGGCTTCAAGGTCGTACCCGGCCGAAAGAAGGGGAAGAAATAAAGCAAACCGGTAGCAGATGTGGCGTACGAATATCGACCAGAAAGGTGGGCCTGTAATGAATGATATTTAATGAAGCCCTTATGACTTTAAATATCGTCTGTGTATACCGACTAGTGCGGAAATGGACAAGGGGAATTGTACTTTCAGATAGCTTCACGATGCAAACTGCAACTCTTTTCTTAGCACCGAGGTTGCTCAAGCTCGGTGCTCAAGCTCGGTGCTCAAGGATTTTGCTATCGTCTACTCAAATAGGTATTGAATGAAGTGATGAAATGATAATACCCAGACCAAAATTCTTTCTCTCGGTTTGTGATTTTTTATAAGAACCTAATGGACCAGTTTCTGTAAATGTTCCCTAGTGCCCGGGTACCTCTTAAAGGGGTAAAGTACAGTAAATACTGGATATAACGAATCTAGTATATAACGAATTCAGTTTACCTATAACGAATTGAAGTCCTTGTTTTTTAAAATTCGTTATATCGAGTATTTACTGTACTAAGGGTAAGAGCTATGTACCTAAGTATTCACCAATAGCCCGCACAGACCACCTGACGTCAAATAATAAGTCAAGGGGAAATTTTAAAAAGGAGAAAAAAAAGAGAGAGAAAATGCCAAAATTGCCCCTCCCCCGCCATCGATTACATTGCATTCTACATTTACAGGTATCAAATCCTTTTCTAATGCCACTCATATTTGTAAACGTCTTAACGATGTTTATCATTTGATATATCTTCCACTCTCCACCGAATTACGAAGTTAATATCTTATACTACGCATAATGATTTTAATTTCACCGTCATCTCCATTCTAAAATTGGGCAAATACAATTACAATTACTCTATGCCATAAGCCTTAAAGGCTTGATACACTGATACGGGAATACCGATACGTTAGGTTAAACTAGGTTCAAGATGGTGGACAACGAGTTCTCACCCGATACACTCATCTCGATCGAAAGATCTTTTGAGAATTCTTCTTTCCTTGAACCATTTAATAGTGAGCCAGCGCAGAGTATAATAACCCAATTTGTCCAACACATAGTGGCGCAATCGCCCGAGAAGCAAATCAAATCGGGTTTCGACGAGACTCACTTGAAATCCCACGTTGCTACTGAGATAATCCGCCTTGGTCTAGCTTCTCTAGGGGCTTTCTTACAGACAAATGTTACAGGTCCAGTTCTCCAAGGTTTTAGCCCAGTTGAAGCTATTTTTGTTTCGGCTTTCGAGAAGGAAAAGTCTGGCACAAAGTCGGTAGACCTAGACTTGTCTATAACGTCTTTCAGGAGGCTGTGTCTCAACTGGCTTGAGGTGGACGGCGTTTCTCCATATCCTTACATACCCCATATAGAGCTCTTTTGCTTGTCGAGATTCATCTTCACAACAGGCCTTGTATTACCAACTGAGTTACCTGAAGTCTGGTCTGATTCGCAGAATTCTATCTCGCTACATCTCTCCTGGACCCGACTGAGGATTCACCTCTGGCATTATAAACTCATCACCCAACCCTCGCTAGGTTCGGGGTCTTTGTTCACCAAAAGCGGCCGCTGGACAGACGTGCCAACCCTCCAGGAGATTATTGAAAAAAGTATTCTAGAAGCTGACACTTCTGTGACTAGACCGGCAGAGACAGACCAAGTCTCGGAAAAGTCACAATGGCCTCTAGAGTACCGTATCCAATATTTTCTAGAAGAGGCAGCCTGTCATATATTACTCGGCAATGACGCAAAAGCTCGAGAAGCCCTGAACTTCGCCACGAAGATTAGTGGCTTTTCTTACGCTCTTTCTGGAGCCCCTGGAAAGCGTACACGATTTCAAGAGAAGAATATCAGTCAACTCGTAGTACTTGCCAAAAGCCATGCGCTACCTCCTACAATACCTGAACAACACCACGCCTCCAACGCCACACCTATTGCGCTCCCCCTAAACGATGATACTTTGTTAGAGAACATCAAGTTTGATAACCATGGAACCGACAGTCGAGCTTCCCTTCTTCCAGTTGAATTACAGGATATTAAACCGGACGAACAACCGCAGCTTCTTCCGGAGGACCACATCATCCTTTTAACAGAAGCAACCATGAGGGATACCTTTTCGCCTGCTGATTCGCTGACTTCGGAAGAGATTTTACCCTTCGCTCTCCGAGTGATTGACGATAAGTCAACCAACTGGCAAACATACACCCAAGCCCTTCTCGTACGGTCACGAATTGAGTTGAACAGAAGTAGAACTGTTGAACGTGCAGTTTTGCAGATGCAGGCCCTTGTGGATCAGGTCATCGTGGATATGCAAGAGACCAATGGCTTAGATGGGACGCGACGTCAAGGTGCAAATAAGCCAGAAGCTACACCCGATATCCCCGCCATCCAAGTGACGCCTGATAGCGGGGAGGGTCGACAGGACGACCTTCAAAAGCCAACATCATTTCTCCCTGCTCCCAAACCGGCCGAGTCAGCATCGCCGCAGGAGAGGCTACGGTATGTCAATGCTTTGTCGGCTCCACCGCGTTGGCACCTCGAGTCCGAGCTCGCCTACGCCTGGACGACGGTTGGGTCACTTGCCTCAGCCTTGGAGATATTCAAACGCCTACGGCTGTGGGCAGAAGTTGCTCTCTGTCTAGCAAGTAGCGCGGCGGCTGATGATCAGGAAGGTCGGGGTAGCGGGGGTGAGGAGAAAGCTCGGGCTATCGTGCGATGGCGGTTATTCAATCGCACTCCTGATGCTAACAGCGCCGCGAATCCGAAAGATGATTACGACGGGGACGATGTCGAATTCGATATCTCATCTCTAAAAGCGTCTGACTTCTATGGTTCAGAACGCTCTCCCCTACCTCCCAATGCCCCTCGCTTATTTTGCATACTGGGAGACATAGAGGATGATCCTAAGCACTATCAACGTGCATGGGATGTTTCCAATAGACGGTTTTCAAGGGCGCAGAGGTCGCTCGGTGAGCTCTATCTCCGAACGCAGAAATGGGAAGAAGCTCGAGAAGCATACAAACTTGCTGTTGGAGTTAATCGGTTAAGCTCAGACATGTGGAGCAGACTTGGTGATATCGAGCTTCGTCTTGGAAACTTCCCCGACGCAGCTGAGGCGTTCCAGAGAGCAATCTCAAGCGCAAATAACACTTCCGGTGGTGAAGATGCGAAGACTTGGAGCAACCTTGGAACTTCACTGTTAAGTTGGTATCGCCAAATCATCTCGGAGACACGAGACCGGCAGCAAAAACTTGGCAAGGATGATTCCGACTCTTTAGACGGGATGACAAGCACGAAGCGCGCCGCGGAACTCGGAAAGTCCGCACATAATATATTGCATGACTCCTTAGTGGCCTTTAAGCGTGGAGCAACACTCGCCGACTCGAACTGGAGAATTTGGGACAACGTAATCACTCTGGCGGCAAGTATCTCGCCGAATCCGGACTTAGAAGATGTAGTTCTCGGAGTTAGAAATGTAATCCGCATTCGCAAGAGCGAAGACGCATTAGATCTTGATATCCTAACCCTCCTGGTTAGAGAGGCGACCAAGACGCCTGTCCCCACCAACATCGAAGAAGGGAAAATATTCGAGCCAGCAAGAGGCACCATCGAAAGCAAGATCGTCTCACTCTTCGAAAATGATATCGTATCCCTCATTACGACGAATTCGGCATCCTGGGCTCTGGTGTCACGCCTTCGTGCCTGGAAGAAAGACTGGACTGGGGCACTGGACGCTGCGGAGAAGGCGTGGAGGACGGCTGTCGGCGGGGTCGGGAGCTCGTTGTCAGCATCTGGCGGCGCAGAAAGCCAACATGGGAGCTGGCTAACAGATGCAGACGCATGGGATGCTGTAGTTCAAAGGACATCGGAGCTAGTAGCGGCGTACGAGAATTATGGATCACGCATAGATACAATCGGTACTAAGTGGAAGGGTAAGGCGAGAAGCGCGGTTAGGAGCGTAATGGGGAAGGCCAAGGATTCGTGGGAGGGCGATCAAAGATGGCAAACATTGGCCGACATGATGGAGGACTTACGATTGTAGGGGAAAATGTCACCCTGCTGAAATATAGTAGTCCCTTCTTTCTGTGATTATAAATAGGTATCCAGTGTTAATAAAATCTTGAGGAACATTGACAATCTTATAAGTATTCGTATATTGAGGTTGTTTTATAAAGATGCAAACAGCATAAATAAGTTAAAAGACACCTAGATAGACTAGACAGATAACTATGTTCCTCAAACGCCTTCTGCCATCTAATCCTTGATATGCATCTATTGCTTCTCTTCCTTCGCCTCTTAACATATTGCGCCCCAGCCGTAGTTCCCATTGCCCAATAATAAATCAGACCATATCATCTTATCTAGATTCTCGTGGTAGTCCCCGATTCCCAAATACACTTGTCCGTAAAATAGACACCCGATGAAATGCATTTCTGACTTAAAGGTATTGATCTAGTAAAGCAAGTAGAGCAAAAATAGAAGAGAATAAAACAGCGAGCTAAAGTTACAAGAATTTCGAAACAAACAGGGTATAAAATGCTTTAAACAGAAAAGACACCAACCGATCAAACTACCATGCGTGCCTATATCACGCTCTCTAAATAGGTACCTAATCCTTCTACCTCCTGTCTCTACCCGTGTTAAAACCTGGTCGGAGCTGCGGGTTCCCAGTCCACCGAATTGTCCAGCCGGAGCCGCGGGGGCGTCGTGACCGCTCTAGCTGGAGCCCAGAAGAGGAATTTATTAGAAAAGGTCGTAAAAAGAAAAAGGTAATGAGTGACAATGTATGCGGTTAGACATCTGAATAGAGGTGCCTAGCTTTAATATGAAGAGAAATGAAATATGAATAAGCCAAGTCGTCGTAGAAAGTACGCCTGAACTTAATCAGTCCGTAGAAGCTGGTCGACCAGAGAACAAAACAAAAAGCCGAAACTCGGAAGAGATGAATCCCATTTCTTAGGCATCCTAATCCCGGGACAAGGACAGGTAAAAGACAAAAAATGACCGTAGGAAGTAGAAGGGTAGTATAATAAGGCTGACAAGTAGTGTACGGTCTAAATCCCAGGGCGGGTTGATGTGTTGTGAAGAAGGGGGGGTAAAGTAGGTCGTCCTTGGGCTAAGCAACAGGTTTTGTTAATATGATAACAATTCGTTGTGCTCGTAGAAAAGCATGCAGACATCACCAGGCATCTAACTTCGGTGAAGACTGGGGTTGTATATGGGCGGTAAATGTTCGTTTATTTGGTATCCATAACCATGTCCCCAATACCCCAGTTGTGGTATCAAATAAGATGTTAGTGGAGTCTGGTGATAGACTACCTATCATGAAGTGCATTGTGTGTAGATCATCTGCAAAGCCAAGGGTATAACACAAGCCTCGAGACCAGGTAGCTGTCGTGAAACGACTAAATCTGAGGAAAATACGACAATGCGGACCCCAGGTTTCGAAATATTATTGAAGAGACAGCTCCCGGTGATGCTTGAAATAAGGACTGCGTGACGCAGATGATATGCATCATGCAGCGGCAGCGGCGCGCACCCGATAGACACACATCTAGACATAGATACGATCCATGTTGCCCACATGGGTGCATCTGCATGTCGACATGCTTGTGACCAATCAGTCACTCGAGACTAGCCATGCAAAGTCGATCCATGGTCCCCCAGATTAGCCCTCCCCGATCCCGAGAAGGGAATAAGACGTGGTAATGACGATGGTGGCAATAGCTTGAATGCACCTAGCCTTGTTAAGAGAGATAGCCCGAGCTTTGGAGCATGGGGCAGGGGGCGGCTTGAAGTTGTCACGGGTGCGGCGGCTCTCATGGCGGAATAAATCCAAGAGGTGAGGCAAGGATACCGGGAGATAAACAGGGGTGAGTTCGTTTGGTATCGTGCGATCAAGTTGGAGTGCCGGGTTGAATTATGATTGGTTGACCTCACGACAGCTGACCTTGGCCGAACTCACCCCCCCCCCCCCCTTTTTTCCCACACACACGATTTACAAAACCTATACACCCACCAACCCTCAACAAACTTGGCATATGCCATCATACGAATGGCCCTCACTCTCCATCTTCTAGGTTCGAGCCTAGCATGGCTCCCCATCACGAACCACACGCGCGCACGCACGCACGCACGCACACACACCACACACACACTCTCTCCCTTTCTCTCTTTCTCCTTTAACTCCTAAGAAATTCGACCGTCCTAGATGCAGAACCATCTCCCGCTTCACACCATACTAGTGCCGTATGATTTAACAGCGGCATAATGAAAGGCGAGGGGGTTATGTGCAGGAAAGCATGATACGGATGTCCGAGCTAGATTCCGCGCTCTAGACTACGGTTGATCTTTGTTTGTTTCCCTGATAGTGGAAGAATGGATGGCCATCCTGCAACCCTCGTCCTCTCGCGGGACGCGCCCGGCGTCACACCAACTTCATCCCTGGCGGCGGTAGTCACGCCGCTATTCCCGGTGGCTGACATCACCGTATGCTCCAGTGCCGTACACATGACTTTGGTGATGCTGGTGACTCGTCGCGTAGGCGGAAGCTGCCGTTGAGGCATCGCCGTAGCCGCTCGAAACGGAAATAGGGTCCCAGCGCTGCGTCTGGGGAGCCATTCCGTAGCTTGGCGGCGCCGGTAAGTGTTGCTGCGGTCTCGTATCTGCATGTCTATATGAAGGAGCAAGGCTGGGGATGTGGATGCCCTGGGGAGAGTGGGACTTGATGCCAGGGGATATTGTTCGTCCGGGATACGCGGCCCATGTCGAGGGCACTCCTGTTAGAGAGCGTGGCGATGGCATCGAATGCGAGTCGTGGTGAGAATAGCCGCCGTCGGATACCGTCGGTGTATGCGGTGGTCCATAGAGACCCGGGCTCGTGCTACTAACAGGCGTGAGTAAAGTCGGCCCCGGTCCAGGGGGTACCGTAGATGAAGGCGATGCAGACTAGATGGTAGAGTTAGCGACGGGAGTCCTATATAACAACACGAAGGAGTTGAAGAAGATAGTAGCTGCTAGCTGGCTACCAGAGAGCTGAGAGCTTGTACTCACATATTTAGAGATGATCTTCTTAAGTGCGGAGCTTAAAATCTTCCAGGGGAACACTTTCACGTCCTTCTCAATATTACGCGGTTTTACGACCGAGTAGCCCATTATGATCTTAAAAAACTCCTCGGTTTCTGGCTTGGCCTTGCTAACCGTTAGGGGACGGAACCCTTCCAGGTTTCGCCGGATACGATTTTTCTCTTCCACGGTGAACATCTTTGGTGCAGCCACGAGCTGCTCCAACAAGGAGATTGTGTCGACGCTCGTCACAAAGCACTCTTCTTTCTCCGCCCAGTATATGCAACTGACGAAAATGCCATTCTGCGGTCGCTCGTTGACTGGTACAGCTTTGAATGATGTCGAAAGGGTCGAGCCTTGCTGCTTCTTGCTGAACATGACGATCCGCCTTCGATCTTCCCATTCGTCCTGAGTCCACCCTGATACCATCGACTCGAGATCTCCGTTTATCTTCAACACCGCCTTAGTCGAGTAGAGAGCGTACGGGTTAAGCTGTCCACCCCCTGTCGGCCCGGACGCCTGTAGCGTGCTCGTTCGGATTAGCTGCGGGGTACTAGATGTTGTTGGTGCCGGTAATGTCGCTATATTGCTCGGCCGACTGATTGTTGTATGGTTGACGCCCGTAATGGGACTCCGTGCCGAGAGAGAATGGCCATATGAGTTCCACGAAGGAGTTTTCAGCGGCGGCGGACGGGGGTAGTCGATTGCGTAGGACGAACGATGGTAAGTCCCGATCATGTTGTCGTTGTTTGAGTAGCTCGTGTCATAGTTGGACGCGACGGTCTGTGGTGCAGTGGGAGCATAGCCGTATGTATTTGTAGCAGAGTCGGTTCCCATATGGTCTGGTTCTTGTTGTTTGGTAGGGACTTCCCTCTGTTCAGGTGATCTAGACCCCCTTTTCGCCCGCGTGACATCCTCAGGCGGGCCCTCTGCACTCCCGGCTGGTGTGTCATGATAAGTGAACGTGCCGACGTCGATCGTAGCCAATGTCTGCCCGGCTGCGCTCTCGATCAGGAGTGATAAAGGCACGTTGGGACTGGGACTCCTCGTGTCTTCAAGCTGCGGTGCGTCTCCGCTGACTGCATAACCAAAGCCGCTCGCATCACTTGTATCCCTAACAGCGTGTGCCGGACTCTTGTGGGAACCGAACGCGAGGTAGAAATGACTCGTGATCGCGATCAGATCGTACGGAGCCGATATCTTGATCAAGACCTTAGTTCCAAATATGCCCGCTGTCGGTTGGTATGAGATCAGCGTGGCTACGATTGGCGTCATGTACTGGCCGGCGGAGCCGTTTGCCGCGAAGGCCATCTGGTTGAGCTGTGCAGCAGCATTTTCAGGTTGCTGGGTAGCAAATTGCTGAGCAGAGTATTGGTAGTGAGGATCTTGGTACGATCTCGACGAATCAAACGCTGCGGCTCGAAATCGAGTTAGCTTCATGATTTCTTAAATCCATCACTATCAATGCTATTCTTGCTAGAACCGAAAGCACAGGGCCTGTGATTTTTGGGTTCTAACCAAAACAACGACCAAGCAAGTACTTACCATGCATCTGGGGCGGCTGTGGTTTCGAATACGTGGACATAGACAGGAGACCAGGCGGGGAATCCCCACGAAGGTCTCCTCCGTTCGCTCTAGCTGCGGCCTCCTCCTCGTACCTAAGAATCACCGTCTCGGGGGACTCGAGCGCGTCAGTATCGACGATTATTGGCCTCTGGGGATGGTACTGAGGCTATAACTCCCGGTCAGTACATTTCCAACAGCTGTATGCCTTCTCTCGAGTTTGACTCACCTCGAACAGCTTGTAGGTCGGGTATTCAAACTTGACGGCAGACATTAAGCTGCCTGTTTCGAGCAAGTCTAGGGGATTATGGAATGGGATACGTTCCAAATGGGACGAGCAAACACCTGTTTCGGGAGCAGTGTTGCAGAAGTTCGAAGGGCCTCGTATGTTGAGACTATAAAGTAGTATCTCCCTAGATCCTGTACAGGTAACGTCTGGAGTTCCTGATGAGAGGGTTAATGGCTATCTTCTCGCGTGCCGCCTGTCTTATGCGATACCAGGCTTGCGGGGAGATCTGATATGACTGTTCTCCTGATGGCGAGTCGGTGAAACAGGCACCCAAGGAAATTATGCGAGCGGAATAGGAACCCGTAGTTGCTGAAAACTCAGAAACAAGCCGCTGTAAGAACTGACTGGTTTGAATCTCAATAGACTAGAACCGCAGGATGCTCCGCCGACTTATTCGTGGGGGGGATTAATATGAAAACCCCTTCTTTCTTCCTTCCTAATAGGCCTAACAGTCTTTGACAGCCTAGCTCGCAGGAGTAGATATGAGTCTAGAGCCACTCATTGGTCGAAACAAGCTGTTGGCAAACTGATTCTGAGTCGAGTCTCGGAAAGTGGAAGCATCCAAAACTTTTCCCCACCCCCAAAAGAGGATACTCAACTCCCTTGCTATCCTGTCCGTCCGGCTGCCTGACAAGTACTTCTGCTTTCTTCTTACTTGTTAGTTAGGAGGGAGTACGGCCTATTTATCCTAGAGAGCCTCGTCGCTATACAAGTTATGGGAATCAGGCCGGGAGATTATGCCGATAAAAGCGATAGTTGAGCTGGCGGGATTGAGTGACAAGATGCTATAACGTACCGTGTACACTCAAGTTGGTTGAGTGTGGATACCTAGCTTGTTCGTATGCAGCCTGCCCGAACGTGTTCGCATGAAGGTGAGTTGGGAGGGCTGCAATCAGAAGTAGGTGGCTATCCGAGAGGTTCGCGTGTCCCGCGTGGTTCGTGTCGTAGCTTGAACCAAAAGACACGAGTTGCCAACAACGAACAGGTAAACGGGCTAAAGAACAGCAAGTTGTCGGAGAAGCTGTCGGCAAACGAACGGGCTTCAGAAGAAAGTCTCTGAAATATGTGTATGTGTGTGTGTGTGAGACGTTGATCCTCAAGCTAGAACCAGATGGAGGGAAGTTCTTCGAAGGGAATAGGAACTGATAAAGAGACGAGAGGAATAAGTTGCAAGACACATTTCTCGGATCGCCGTTGTGAAGTAATGGGGCTGTAGTCAAGATTCCTATGCTGTGGCCGGTCGAGACCATTGCATTACACAGGAATATATACTATCGATGTACCTTTTTTTCTCGGTTGTTCATCTCAAGCCTCCCCTGCTTTACTTTTATTGTTATTTTAATTTTTTCCTGCTTCTTTACTCCGTCTAAAATTTCCCGGGTAGCTCAGGTAGACAACGGCAGACTTCTAGTATATTTCCATGCCCCTTCAGAGTATACGTCTTTCTTTAATCTCGAATTCTACGTTCTTGTAATGCTGAGTCGACCAGTAACTTGTGTATGCAGAAAGGGTGATGCAAAATCCAGTGGGAGTATAGAGGGTGGAGGAAGTAATGAACAGGGATACCGGCCGTTGAAATGCGAGATCCAATTGTCTTAAAAAAACTGCAAATCATGCAAGGGTCTGTGATCGGGGGGGAGAAGACTTTGGGGTCGTGCACCAGAATCAGGATTAGGTAGACGATAGATATGGACCCCCCGCATTAGTCGAAAGGGATAGATACCAGGTAGACCACTAAAGGAAAGGTCCTATAGTAGCATGTAACGGGACGGGCGTGAGAAGAAGAAATTTATTAAAAAAAAAAACAAAAAGGCCCAAGAGCAAAAAAAGCATGGGGTATGTGGTGGAGGATACATACTAAAGGAGCAATGAACTGATGGGAATGACAGGACAAGGATGAGTAAACCTACACGACTTAGAAGGGGGTGTATATGAAAGATGGCGCAACTCCGTGTCAGCGTACGTAGGTAGGCTAGACTGCACTACGTTGTATGATTTAGGACTGGAGTAGTTGAGAAAACGTAGCCAAGTAGGCGAACTTAGAGACTTCCAGTCCTTAACTGGCAGAAAGTAGGTAGTCAGTATTGCAAGTACAGAGATATTGTGCATGAAGTACATGTAAGCAGGTGTGTTGATATATCTTGATAATTTCTACCTAGGTAGTTATACATAATTCTCTTAGCTCCGATTGCAGTCGACCATGGGCTTAAAAATTAATGAAATGGGACAGATGTAAAGTCAACATCGCACTCGCAAGCGCTAATAGGCATAGGACCAAGCATATTGGTGAGAGAGCTAGGTAATGTAGGTACGCCAAAACATCAAATTCTCCCGCTGTCAAATGCTTTTTCTTTTCTTCTTCTTGGTTAAGTCGATCTATCAATAGACGCCTGTTGTCTGGAGCTTGGAGATGGGTACGCGGGTGTAAGTCGTGTGTAGATCGACAAGTGGGAATTACCGGAAAAGGGTAAGAGACTGGGAATATTATTGGCTAGCTACTCATTCCGCTAACTCATGCAGCTATTGGACGATCTCCGCAGGTCAATGGAGGATGTGGGCAGCCATCTGAAAGAACCTAGCCTGCTTGGGATGGTGGGATGACCTGGGAGTTCGCGGTGGCCCGCCGCTCCATGCCCTCGTGAACTGATACTCCGTAGAAGTGCTAAATACATATAACCGACATGTGTACCACTCGGCGAGATTTGCTCATCTCATAGTGTAGTGGTAGGTTCCAAAATAGAAGGGGTAGAGAATACATAGACGACGGCATCAGCCGCCTCTAGTGGAACCCCAACCCTTGACTTTGGGAGCCGAATCAGGGAAGATGGGATGGTTGAGGAGAGCCCCCCTTGTCCATCTTGGCAGTATCTTCTTTTTTCTTTTCTTTTCTTTTCTTTTCTTATTCTTCTTCCTCCTATCAGTTTCGGGGCTAAGCAATTTGTAAAGCGTATCGGTGAACAGTTGCGACAGCCAACATTTGCTGTATCTCTTCAAAAAAATTATTCGGTCCTTTCACCCTCGGGTAGGAATGCTGACAACGATTCTCCGGTGCGCGAGAAATAGCCATTCTAGAAAGAAAAGCAACATACCAGAACACAGCGATTAAGACGCCGCAGAGGGAGGCTGGCACGACAATCTAGGTTGCTAGGTCATAACATATAGGAATATATTTTTACTAGAGCTTTTTGGAATCATCACATAGTAGTGACGTCCTTTTCCACATGCTACTAGCATATACCGACTAGTCGGCTTCGGTATATCATCCGGAGTTTGCGTATGAGCTGCTTTCTATTGTTTTGGGGATGATTAACTATAAATTCTAACTTGGTATGAATTCGAGCAAGAATGAAATCACGATATTTATATATTAGGTACCTATATATACACGCATAGCACCTCTATGTGAGTAAATAGCAATCCCTTGTCAACTCAAGAGAGTTGTGTTAGAAGGATGGACGATAGAGCTGATGGCATCCATGTCGTTCAAACTCAATAGCAACACGCCGTGCTCAGAACGTCGACTATAATTGAGGAAAGTCATATCTAGAGTCGACGTATAGTTTCGTCAAGTCCGGCTCATGCAATGCCATTCGTTGTTTACTAGCTTGCGGAGGTATCACAACGTAGAAAGCGTCGATCTTAGCTACGTAAGTTGTTTGTGAGGACTAACACTCTCGTTCAAGGATACCCATGGAAAAAATTACAAGTGGTGAGATTCTTTCCCTCTTTTGATGATGAGGCTTCGAGAAGCACTCGTCACGCAGCAGCAGCTCCATCTCAACTCGACACCTTCTTAAAAGCATGTATGCATACACATTCGTTCTATCCAGATATCCATTAGCCATTCCGGTAATCAGTATGGGAGTGTGCGAAAATAGTGTTAGAGGAGTGTACGATCATAGGTATGTACCATCTACCATGTATGTACTCTCGTATGATGATCGCCCTTGGCAGTGGGGGAGACCTTGTCGCAGGGATTTTGATGATGCTGCGGCGCATCTACAGTGGTGTAGAAAGGCAGTCACACGGTAAAGACTGGAGGCATCTATCTAGATCATGTAAGGCTTACTCTTCCGGCTTGCCGTATCTGTACGCAGCAGTATATGAATACAGTATGTATGACCATCTTCATGTGCTACTGTAACTTGCGAGTTACAGGAAGCTATTTACATGAGTCTCGTGCAGCTCACCCTCGGCACCCTCAAAGTCATCGATGTGTGTTTGTATGTACATACATACATACATATGTCTTCTATCACATCGGCTGACGACTCCAGACCTGTATGATCCTGCGGCCCCCAAATTCCGAAGCTCATAAATAAATTGAAGAGAAGCACCCCTACGATTGCATATAAATCCTCACCTCTCTCATTACAGATGTAAAGAGCCTTAGATATCCAACACCAGAGCTTCTCCTACGAATGAATTTGAAGAGCAGACTACATGCGTAAGTACAGAATTGTATATATAAGATTAGCAACACCCTCACACGAGTTTCCAAGGTTCTTATTCTAGGCACGTCAGGACTCGATCGTCACACCTCCGCTCAGATCTTAGATACGGCCGTACATAGCTAGCGTAGGGGACCGATAATTTTGTCGCCGCAAAACTGATGTACAAGCCATCATCAACAGGACGTATCCTGCAATTGTAATTTTCATGTCGTACAGAGGCTTGCAACGGTGGCATACCGTCCCAATGCTAAGGGCCTAGGTAAACAATAAATATCGCTAGATATTATAAACATTAAGTAACCAGGTCGAACGCTTGACGATAAGTCGCGAAATAGACTAAGACGCCTATCAACTCAGAACGGCCGCAGATACATACAAGCCCCTCGGAGAAGTGCTCGGCTTATGATATTACTTGTTCGGCTCGAGCATACGATACCTTGAGTCGCACACGGGTCCTGCAAGCATGGTCCATTTACGTCCCAATAGTTTGGGCCAAAGTCCGGTTGGGTCCTTGTCTCGCACATGCTAGACGGCTATGGACGTCTCTCAGTGTCTCTACCTTACTACCCAGGGAGCCGTCTACCACTCTTTCTAAAATCGAGGTTCCTGAATGTCGGGAACAGGTATCTGACCCTGTCACACCCTGAGGTTTGTCGCAGATTCGCGATAGATACCCCTTGTAGGTAGCACGTCCCCGTCTCTTGGGACCAAGATATGTATTAAAGAGGCGTGCCTGTGCAACTACGCAGTTCGTTACTAACTTGCCCCTTTTCTGTTTTATTTCGTTTTTCTGTCACATCGCTCTCGAACTACTACTCTGGCAATGGAAAGCATAGTCTGGGGCACGGACGAGACTATGGGTGGTGGATGTACCTACAATTAAACGTCGGCGTTCTCTCGCATCTCGTAAATATCCAGGTCCCCGATTTGGTATGGACAATAATGTGCCTTAGGCTAGGACCTGCAGGCACGGCAATATCAACGGGATAGGATCATGTAAGGGCTAAGGCCATTGAACGATAGCTTCGGATATTATTATAACCGATCTGCTCTCCGCCAAGACCGCCCGATCCCTTCTTAATGCTGCCTATGGTAATCGCGAACCAAAGTTTACCCCATGACGACGATCAGCCGCTCTTCTTGACGTAAGCCTCTTCCGATCTTGACAAGGGAAGTTGATGACCTGCTTATGGTGGGTCTGGAGGGAAGGGGGAGACTACATTAGTGTTTGTAGATGTGTAAATGTGTAAATGTGTAAATGTGTAAATGTGTAAATGTGTAAATATGTAAATGTGTATATACGTAGTCGTAGTAGTAGTAGTAGTAAATACGCAAGAATCTCAGCTTCGTGCATATGTATTATACAATACAATACAATACACTACGAAGCGATACTACTACTATAGGCTTCAGTGGAATTTAGGTACCGCTCACATGCCCTGTTCTCGATGCATAGATGCAGCCACATAAAACTGGAGGGGACCATACCATTCGGCTCAGGCCGAGAATGGACAAGCCATAGTACCGGCAGGGTTTCAGAGCTTATTTGACCGACCAGGGGAAAGCCTTGAAGATCTATCCCTCCTCCCGGCATCTTACTCCACCTTTTTCGTTCAGTAAGATAGCAGCGTTGGTTGATACAGCATACGGCAAGATCTATCACATGCGGTGGTATTCGAGCAGACACCACTTCCTTACTCAGGCTACTTACCAGGCTACTTACCAGGCTACTTACCAGGCTACCTACACCTACCTGGGGCTTCTATCCAAGCCGGTGACGGTCAGGCCATCAGCTATTGTCGCACGAGACCACTGCAAAGGCCCGCACAGGGCGATGGGGTAAACAGTATCAGCGCCCCGAGGATCGCTCGGTAGCCCCATACTATGCGGTGGTGTATGCGGTGGTGAAGGGAAGATGCGTGTAAGCATGTGTGCGTGCGTATGCTGTAAGTAGGCGACACCAAGAGCATCACTCTCATTTATCGCCAACAGCGGCTTGGCCAAGAACAGTAACGGGAAACGAGGAACACGCTTAGGTGCGCAGAGATTATGCAGCGAGATTTTGTTTCCTCCAGATCTCGCGCACTCCCTTTCCCTGGCCCCTGGGTGCCCCCCGATCCTGGCGCCTGGAAAAGACGTAACATGGAGCCACATATGCCGTACGACGGGTACAGCATCAGCTAGGAATAGCTAGAACAGGATGCCCGCTGTCATTTGCCTTGTGCAGTAAAGAGGGAGCCGACGATCTGGCTACCGTCTTTTTGTCTTCCCAGTATTGTTACCCAAACAACCACAACCTTTCGAAGCTCGGGGTTCTCATGGTTCACAGCGTTACATCTTCCTGGGGCCTTCCTGAGGCCTCTATAGACCAAATGCTATTACCCTGAAATATATTAGAAGACATGGATATGCCTTGTGCTCTCGGCCTATGGCTGCTAGCATTCATCTTGACCGTGTCATTGACGACGGAGATCGTATGACTCATTATTAATGCGACAGGGGAAAACGTGGCCGACTAAGGAACGCAGCCATCTCGTCGGGATCTCCTCAACGGCTTTGTCTTTCGCTTCGTTCAGGAGGGTGAGATGGCAAGGTTGAGACCAGACATCCTAACGTCTAATAGAAGATGTTTCGAGCCCTTGCAGTATCTGCTACGCTGAGACGCGATATATCACCTGGTCTGCATTGTTATTAATATCCTTACAGAAACGTGGTGTTCCAAGCCACCAAGGTAGCTCAATTCCACGCGATTCTGACAGCTGATTTATAAACATACCTTTCACATTATCATGGTTTCATCGATACTTCTTACAGAGTCGCTATAGATATTTACCTCTACTACGCGATTCGCCTACCTTAGGTACTGGGACAGTCTTTCTCAGGCTACCTACCTAATATCATCATTATCAGTAACATGAAGTCTACCGCTTTTTAGATACATATATCATCATTCCCGTTTCCCCCGACGAACGATCCAATAACGCATATGCTTCAGTAAAATATAACTATGTGCGAGAGATGAACGAAGACAATATATTAACTTATCCCACGATCAGAAGTCTGTGACTCCCAAGTCACTTTCACTTCGTCTACTTGATTCTTGTGTATTCTAACAAAATCCAGTGCTAAACGTTGCACGTGTATGGGCCACAAATATGGGATTAGTACAGCATCATGTTAATATCAACTGCATGGATCCACGGGCCAGCTCTGAATATGCAACGCAAGTGTCATCAGATTCTTACGCCTATACCCCTTTTCCCGTCGCCGCCAACGTCACCTCGTAACTAACCAGCGACGGATTCTGGTTTCCTAGGTACTTTAGCTTCTACATTAAGATGGTTCGGTTGCAACTTCGATGACATCTAAGCCGACCTAGAATATTGGTGCACCCGTGGTGAAAGCAGCTATCCGTTCCTAGGTACCTCATCTCCGTGTGTGCCTCGATCCTGCAGCAATGCGTGCGCTCCGACCTGGACGAATTTTACGCCCGTAAAACAGATGTGCATGACCTGCAGTGCAACAAACAGATGAGCTTATGCTTTGTTTTCCTGTCGGCTTGTGGCGCCTAACATTTTGGCCTTTGGGATGCGCATAGTGAGCGACTTCGTGGAACAGCATTGATATACCTAACGTACAGCTACATTGTTACAGATGAGATACCTAGGTAGATAACACGGTTGGTTAGACAATAAGTATATTACTCGTTAAATAATAATAATCGAAGCTTCGATAGTACCAAGCTTGCGAAGAGAGCTCATTTATATCAGCTCATCTAGAGGATCTTCATTCTAACTTAAGACTTGCGCTTCGAATTCGACATGGAGGTTTATTGCTGTACTCTTGTTAACGATAACAACTAGAAAATGTTACTTTAATTTAGTACGCGCCCGAGCATAATGCATTCAGCCGGTCTCTGAGCCAGCCATAATGAAAAGCTATTCCGACTTAGCCTAGAGGCTCGTTTTCCGGGCATTAGATTATACGGCCTAACTGCCGCTGTAATCTGTATAAAGATCTGTGTTACTCTCTAGCCTAGTCTTTTCAGGATCCAGTAGGAGAGAGTAAAATAGACTGGGTCTTCCTAGTCTAAAGTGGCTATCTGACAAGGGTTTAGAAAAATAGAGGGAAAACGTGTGATCTGATATTACTTTACGTGGAACTGTTACCGGACTCCTGGGACCCAACAACCTGTAACAACTTGTCGATTTCTATTGCATGCAGCCTTCCGTCGCCCCACCGGTCTTATGATACAGTAAGTACTAGAAAATAAATCAGTTGGTTCCTTGTAATTTATAAGCATAGCCGGTTTCTGTAGCGGCGGTGCTCGTTTGTTGCGTATTTCAAGAAAGGGGGACCAGGCAAGTAGGAAATGAGGCCTTTTGAGCTGGATGTGTACAGAGTTACTGCGCCAACGAACCTGGCTAGGAAGGCTGTCCGTCTTTAGAGGTTGGGGCAAGTTATTCTGCGTCGTTGGGATACGTAAAGAGCTATTGTCTCAGTGTCCCATGAACGAGCCGCACGTGGGTTTTGTGCTCACCACCATCATTTCGGGCGCGGGTTAGATAGGTACCTAATGTTTGCCAACATACCTAAGGTAGTACGTTTCTCTTTACTCTTTCCGGGTAGGTGAGGACTTCGTTCGAGTTCTGGGCTACGTCCGGACGCATAGTCACATCGCCCGGTTCAGCCACAAGCGATGGATTTCGAGGCTCGCGCGTAGAAGAGGAATGGGTGGATATAGACTAATGTCTGCGAGATATTTTATCTATCGTATGTTTCCCATATCTGTAAGCACCCGCTTCCTAGACTCTCAGGCTGCCGGGTAATCCAGTCCTAGATGTATCTGATCTTGAGCAACGAGCACTCCATGTATTTGAATTCACCAGTCATACTCGGTACTCATGGGCAGCAATCTTGTTTTACATTTCCATAGCACTTACTTTAACTTTAAAAACAACATTGTAATGATTTAAGAAGACGGGGCTTACTGTAGTCGAGTAATGAAAGCGAAAGCTGGTATTTGGCTCAAAGCAACACTATCTTAACTACCTACCTACCTAACCCTTTTTTGGCTACATTTACAAGTACACGGTTGCATATAATTAAGCGAAAGAGCTGCAGCCGGCCCCCAATGTACAAAGATTTTGCAGGGAAACCCCGAGCAGGTCTAAAAATTGGCTCGCTTAGCAGTTCTCGGTGAGTGTCTCTTTGCTTCTTCCACCCGTACCTACCGGAGTAGTCCCTCCTCAACCTCGGATGCTCCCAAATCTACTCGGAGATGGATTAATCCATTGGAATCTAATCACCGCTCTTTCCATACTGAAAAGCGAATCCTCAGGGAAGTATTGGCTACACTTCTATGCTGGTGGCTTCGATCGTCATGTCATCCGGAACGCCATCCACCACTAGAAGGAACCGACCGCCTCTCTTTTTTTCTCCATCTTGTAAATGCGCTATACCCGGAAATATAGCGTTCTAGACCAATCTCACTATGATAAACCGGAATGAAGATTTCCGTATGCAACACTACAGGCTACAGCCGCGAATTTATCTAGGCTTCAAAGTCTTCGTGTTATCTATTAGGTACTCAATAGCTCACAATAATCCATAATATAGACCTCTTTTACGTAAGAGAGTAACCGATAAAACACGGCATACTCCCAGTAGCTCCCATGGTGTAGTTTTTATTACATGTTTCTGTCCTCAAGGTCGAGTTGTCAGCTTATAGATTAATAAATAAATATCTACCCGTGCTGGCTTAAGATTACCCAGAACATTCGACGCTCATCTGTAAAGCGGTAATGTACCTAAGTCAGTAGCCTCTTCTAGGTTTATGCCTCGTTGTGAGCCTGACATCAACTTCTGCATACGCCAATATCCTATGATTACTTCATGAGACACCCCGTATCCCCAGGGGCTGTATAGTTGGAGCATATTCCTTTATGCTGCTAACACCATTATAATAGTAGAGGTAGCAGATCTGCAATTGATACGCAATCAAGTGTTTGATTTTGATGTAAGCTTCTATTCAAGGGGAGAGAGCGGACAGGGATGCTCGATTAAACCAAGATCACGGCGATCCCGATGGAGCAAAATTCAGATATATAACTTCGCTTGGTAAGCTTATAGTCACCACTGACTAATTGTAATGCTTTTTCACACGCATGTACCGAGATGTACTTGTGTTAGACAGGTGTAGGTGGTCAAGGTGAATCGTGATAAGTTGAAGGCCCGAAAATAGGGTATAGTGAATATTATATGGCTCATATGCTCTACTGCCTATTGGCTCTTGTAGTATTATAGGAGTAAGGTAATTATCACGAGTGGCTGGGCTATTGCGGATATGGATGGCGACAAAGGCTAATATAACCTATCAATGCTTGAAAGGAGTCATGTATAATATATTTGTTTATAACTACCTACTCGAATAGCACTGGGCTTAGATTTAATATGATGTCGAGGAATATTGAGATATAAACTGGTCTATATATACGGCTTTTGTTATTGTCTTTTAACACGTCCTTGAACCTCCATTATCCTTCGCCTAATGCCCTTCCTATTGAGCCTAGAGGGTCATAAATTCCGATATCCCTACAACAAAATACCTCCATACTGACCTACACTAGTCATCCTTGGGTCGAAGTGGTTTGAGTCAACATTGGATTTTGCAGTGGAATATAATAATGTCCAAGGAGAACTTCGTCTAAGCTGATAGCTTTAGGAAAGTTAAAAATTAGTTCACATTACTCTCCTTTATAAATATTCATATAATCCATTACCAAGCATATGAGACAAGAGCAAGTATTTTATATAAAACTGGGAAGTGAGGCCGAATTCAGCAATCCTTCTGCTATAGTTGAGGCCTCGTGAACATAACCAAGAGCCATGTTCAAAAGCCTCGAGCTAGACTCAACGCTACTTTCGGTTGCTGAACTGGGTCTGCCAGATATGGGCTTCACATTCTGCAGAACAGTATGGATCTTTGTATAGCTGAAGAGCGAAATTATAGGCCATCGCCACAGAGTTAAGGATATATTAGTATAAATTCAACACGTAACTTTAGTTGATAGGTGGACCCCTAATTCGCTAACACAAGATGTAGGAGAGGATTCGGTATAGATATCTACCTATACAGGAGATCAATGGAATTATAAGCATTTAGGTATGTACTGTTATGAGGGTTGTTTAAAGACGGTATTATTATATTATGATTGTAGGCCCTCTAGTACATTGCGGATTTGGTTTTTTTATATCCGCTTTGCCTCAACTATCTTAAGCTATGGTTAAGATGTGGTACTGGATAATGGATGTATTTAGATATAGATTAGAGAAGGGTAGTCTGGATTATTTCTCTTCCCTCCCTAGTTAATTTATCATCTCTGCTCAGCCCGTGAAGCATTCCAGAGAGCTTCTAAGTGGCCGCCTAACCTTTAGATTTATTTGGCATCATGCGACAACACTAAAGCCGAAAGAACCATCGAAAACATCGATATCTTCTGGTTCCCTTCCACCTCGCATAGCCTGGAGCATATCTAACTGGGGGACGTCGTTAGGAGGATAGAACTTTAGAAGGTTATCAATGTCTTCGTCGGTGAGCCCACACATTTCATTCCAACTATAGGCATCGCTAACCCTCGTCATCCAACGCATCCTCTTGGGACCTTCTTCGGGGCTTGGGGCTATCTGGCGTAGCTTAGCGCGTAGTGCGCCGATCCTCTCGATAGCATCACCAATATTTGAGGGCAACTGACTCCCGATCCACTTCCTAATACTAGCAGCGAGTCTCGGTCCCTTTCCGTTGGTGCTGACCATGATCTGCAAGGGTCCATCACGATGTATGCTTCCAAAATAAAAGTCGCATTCGGGCGGGACGTCAGCAATGTTAGCCGGAATGCGATGCTCCTTGCATAACTTCCAGATTTGGGTTGAAGCAGCAGGATCGTCGATAGCGACAAGTACCATGTCGGGAGGACCGTTATTTGGAGGTAACGTCTCTAGATCTGAAGGCTGGAATACGCGATCGATATAAGTGACCTCGTCGTTGTCGATACGATGCCGTACTTCGGGATTGAGACCGGAAGAAGGGCTTACGACGGTAACATTGGCATCGGCGTTGAGAACGTTAAGGATGCGGCCAGCCGCCACCTAAGCAGAGAGATGTCAGTCGGGATATCTCTTTAGGAGAAATCCTTCAAGAATTGATAGGAATTTCGGTATACAATCTTACCTCGCCGCCCCCAATCACCAGAACATGTTTGTTCTTGACCTGCCAGGCTAGAATCAAACTGCCACCGCCCTGGACTGGAGGGAATCTGTCCTCGCTATTATTCGCCATTCTATCATTCGACTAGCTTCGAGCTCCAGCAAGTTACTGCATGATCGTCATGTCAAAGATAATGAATGGGTTTAAGATGTTCAAAATATAGAGAAGGGAAGAAAGGAGGTTGCAATAAGTTAAAGCATGTTTGTTTTGATTTTAATTACCTATACGTGTTTCTCCGAAAAAGCTCAAATCGGAGAGTGAACGAATAATGAGCATGAAGAGTTTTGATACGTTGCGATAATAAAAAATAATAATAATAATGTAATGACGAAGAAGCTAGGATCCATTTATATTATGTCTCAAGTATTATACCTAGTAGTACATCGTAGTTAGTGGAACATTCAATGTTGTAGTGGCACACGACAGGTACTTACCTCTTTGCAATGTAGGGGAACTTCCAGTAATAAGGCATGTGTAGTACTTACCTAATACCCGTATAGGTACGGAATAGGTACATTATATTCCAAAATTTGTATTATGTACACTAAGCTGGACGATTATTAGGCTGTGCCAAGTACTAATATACGTCATATCGATAACTGTGAGTGTTAATGTTCAATGTTATAACTTATTAGGACGCTAAGCATTAAACATTGTGCTTGTACCACTTCCACGTCCCTGAGGTACCTACACGTAACATAACCTTAGCGTTAGGTACTTTGCATCCTTTTGCCTTGCGCCGCAACTCTCCAACTTTCCAACTCTCCAACTACCAACTACAAACTACGAGAAACATATCGAACCTACGACTACGAGCCGCAAATCGGGAACCTCTTCAAGCGACCTGATGGGCAGATTGAGCTTGTTATTTTTACTACGAAATCCCATCTCCTCGGATTTAGATTCCCATATCTGCGACTTGACATCTTCTCGACATCTTCTCTCGCAAGTTCCGACGGTGGTTGCGGAAATACGGCGTCCTCATGGCTTTTCAAATACGGGAATTCTAGAAGAAGCCCAACATGTCCAGTCGGAGGCTTGGCGGAGGGAGGATACTTGGTAGCGGGAAGGGTTTGGCCCCTCCAGCGCCTCCAGCCATCCAAAGGGAGAGAGCTGCTAGCCCCTCCGCTCCGTCTGACAGCACATTGTCCATCGGCTCTCCCGCTACATCCATCTCTCCCGGCACCCCTAGCCCCTTGGCCAGCTTTGCGCAGGACCTGACCTCCAACGTTAGTCTAGGAGGGCCGAGTACTGGCGGTCAGTCAGGCTCCAAGCTTGTATGTCCCATATGCGAGGAAGAGATGGTGACGCTGTTGCAATTAAATCGTCATATTGACGATGCCCATCAGGAGCTACCTGAATTCGAACAGGACGAAGTCAAGTCTTGGATAGACAAGCAAGTCCTGAAGGCTAAGAAATTTCAACCTCTCTCCCTTATCAACCAGAAGCTTCGTGGCCTCGAAGTCTTCGAGTCCAACGAATCGCTTCCACTCCCTGTCCCCGTCACCAGTAGGGCAAACAGGGCCCCCGTTCCCGATTCGCCGCTAGATCCCGACGATATAATCACCAAAACCCATTGGCAGCGACAGGGTCTAAATGATCTATGCACCGACCCGGCTTGCGGGAAGAGACTAGGTGCCGTCAATGGCAATATAAACTGTAGACAATGTGGGAGACTATTCTGCGAGGAGCATACGATGTACCAGATGAAATTGTCAAGGTCGGCCTCGCACGAACCTGTGAGGGGTTACTGGTATCGCGTGTGTGAAACGTGCTACAAGTCGAGGGAAGGATATAACGACCACGACGGGCTGATAAGGGATCACATACAAGAATTTTCAGCGATACGCAGGAAGAGAGTCGATAGGCAAACCCTAGAGATATCGCGATTAGAAAAGAGGCTTACCAAGCTGACTCAATTGCTTGCTCACTTACCTGAAGAGGCGGGGGTAAGCGGTGGCACGGGCCTGCTATCTCCCCTAGCCGCGCAGAGGAATCAGCGGAAGGCGATTGAACAATCGGTTGTGACATGGGAGGATGACGGTAAGGTTCCGAAATGCCGGTTCTGCCAGCAGGAATTCTCCTGGACATTCAGAAGGCATCATTGTCGAATATGCGGGCGGGTAGTATGCGCAGATCCCCAGACCAATTGTTCGTCCGAAGTAGGCCTGAGCGTCACAAATCCGTCTGTTCCTGTATCAGAAAAACTAGGAAGGGAAAACTCTATAGGTATTGATATCCGCATGTGTCGTGATTGCAAGTCTACCATATTCTCAAAGCGGGACTTTGTGGAATCTATTGTACACAAACCGCCTGACCAACGGGCATACGAGACGCTGAAGCAATTTGAACGGGGAATCCAGCTCATATTGCCTACCTTCCAGAAAGCTCTCTTGCCGCTGCAGGATGAGAGTAACACACCAAGCCATGCGCAGATCCAAGAGGCGTCCAAACTCAGGAAGCGGCTCACCGACAGCTTTACTAAATACGACGTGGCAGCGCGACGAATCCGTGATATGAAAACGGATAGCCCAGCACAACGGCAACTGCAGAAGGCCATCCACCAAGCAGCCTCCGCGTTCTTGCATATGCATATGCTACCGCTTAAGAATCTTCCGCGGATGCTAAAACACAACAGCTCCAGCTCCAGTTCCGCTAAGAGCCGCCTGCTCGCCAATGGCCACGTGGCGAGCCCGCTACGGAACGGCAGTGACATGCTCGAGACGGCTAGCCAGACCAGTGAGGCTAGTACGGCAGTGTCTGCGTTGGAAACGGAAGAGAAAGAGCTGCGTGAGCGGTTGATCGTCTTGGAAGAGCAGAAATACATGGTACAAGCCATGATTAGCGGGGCGCACGGCGCGAGGCGGTTCGAGGAGGTTAGCGCCCTAACGCGGAACGTTGAGGAGCTAGAGACGGAAATCGAAAGCGTGAAAGGCAAGGTCACGGCTGTCGAGGAGAGGTGGCAGGGCTTCTACGCGAATGGCGGGCCCGGTTTAATCTTGTGAAGGGTCATGCTTGAACTTGAACCAATGCTTATAATTTAGAAAGGAATCTATTAAGGTGTAATAACAGGGAAGAAGACTACCGAGGAAGACCTAACACGAGGCCGGACGTGAAAACATGGCTCTCTTTCGGTGACGAATTTGAATTACTGCATGGCATTGGCATGGCGTTGGTTGGATAGAGGCTGCCTGGTATCTATCTACGAAGGTGCCGTTATTTTTAAAAAGGGACTTGGAATGCGAGCAAAACGTTATAAGAGTCTTCTATAGGGTTTTCATTCATTATTCAAATCCACCCCCGTGTTTACCTGTTGATAGTTTGACATTTGTCGTGTGGCAAGGCGAATAACATTCTCGTTCAAGCCTTCTAAAATGCATACATTATTGTTTTTTGTTCATACGTGCGTGACATCCATTAATACCGCAACATATTGCGGAGTGAAGAAATTTCAAGACGGGCGATCAGCAGGCCTCTTTGGCGACTGCAGTATCGCGGACCGCAAGTATCGGAGCCGAATATTATTGGTCTCGGGCCATACCTTGGTGAGCTTATAGTCGGCACGTAGGAGGTCTGTCGAGCTCCACGGAAGTGCAATGTAGCGGTCTCCGTAGCGATCCCAGAACGTCTCATCCCAAGGGGTAAGCTCCTCGACGCGGCGTTGACCCAGCTCCTGTTTCAGCGCATCAAACATGATTAAGGGCACCTGATGTAGCATCTCCCCCACCTGCGCATGCCGGTTCTGGGAGAATGATAGCATATCCCGGAGCGCCTCATTAACACTTTGGAGAGTGATCCGATCGCCGCCAGCCATCTCAACACACACCCTTGAGCGTCTGATTGTAGACGGTAGGGGAGGTGTTAGCTGCGGGTCGTAAGCCCAGCCCAACTCATCCTCGTCATCATCCGATGAGCCACCACCGTAAGGAAAAAGTCCGTCGCTGTTGGTGACGGGTATCTCCTCAAACGGGAGGTTGAAGCTACAATTCTCAACGGAGAGGCAGAGCACGTCATCGACATGGACACGGACCATCCGGCGCTCCAAAGGTTCTCGACGATCAGCTCGTCGCTTAAAACTAGAGCGGTAACGCAAAGGAAGCAATTCCCGTAGCTGACCATCTGCCGCTCTCACAAATAAGCCACGCCGAGGGCGAGTCAGCGTGATGGTAGCGGCCTCGGCTGGAGAGAGAGCACACACATCACGGGCTTCTCGACAAACGCGACGTAGCGTCTCCCGAGCCTGCCATGCCGAAGGATCGTACTGGGAGACTCTTCCATCATTATCATTGATAGATATACGTCGCAGGTCCAGGTACAGCCAGGAAGGGGAGTTACTCTGATTGGCACCGGGATGATCGTTAGGTATGCAATGAACGTTGAAAAAGTTGATGCCAGGTGTGGGAAGGGCCATGCGCCAGATCTGATGCCGTAACTCGGGCGGCAACTCCTGGAATTTAGAGAATAGGAGATGTGGAACGGATGGTTCCGGTGACTCGGAGTCTAGCGAACTCGTAGATGAACTCATAAGTGAACTTGTAAATGAATTGGGTTGATCGTATAGGTGATCATTCTCAATCAATGCCATTGGTTTAGCGTCCGAAGTACTTTATGGTTCGGAATTAAATTAGCTTGGCGTCGAATGTATAACTTCTCTTGCCGCAAGTAATTACTATAGGTACCTATGTAGGTACGTAGGTAGCTTTGTGAAGTTGTAATATTTTGAAGTTGGAAGATAACGAAAGACGAGAGAATATTAAGAGACTTATATATATATAAGGCCAAGCCAATGAGATCGAAGCTAAAGTGTAAAGAGGGACATATACCAGGTACCTAAGATATACCCCGCATTAAGCTATACATTAGTACGATCAGGTACATTAGCGTAAGGTACCTAACAACTTATAGGTATAGGTACGCAAATACATTTAGGTTACAGCAGCAACATCCTTAGGTTAGAATTTAAACCTGGAAACAACTTCAATTATCCAACAATTCAGATTCGGCCCCTTAATAATATCGAATATCAGCTTCATCTACGTTTACTAACGCGCCAATTAGTTGAATCTTTCCAACTATCTTGTCGTTGTAACATCCGGGCTAACATTAGCTCTATTTGGACGCGACGGTCACGACGAACGCGCTGGCTTGCATCGTTACTCGACATCACATTTACATTCAATGCCGCCCCGAAAACGAAAGAATAAACAAGCAGTAGAGTCCGCCGCGGAACCTGCATCGCCATCGCCGGATCCAAACCCAGAGCGCTCCCCTCCAGGATCCGATGCGTCTCCCACCTCGCCCGCGTCGCCAAGTGCCGACTTGTCCCACAACGATTCGGAGCCGCCACGCTTCTTCAACACCACCTTTACTACCTATCGCGTGTCGCCTCTCTACGTGGGTAAGCAAAAATTAACGCCTGCGCGCCTACAACTTCTATCTAAGCGCCTACGAGACGCTCTCGTCGGTGATGTAGTACGTGGCGTACAGGTCGGGTTAGACAGTGATGCAGAATTAGGGCGTACAGGTGCCTTATATGCTGTGGAGTGGCGATGGATCGATACCAAGAAGATACTCGGAGGTAGTCGGCGAGAAGGTAGCGTAGAGTTAGGGAATGACTCCGATGAAACTGAGCGGGCGCAAGGGGGGAAACGGCGAGTTCTATCTATAGAACTAAAGTACGAGAACGCTCGGTTTAGCGCTCTGCTCTTGTCCGATCTATCTGGAGACGAAGCTATACCAGGTTCTAATTATCAGCCCTCGTGGACGTGGCAGACGAATGATAATAGTGACCCCAGGCCAGGAGAAGATGGTCGAACGGCGTTCTTACACTTACCATTGCTTCTATTCCGGATGCCCGCACCTCTCAAATCTTTGCTCATCGATTTCCTGTCCAACACTTTTGACTGTCGTGTTAGCCCCCTTGCGCTAGGCACACAGACGCTCGTGAGTAGTTGGGAGGCCTGGTTGTCCGATAATCACTCCAAGAGAAACCGACATGTGCCGAGTAAACATATTCTTATTACGCTCGGTTTTCACATCGAGCCAAGGGAGTCTAAAGGGCAAAGCAGTGGGAATGAACTTGACGATACAAGTGAACAGGATCAAGGCCAAAAGCGAAACCTGCCTCATGTAGGCATAAAAACTATTGACATCACCATTCCTGCCTCAGACGTGTACCGGTTCCTCCGCGTGGGTGAGAAGCTTGACAGCAAGCCTCCAGCCGCCGTCATAACGAGGAAGCGGAAAACGGACGCGCAAACTACTTTATCAGATGACCAGCAGAGTAGGAGGCGCCGGAAGCTCGCGGGCGGCAAGGACGAAGAAGGATGGGCATGGCGCAGGCAGTATCACGGTAGTATCGAAGGAGAAGCAGAAGACAACGTTATTAAGCAGCCATTCACCGATGCCCTAGCCGCGTACATGTGGCACCACCTTGGCCTGGACATGTTCCACCCGGGCGTTCGTGTGCAGCGAGTTGCATGTGACGGATTCGCACTGTCTGAGGGGAGGCTCAAAGTATTCACCCCGGTTCGCGGGCATAGCAGCGATGGCGATGGCGATGAGCAGGAATCTTCCGCGTGGAAACTAGTCCAAGGGTTGGTGCGGAAAGCTAAGGGGACGTCAAGCTGGGCTTCTGAAGCAGCAGCAAAAATAATAGGACAGCGTTAAAATAATAGGACAGCGTTAAAATAATAGGACAGCGTTAAAATGTAAATACATAAGGTAGGGACACGAAGCGTGACTTATAACCTAAGAAATCAAGGATGTTGGTACAGCAGAGATACCTAAAATTAGGGACAGTTTATGAGGACCGGACGTGGATGGTTAAGATACCCCTCGGATGTAGCATTGGTAAGGAGTCAACTGGTCAAATGAAAATTAATGTATTCTCCAGGCTCGGGTTATATAGTTCATTATGTCCCCTGCATCAAGAAAGAAGAACAATTATAGGAGCCCATTTGAATCCCAAAGATTAACAGCCAACTTGCTCTCAAATCGGCAACGATTACCAGATAAAAGTATCGGGACGAAAACCCCATCATGTGATATGTGCGTTTAAAAATTCGACTCCTTGCTTGCAGCTTGTAGTGCTCAGCATATACCTATATACAGTCGGCCGCGGAATAATGCTGGACGTGGAATCATAAGCCCCCCTCCCTCCCTAAACCTGCCAATGGCTGCTGTTAAATGCAACCAGCACATGGTCCTAATATTGAAGATGTACAAATCCAACAATGCCATACCTCATACAAGACCTGATTATAAAACCCCTTACGCCCAAAGCCGTTACACAATTTCGATCCATCAATGCACCCCATCAACACCACCAAGAAATCTCCGTATGCGGCCCATCTCAAGTTCGCCCCTTTCGCTCTCTACGGCACGTAATAAGCCGTCTACGACGACGTCAACTTCGCTTTCCGACACACCGGTACACAGCGCTACTACTCGTCGGTATTTAACTTCGACGTCTTTGCTACGGCCTTTGAGCGAACCTATACTCTTCCGCATAGCATCTTTCCTATTCCTAAGTGCTTGTATACGTGCACGGAGGACCACGGAGTTAGGTAACAGAGCGGCATTCGGTGCATCTCCATCCGCAGGCTCCAAAGCTGCATCGAGTTCTGTCTCCCAAGAGTTATTTGCATCTAAGCGACCATAATTTTGTTCCAGTCGCATTAAGTGTTTCTGCTCCTCGTCACGACCCCGACTAAGGTTGCTTATCTTCTGACGCGCGAGGGATTGCGATTTAGCAGCTGCTTGTAATGTCTCAAGCTGGCGTCGCGCATCTCCCAATTGGGTAGACGTCGTCCGCAAAGAGACGTGAAGTGAATCAACACCCTGTTGCTTCTTTCTCAGTTCCGTTTGGAAGCTGTTAGAAGTCTCGTTCAGAAGGTGTGTGATAGCTAGGATAAGTTAGGATTAGCATATAAATGAATGGGACCTTCTCTATAAACTCACAGGTAATAATCTCAGCACTGTTCTCTCGGGTCTTCTGGCAATTGCCGCCAATATTTGCCTTGTCGGTTACCATCAGATCACCATTGGCCCCATCTTCCCCAACGTCGCCGCCCACTCCAAAGTCAACCGGTCTGAGACCTGCCTTGTTAGCGATACCGGGATCCGCACCCACCTCAAGTAACTGCGAGATAATACTCCTATTTCCGATCCGTGCCGCAATATTTAGCGCGGTATCGCCAGACTTATCTTGCGCATTTACAATCTCGCTCATGAATCGACCGATGCCCATCTTCGGTTGGTTAGAGTTGCCGTTTGCTGTCGCGTTTTGGCTGCTCGGCGCGCTCCCTTGTCTCACAACCCACTCCAGGAGACTCTCCAAGTAGTATCTGCTGGAATGGCTCCTACCCTTCACAGCACTCGTAACAGCAATATGATGCAAAACGGTTCGGCCCTTGTTGTCTCGAACGTCGATAGTGTTACCTAAAACGTCGAGCAATTCAGGGAACGAAACCTGATCTGAGTTATTCGTTACCGCCGATGCTCTCATCAAAGCTGTTTCGCCCGAAGCATTAATTCGATAAGGATTCGCACCTGCCGATATTAACGCCCGCAGAAGAGGTATTCGAGCTAGCGTAGCGGCCCAGTGAAGAGCAGTATGACTCGATGCATCTATTGGTGCATCGAGGTCCAAAGCTGATAGCGTCTGGAGAGCTTCGTTTTGAGAGTAGTCAGAGGCGTTGGCATTAGGATCTAGGAAGAGCCCCATGAGTAGGTTGCGCTTCTGGTCCGCCTCCGGAGAGAGCTCAAAGGGTAAGGGGGGTAGTGGCAGAGTGTCGTTCTCATGTACGTCGATGCCGGCTTGAGAGTATTGGAAAGATTCGTTGGGCTCCGTAGGCGAGCCGGGGAAATTATTGGCGTACATATCCATAGAATGCGACGCATATCCAAAACTATCTGCAGGCGTAACAACTTTTTGACGTTTTCGCGACGGCTCTTCACCGTTGAAGATCTGTGTATTCTGGGTTGAATATGCCGAGTCAACATTTTGGCCGTAGTCGGAGGTAAAGCTCTGCTGGGAATTCCCCTGAAAGTCGTCGACGTTCTGCATCGAAGACTGCCGACTAAAACCAGGTGGTCTTGTCGGACCATTCCGACCCCTCGGGCCGGGCGAATCGAAGCGAGCCTTGCTAATAGCAGCGACAGCGTTAGATGCCGTACTCGAGATGTTCTTAAAGAAGGTTCCAGATAACCCATTGGCGCGGCCGTCGTTTCCAGCGTACATGCGCTTTCTTTGCGCAGCCATAGCCTGCTCTTTGGTAGGAGTATTAATGTCTCCTCTGCCCGCGATGCCACCATCCTGGCCCATGTCGTAGATTAAGAGAGGACGGAGCAATTCTTCAACTCCGTATTGACGGCATACCTCAACGCCTCGGTCGAATTTAATCCAGGTGCCCTGATATTTCCCATAACCGCCTTGTACCTTTTCATGTTCGCCAGTCTGTATCTCCTTTTCAAGAATTTTCGTTCGCTTCCCTTTATCGATGTTGGCAACCTTGAGGATCTGAGTGGCATTTAACCAACTATCTGCGCGGCGGCGCATGACAGCGACCCCATTAACCTCCATCTCGTAGACGTCGGTGCCAGAGTAGACAGCCTATATAGATAAAGGTTAGCGGGTTAAGCTATACGAGTTGAAGTTGATATAGCTTAAGGGGGATGAATAGAAGACGACTGACAGAATATATTTGCGGTGCATTATGGTCATGGCCATGCCCATGCCCATTTCCCAGTCTCATATTGGAATCGGAGAACTGCCTATAGGGTTGAGCGGGCTGGCTCATGGTAAAAGACTGCTGCGATGAAGGTTGCGATTGCGACATTTTGACGCTGTCTATAGCAGCGACTATGCCGCTGCTTCTCTCAGTGGAAGCTGGAAATTGTGACGACGACAGAATAGAAGACTGTGATTGGCGTTGAGAATTCGATAAAGCTTGAAGAGGGTTACTAGCTGGTTCGGCAGTAGTGCGTGGGATGTCAAGCTGTTGATAATGATGCGAGATAGCGGTTGTTGCCGAGGCCATCAGTAGTAGAGTAGTAGAGTAGTAATAGGTAATAGCAGTAATCCGTATGTAGAGTAGCGGGTCAAAGTGGATTCGAGATGTGCAGAAAATCCCGGGACTCGTCAATGAGATTAAAGGTAGAAAAAAATAAATCTGAGTCCGAGATAATGTGGATCGTTAAGAGGGGGACAATGCGCCGGTAGCGTTAAAGATAGCATATGGATATGCTCAGTCGTTGTTGCTATCAATTGTCTCCAGCTGGGTAGATCCAGATCATATGCTAGGAGGTAGGCATGTACCGTACCTACTGAGGAAGGAGTTGTGCGATTCGTTGTAAGTTGCAAGTTGCAAGGTACATACATAAAAGGTACCTGCCTATGACAAGATTACGAAAAGCTCGAGGTGGTGATATGGAATAATGGTTGGAATAATTTTTATTATTCCAACCTCGGACCAGTCGGCGTAGGATGGAGTGAGATATAATTTAATAGAAGGGTATACTGAGATATGCAGAGATGTAATGATGTAGTGATGTAGTGATGGGAAGACACGGGTCAGATCAATCAGATCAATCAGATCACACTGACGCGCTTTTCGCATGCACTTTCTCGTTGGACAAGCCCTTGGGTAGACCGTAGGGTTACTCTCGCGACTATTTTATTAATTCCCGTTCCAGGCTCCGAAGATGCCAAAATTGGAATTCAATTAAAAGGTAGGAATTAGGAATAGTGCATTGCCGCGCGAAAAGGGCGAGCATAAACGGACGTGTCAGTTTCGTGTAATCGTGAAGTCGTGACTCGTGCCTGAGAGATGGGGGGGCAGACGTAATAAAATAAAATAAAAATAAAAATAGGTGAACCGGTACGGATTACTTAGGCGAGACACGCGCGTGTGTGGCCATTAAAATTGAAGAAATAAGGGAACGTGATGCACAGACCGCCTCTTGACATAATTAAAGTGAGGGTAGAAGCGAAATGTACCTAGGGTAGAAGCGAAGGTGTACATAGAAGGTGGGGTTTTTCTGAGGAATCTAGCACGGATTACGTACAGCATCATGTACATAGGTACCTTAGGTACCTACGGATGTATGTACAATTATGTACATGTATGTAGCTCACATCTCCATTATATTACATAAGTACATGTATGATTGAGCTTACCTAACATTATTCTCTTCAATGTTCAATTGAATGTCCCATTGAATGAATATTGTATGTATCTAAGGTACCTAATTCTAATTCCGTCCATCTCGTCAACTTTTCTACCGCGATGCCTCTACAGATCCCCCACCCAAACACTCCCCTACATCTCTATCGACACCTACTTCGAGAAGCCACATACCTTCCTCTCCTCTGTCGACCCTGGGTAACGGACCGCATTCAAGCCCGCTTTCGCGATTGTCTTCAAAAGACAGACCCCAAACCCCATATCAAAGATGCTCATCACTATCTTCGATACCTTCGTTCCGCAAACACCGGCCATGTCAACCGGATGTTGCGCCTATGTCGTCTAGCAACAGGCAGGATTGGCAAGCGACGCCGTATTCTAGGCAGGACCGAACTATCCAGTAGCCCTCCAAGCAACTCTGATGAACTAGAAGAGAGAATCACACTACCCGATGGCAAGTCGCGAGAGCCCGACTGGTTAGATAACTGGTCTGTAGAAAAGGTTATGGCCATCGCCACTTCACAAAGCCAACATCCAGGCAAAAACTTGCCTTTTAATATGCGCCGAACTGTCGACCCAAAGCACGTCATTCCGAAAGAAAATTGTTTTGGTCGCCCGCTCACCGCGAAGTTAGCAAGGAACAAGCTAAAGAAACATTGGATAACGATTCTCCGCCAGTTGCTACCCCCGCTACCCCGAGGAGAATGGGATCAGTTAGGTACTATTGCAAGAGGTGAAGCCGACGCTCGGTATTATAAGATGCCCCCAAGGAGACAAGTCGCGCAGCCGCTTTCAACTAGTCAAGCCCCCCCAGAGTCAACCTGGACAGACTTTGTGACGAAACCAATACGATCTTTAGAACGAGGAAACTCGCGGAAGATGAAGAGTCTTAGCGGACGTGAAGATGAGGATCCCCGAGGGCATGGGCGGCCCATTGGCGTCCGAGTATTAGGTCGAAGGAGACTACGTCGCAGTTTATATATTGGTGTCTGGCAAGCATCACCCATTGCAGAGAAGAATCCCCGGTCGGGCAAATGGTCTGTCACCTGGGGTAATAGCGAGCAGCCAGTTCCCCGTCCCAGAAAAAAGGATCTCCAGTTCTTTCAAGGTATCAATAAAGCCGGCGTACCTATATAGTCCCTACGGTACTATTGAAAAGTAGGTCATGGGACGGATGTATTTTTCCTAGCCAGATTGCTCAGTCTAACAGGCCAGCTAACTTAGTTAAGCCCTCGCGATCGACTCGCATCCCTACCCAATCGTCCATCTTCTTAGCTCCAATGGATTCGTAGAATTGAATACTCGGCTCGTTCCACTTCAGCACGCTCCACTCAAGCCTACCGCCATTTGTTGCTACGACCTCCTTAGCCAACTCGACAAGCAGCTTCTTCCCGTAGCCCTTTTTCCGGTCCGTCGGCCGAACAAACAAGTCCTCAAGGTAGATACCTGCTTTTGATCGCCATGTGCTATAGTTATAAAAGTACAGCGCCATGCCAGCCGGTTTATCTTCTTCGTTGAATAGAAGGAGGCATCGCGCCGGTCTCGAAGGCGATGTGGACTCAGTATTGGGGGCAGTGGAAGTTGATTCAACATTATCGGGGGCGAAGGCTATGGTAGAAAGAAGCGTGGCCTCGGTTGCTTCAACAGAATCGAGTTCATGCTCGTAGTCAGCCAACTCACGAATCTGTTGGAGAATTATCGGTACATCTACCAGAGGTCATACAATCAGCTTTTTTCCTTCGCGATGTATTTGGATCAAGTACTATTTAGCATACCATCTCGGCGAGCATGTCGAACTTTGCAAGATGCCGGTGCCATCGTGGAACGTTAGATCGAGGAGAAAGCTTAGTACGATACAAGATTGATACAGACTGGTTGTCAGAGTGGATTCTATTCAATAATACTTGTTGGAATTTATACATAAGGTAGGTAAATACCACCAATATCAATGCGCCTACGCCCTTCATGCAGTGCGGGAGCAGGATGCTGGGTGTTGTAGAGGGGTAGAATGGAGTCAAAATAAGTGCCTAACAAAGGGAATACCTTTGTAAAAGGTTCTCTTAAGATATATAGAGCAGAAAAAATACCAAAAATAATACTAAGATAAAATAGACTCTAAATTTTATTCTAATATAAGTTATAAAAATATGCTCGAAGATTTCGCTAAGTTAGGTGGATAAGAAAATGAGCATTTTGGTATGTTAGTACTTGTAAAATCGGCACTTTTTTGACGCTATTCTGAGGGGTCAAAAAGGCACAGCACCGAGTTTCGGGAACCCGAACCTTAGGTACCTACATATTCCCCACAACACTATGCATACCTTATTCAAGATGGCCGAATAGGAATTCATTATGTGTTCTCGTTTTACTTTAGAGAAACGAAACGGTGGATACATGTATCCCCTTCGTATCAGCTACCTTCCAGATATCTATGTATTCCTAGGGGCTATACAAAACAATAAAAGGCTATTATATATCTCATGAAGTCACATCTTTCAAATATACCAGTTAAAGACCACTACTTATAATATACCTAAGAGGTTTGGAAGTCAAAGTAGTCGCTAGCTGAATAGAATATTGAAGTAGTTTCTTTAAATTACATCACAGTAATGTATCGAGAATAGGTTTCATTGAAGGAAATATATAAAGATATCTGTCAAGCAGACAGTCTTCGTTAAGGTTAGTTAAGTTACATTTTACCCAAGTATAACATCCCGTCAACTACAAACTAAGACTTACCAACACGATTTAGGCAATTCTACGTAGACACATATAAAAGTTGAACTAGAATTACTTCGCTATATCATATCCTTTTTGCAATAGACTCAATGAGCAAATAAGCCATTCTTACTTAAACTCGTACAGCTACAATGTGCCAACGGTATTAGAAACTCTTTGGAGATTTCTCGAGTGTAACTGAAAGCCAGTATCAAAACTACCTAAACCCTAACTAGTTAATGTTCCTGATCTTCAATCAATCCTGTTAAACTACAGTGGATATTAATGATATGAGGTGCCGGATAGGTACGAAATTTGTCACGTCAGACCGGGTCGATATGTCGTGATCCACCACGTTCAGAGCTCTCACCAATCACGAAGCTTAGCAGCGTTGCAGACTCGGCTTAACATCTCTAAAAGCAACCTGCATCGTCTATAGATATCTTAAGTCAGTTATTGCTATTATGATGCCATGGACTAGGGTCGTGGGTCTCGTCATCGATATGCTTGCAAGTTAGTCTTTGAAGTAGCTGAATTGCGCACTTCAGACAGGCCAGACTAGAGAAACTTTCCTCGCCTCTGCCTGTCTCGACTACATTAAAAAGACTACTAGTCATCATCTCTTCAAGTTTTCCGGTACGGTTGTGCTTGTGCAAAATGGCCGAGAAGACTGTGGACGACGCTCCAGGAGGCGGCTCTGGTGCCTCTGACTCTGAGATCACCGTTTCAGGAATCAACGAGCGCGCGCTGTTAAGAAAATTGGACCTGCGACTCTTACCTGCGGTTGGGATATTGTATTTATTGTCTTTCCTTGACCGAAGCAACGGTATGGCTTAGGCGTTTCTCTTCGCGATCTCTGCTCTGGATATCATGTTCGCTAATTTGAATGCTATGTAGTTGGCAATGCTCGTATTGAGGGTCTACTTGACGACGTTCACATAAGTAGGCATTCATAGCAAACTGGTAGTCAGCTTGCCGCTAACCTTTCATATAGCTGGGAATCAGTATCTTACAGGTCTAACTCTGTACTTTGTGGGATATGTGCTGTTTGAGGTGAGACATTCGATAAATGTAATGATTCGAGCGGCGGGATATTAATCAGGGGATAGATCCCTTGCAACATTATCCTCAAGCGCACAACGCCCAGGATTTGGCTGCCGACGTTAACAATAGTATGGGGCATCGTGGCAACTCTGATGGGCATAGTCCATAATCTAGCAGGTTTCCTCCTGAGTAGATTCTTCCTTGGTGTTGGTAAGTAGTAAGAAATCTTATAAGATTATCATCATCACCTCCCGTGATACCACCGTTGCTTTCGACAACAACTAACCTATTAACAGTATGTAACGATATTTCTTATTGCTTTATTCGTTTGGCCGTCTGGTCGTTCTACCCCAAGAACATAAAGCTTATCCTAAAGTCGTGCAAGAATACTCACATGAAATAGGCGGAAAGTGGTTTATTTCCAGGAGTAGTATTCTACTTCTCTATGTGGTACAAGAGACGAGAGCGGCAATATCGCATATCCCTCTTCTTTAGCGCCGCATCTCTAGCTGGCGCATTTGGCGGTATCTTGGCTTATGTTTGTATATTCTTTACCAGAACTCAGAAGGATTCGGTGGCTAACTCGGACATAGGGAATCGGAAGAATGAGAGGTATTGTCTGGGAGAACGGGTGGCGCTGGATTTTTATCTTGGTTCGTGATACCGACACTCGTAGTTAAATACTGTGAGAGTTTCTAACTTGAGATACTGTATTAGGAAGGCATTCTCACGGTCGTCGTGGCAGCTGCGGCGTATGGGTTTATTCACAACTACCCAGACACATCGAAGTTCCTAACCGAAGACGAACGGAAATTTATCCACCAGCGGTTGGCGGCAGACAGCGATTCTACGCACGACGAGCGCTTTAATTGGGGAGCTGTAGTAGAAGCACTGAAAGACCCAAGCTGCTGGCTCTACGGATTGGGATTTCATACAATGAGCTTACCTCTCTATACGCTGTCTCTATTCTTGGTATGAAATACCTCGGCTTTAGTAGTATCAGGGCAGCAGCTAATTATCTTATAGCCAACCATTATATCCAATCTTGGATACACGGCGGCAACAGCCCAGTTGCTCACCGTCCCACCGTATGCGTTTGCATTTATAACCACAGCCTCTGTAGCCATTCTCTCCGAGCGACTTGGCCAAAGAGCAATCTTTATTGGTGGCTCTGCTATCTTCGCTGTTATTGGTTACTCTATCCTGCTAGGAAACAGTGATCCGGTTGCCAGACCCGGAGTTAGCTACGTCGGCGTGTTCTTCGCTGCAGGAGGTATATATCCGGCAAGTGCCCTGGTGTTGTCTTGGCCTGCTATCAACGTGTCCGGTCAGACGAAGCGAGCGATTGCGAACGCTATGCAAATTAGCATCGGTAACCTCGGTGCCGTACTGGGTACACAACTGTACCGTTCTACGGACGGACCTAGATTCATCGTGGGCCACTCTGTTGCCCTTGGGTACCTCGTCGCTAATGCGGTTGTTGTGACAATTTTGGCGGTAAGGTTAAAGAAAGAAAATAAGAGGCGTGAGGGAATAACAGAAGAAATAAAACACGTAGGGGAAGTAGCTGATTGGCAGGGAGATTCAGATCCGAGATGGCGGTTTGAATATTAAACACATTAAGTTTCCGAGGCAGCTAAGTCGAGCATGTTCAGAAGAATATTTGATTAATCGCCTTGGTACGGCAAAAGGAAATTATTAAAAAAACACTAGAGCTGGTCGCCCAGCTTAACTTCCGTAGTCGTACAATTTAAGAAAGGACATCTACCCGCGGGCTATCTATAAGGTAGTAGTACTAATATGATCCCCTTACATACTTGAACATCCCACTGTCAAAAGCTGAAATGAAATTCAGTGTTCTCTTACTAACAGCTGAGGCCTGATAATCGCCTGAACGCCGAATTCTCTAGAATCGGGAATTCACCTTCCATCTGTATATCCTTTGCCTTGAACTGATCCTTATATCGTCCCATGGCCATTTCTGTCAAGAAGCGTCCTAGGTCCTGCGTAGGGCTCCAGTACGACCTGGCGCCATACCTCATCGGTGGCCCTAAAAGTGCATAAGCAGCCTTGTATAGGGGCGTCTTGACTGGAATATAGGGCTTGATAGCATCGTGACTGGCGGCATCGATAAATGCTGGGCGGATTGAGCTTGCATGAAAAGATGGGTTTGCTCTGCGCATCTCAGCCAGCGCTAATTCAGTCTCGCCCTTAACCCGGGCAAATATAGCAGAGAACCGGCCCGGCTGTGTTGTTGCACCCGTCCCTGAGACGTAAACGAAATTAAAAGGTTCCTCTTCGGAGCCCAGTTTCTGAAAGGCTTCCGATGCCGCTAAAGTGTAGTCCTTGGTGATCTTCACATATTCCCTAGGAGGATTTGTTAATGGAATAAAAATGGCAGTAAGGATATTGTCTTGGGTAACTAACTCGGGGCTGACTTGTGTCTGACTGATACCTAGGGCCCATACGCAACCTGAAGCTCCCTTGAGCTGAGAGAGTAGCTCAGAATCATACTTCTCGAAGTCCTTGTGGAGAATAACATGAACCCGAGGGTCCTTAACGTCCTCAACCATCTTGACAGGCCGGCGGCTGAGAATAGAGATCTTGCTGACGTCCTTCATTTTGATCATGGCATCGAGAACGCCGGAGCCTACCAGGCCAGTGGCTCCGGTAAGTATTAGATGCATGGTGGTCGAGTACTAGGAATAGGTATGGCAAGGAAGAAAAATATGGGGATTAGACACGATGAAGTCAATATGTTAGAATCCTATATTAACGATATTCTGTTGCTGTCGTATAATATAGGGGGCACGTATTTGATCCTTACAATGACGGTAACTGATAATTGATTCCCACGCTGGGAATTTCTACGAAGGCTCCGGCTTTACTTATAAAAAAAATCTAATAAATTTGACCATGCCCACCCATGGCTACCTATCCATCTAGACTCTGGATTTTATGATTTCAGCCCTACGAAGGCAGTTTAGAGCTGACGCTAGCAGGCTTAGACATGATTAAAGCAGATGGGTATATGGGTGTAAGCGGACTTAGTGCACATCAACACTAGCCGTGCATTAATCCCGCGGACGCCGTATGGAAATATTAACCCCGACGGATCGATATTTAGCCCGACGGCTTGTTTCCGAATATGAATTCGTTTCGAAGATGACATGAGGTTGAGTGTTATAGTAAATATAAAAGCGTTCCCATTTTGAATCAATTTGATAGACAAGTCGTGAGTTCTATTTTTGCTGTAATTGTAATCTGGGTTAGATTTGACTGGACATACATAGCTCTCGTCTCCTATAATGCGGATCCCGGATGCATCATTTGCGACGATACCCCAAGTCTTATGAGCATAGCAGTAGTAATGTAGGTATCTATCGACGGGCAGTATATCAACTAAGAACTGTGCATCGCTATATGTATAATGTCGAATTAAAAATAATTACATTATTTCGAATCCTGCCTAGCGGAACTAAGAAATGTGCTTTCAATTGATGCAAATAATAGCATTTACAGGTTGAGTCTTCGCGTATAAGGGTCATTCGAACCCTGTTACGTCAACAAATAATAAACAAAGACTGATTGAAGAAGGCGAGGAAACTAGAGAAATTATCTACTATGTAGTGTCACACACCTCACCAGTTATGAGATAATTCGACCCTTCGATTAAACACGGGATGGTGTTCACGGACTTGGTTACCGCGATAGGTAGCTGATAACTTGCAGGCTTCAATTATTGCAGTTTCCAGCGCACGTGGCTCTAGCCTATACTGAGTTGCCCTAAGTATCGAAAGAAAGAGAAAAAGAAAAAAAAGAAGGCATATAAGCTGCGTGGCGCTTGTCTAGTAATGCAAGTTAGGAGATTGACATACGCAATCGAGCCGACGGCCGCTGATTCGCCTTTCGATGTGTGGTAAGAGAGGTAGGTAGTATTACTATTACTGCATAAGGTAGAAGATCAAGTATCCTTATCAGCTGCAATGGATGCATGTTCTGGCCACTTAGATGTGGTAGCTCAGCCCCGGATTCGCAGCTGTATTACATACATTAGTTTAGTTAAAAGGGCATGTATTCGACCATGTATGAACCGTAAGGCCAGATGAGGAATGTGTCAAGTAAGCAGTCAAGCGAGGTGCGATTACAGGAACCCTGACTAACTTCGATCGACCATGAGGCCAATCGATCTGCGAGACTCGGTAGAATGGTAGCATTGCCTAGAAAAGTCTAGTGGTCCTTGCAGGACTTAGTAATTCTAAAAAGTCCAACGGATCGAGGTTGTGATATAAGTGATGTAAGTGAATTGAGAGGATGTGGTGGTGGTGTGGTGGTGTGGTGATGGCAGCGTATCTTTGCTGTCTCTGTTCCGGGTTGTTCCCATAAAGCGTGCATTTCCTTCCAAGCTTTCCCGACTGCGGGATATCTATTAAATAAAGAAAAAAGAGAGAGCGCGTAAGAGAAGCCGGCAAGAGAACTTATAAGAGACAATTTTCATAGAGCCAATTACTATCACGTGATACAATATCCATCAATAAGGGAACACTCGAGTTCTTAAAAGTTAATAACTACATACACCAATACATACACTACCTACCTAAAGGTATCATATCATATCCTTGACTCTTGACCCCTGACAAGAACTAAACAAGGTGCGGGGCCCCAAGACAACTTCTGCCGACCCAACAACCTTTGGACCCTCCAAAAAGACGCCACGATTTCACGATTCCACGACAAACTCCCGGAGATTAAATTCACTTGGTATTAGTAGGTGGTGTTAGACGCGCCCAGTCTTTCATCTTGTCATACCTCCGCAACTTCTATGGCCTCCTCTTGTCTGCCGTGTCCCCATGTCGGATCATCGAATGGCGCCGAAATCAGATACTGATACAAGAGAAGAGGAGCGCCTTGCCGCCTGCTTCAACTGTAAGAAATCCAAGCTCAAATGTGTCCGGCCTAGCGGGTCCTCAACCTGTACGAGATGCACTCAGCGCTCAATTCAATGTTCCGCGCCGCTCTTTCACGTAGGTCGACATAAGGGGGTTAAGAAGTGAGTCGCAGCTATTCGTATTTCCGTGGATTTGTATGGCACAGCCTGGCTAATAGCTCCGATAGCAAGCATTCGGGGCTAGAAAAGGCCGTCTTTCAGATTGAGCAGGCCTTAAGAAGGTCTAGCTCTGGCGCTTTGGATCAGATACAGACAGCTGATCAAGCTACCGAATTACGATTTCTGCTCGAGAGGAGCCGAGAGATTTTAGGTAGTGACAATGCATTCTCCCGGCGTATATCGTCCCAGAATGGTATGGAGCACGATCAAGCGTCTGTGTCTCCCCAGCAGACATCGACTTCATTAGGAACATCACCATCCCAAACTTGTTCGCGTGACGACTCGGCAGTGCACACTAAGGTTGAGGAAGACCAGCTAAGTCTGGACGACGCCGAGAACCCGTTGCAACTGCTCGCCCGGACGTCTGAGCTCCTATCATCCATAACACCACAGATGCAAGGGACCGGAGCAGGACGACTACTCTCTAAATCAACAACTAATCGTGGTGTGGCTGGGGAGGGCGATGATCTACAGAAATTCTTCGGTCGTTTCCAAGCGCGACTGGATGTTGGCGAGGACCTTGACCCCATTGAATTGGGACTCATTACCCTCGCAGAGGCAGAAACATTATTCTCTTAGTATGAGCAGATCCCTTAGGAACTACAGAGCTTCAGATTATCAAACTAACGCTATTCCAGCTTCTACGAAAAACTCGCGCATACGCGCTGGGGCATTGACCCCGTCATACACACCGTAGACTTTGTTCGAGGTCGTTCAGCTTTTCTGTTGACCTCGATAGCTGCCGCATCAGCACTTTTCTCTCCGTCCATGGAGTCATTATATAAAAGGCTTTCAAATCATCGGCAAAAGCTCGCCAGTCTTATCATGGCGAAACGCTACAAGTCCGTGGAGATTATTCTAGCGTTTATGGTCAATATACCATGGATCTCGGCCGGTGAGCATTGGGCCGACGATGAAACCTCGACATACCTTTCTATGGCCCTAACGATCGCCTTGGACTTGTCCCTGAACAAGGTTATACTACCTCCATCCACAGAGCCGCGGAGCCCGAGGGACACTATTGCTACATCTGATTGCATATCCGGCCGAAAAGCGCTTGGCATAGACGGTTTTAGCGATATTGATCCAGACTCTCCGAGGGGCCGCAGGCTTCTGAGAAGAAGGGAGAGGACTTGGCTATCTCTATTTGTTCTCGAAAGAGGGTAACGAAACACCAAGGCCCTGCTTCAAGTCAACTAGCTAACCTCGTTTCTTTACTATAGTGTCTGTCTCGCGAGAGGAAGGAATTATGTCCTACCAATGTCGCCACTTATAGAGAATTGCGATCAATGGCATCTAAGCGACCTGGCTGATAGATGGGATGGCTCAATCGTCTCGGTGGCGGTTCTGAGGAGAGACTTGGTAATATTCACCCTTGCATAACTACCGATAGGAGACTTACACTATGTACTAGGCAAATCTGATCTCAAAAGTAAGATCAATATGTGACAGTTATGTCAACGGTAACAGCGAATTATCTGTTGTTGATAGGTATGTTTTCTCACCCTTATAGTTAAGAGTTGTGCTTACTGAGATGCTACGTTAGAGTAAAAAATGAAATCACCCTGTTCTTCGATCGGTGGTATCAAACTTGGCCTTTGCAATTAGGGGATCGCGAGCGTCAGTCTTTCAACTCCGACAAGCTATTACGTGCGGGTTGGCTAGCTAACTTCAATACAGAACTTTCGTTGCCTCCGTACGTTGAGATTCTCGCATCTCATACACGGTTATCCCTATATAGTTCTGTGATTAACCATGGCACTGCGCCTGTGGGGGCACGCCATTTCTTCCGTGCCGCTGGTCTCTCGTCTGCGCTGAATGTCTTGCGAGTGGCTGTTCAAGGTGAAGGGCAGCTTAGATCGATGCCCAACAATACCGCCATCATGATATCCTTCGCCGCGTGCTTTGCCCTCAGAGTCAGCACGGTTGCTGATGGTCGAAGCTCGAGTCTGGCACCTAGCATCAGGGCTCTAATAGCAGAGACTACGGATGTGCTAGAGAGAATAGGATCAACCCCGATCCAACGGAAAGGTCTTTCTTGTCTATTTGCCGGACAGTTGAGACAGATACTGAAGTACGCATCGCGGGCTTCAGAAGCAGCACAGGCTTTACCGGAGCTGAACGGAGACGTGACGAAGCACGCCTCCATTTATACTGATTTAAATGCCGCTCACATGGCAAATCATCAAGGGGCGATACAAATGCCGGTGGTATCGTCAAGTTTACCACCGGACTATTTATTATTCTCTACCATGTCTAACGAAAACCAGCTAGACGAGGCCATCCACAGCACCGACATTGGGCTTAATGCGTTTTGGGAGGATTTCCAGTTCCAAAGCGCTGACTTGGACTGGATGGACTGGTCAACTTTCAGCACTTAGATGTACAAATTCCATGTCCCATGTCTATCGTTTGGGCAGCATGGCGTTTCGGCGTTCACGGATTAAAGGGAGCATCAATGTGGTGGTGTTGGGCACGGAATAGGAGGGCATTTGGGTAATATCGGTTCAACGCATTGTCTATTATGATAGCCTTAGTCTTCCCAACGTTTCTAAGATAAGAGACGAACTGATCACACCCTACCAAGACCCTTCTCGCATAAGGTACTACGAAGGGTTGCAAGGATACGTTGATTAAAAATAACGATGATTATCTTACATACGACTCTGTTTACTAAGGAAATTAGGTTAGGAGATTTCCAACCATTATAAGCATGATGAGTTTCTAGAACAGTGTTCGAAGGTCCGCTACGATGCAGCCTAGAAGCATGGTATTTTTAATACTCCGGTATTGTGTGTGCCCGATGTGACAGCACATGTCACACACGACAGGGCTGTTGAGGCCAAGTTAAAGATACCATAAGGACCCTGAGATTGTGAGATATCTAGCTAGGCAAATCTATTGGCTAAGTTAACGACTGTCTACCGCTCCCTTGCCTTCGATCCCACACACACACACATACACACATCCCGGGGCTTATCGTGCAGTAGTTCCGAGCAATCATACCTTTGGTCAGCCTTTTTAAGCCTTTACTATACTTTGGGCATGCAGATTTGTCTAGTAATGAATAACTTAGACCTTGCTACTTACCTGGGACTAGGGGGGAGGTAGAACAAGCCCCATGGCTTCAAAAGCCCTGTCGGCCGTATATCAAACTCCGCACGTAATACCTCCCCCGCAGTCCCTCCGCGCTGCTAGTGTTAGTACTATCTCTTGAGTCGCGACTTATCCAGTATGATCGGCTTACTCTCTACCAAGACAAAGGCTTACCCCACACGCCAATCCGAAATGGATTCAATGCCCTGTCGGACCCCCTAGCTTCTCCCCAACTCTCACCAAGTGTACTAATGTAGTAGTAATCTAAGTCCCCCGCAATCTAATTGGTGTCCCATGTCGGCCTGCCAACTTGTTCTCCCAATGCCCTGGTCCCGTATTTAGCTGTTGGTCGCGAAGCTTTAAAGGTTTGGTGTTATACGGTGTTTTAAACAAAGGACAGACCGCCCAACCTTCTTCTTCCCTCTGCCTCTGGCTTTTCGATTTTTTCCCGTCTGAGTCGTATCTTGGAAAGGAAGAAAAAGGAAAGAGAAGAGAAGCTACACGATGTCGTCTTCAGACAATGGCGATCTGCCTAATAAGGCGACGGTGGAAGAGCTCGAGAAGGGGAGCTCGGTGCATGTCAGTTCGACAGACAAGAACCTAACGCGCAAAATCCTATGGAAATTAGACACAAGGTTCCGTCATACCCTCCCTTTTCGCATTAATTCCGTTCTCCAGCAATGGGGAAGAAGGGTGCTCAAACGCGTACAATAAGGTCCCTTCGTCTAACCGCGATTAACTAGGATTTTGCCCATCCTCGCCGTTCTGTTTCTGTGCTCGTTCCTGGACAGGACCAACGTGGGAAATGCGAAGCTCTACAACCTTGAAGTAGACCTCGGTATAACGGACCACCAATACGACCAGGGTCTTGCCGTCTTCTATGCGACCTATATTCTGAGCGAGATTCCGAGTAATCTGATTCTCAAGAAGCTGACACCCCAGATATGGTTGCCATGCCTGACCTTCTTTTGGGGCGTGTCCGCCATGTGTCTTGGATTTGTCCAGAATTTCGCCGGCTTCGTGGGTGTTCGTGCACTGCTTGGGTTAGTCCTATATTCCTCATGTTTAAGAAGGGTCCAGCAAAGCTCCTCTGCGCTTCAGTTATTTTCTTAGCTGGAGCAATTCTTATTACATATAAATAGCCCGACGCTTAAAATGGGAAAATGCTGACTCTAAACGATGTAGATTGACGGAAGGCGGTTTGCTGCCAGGAATAGTGAGTGAGATGACTTCTCCATAAGGAAATCGTAACTAATAAGATACTGCAGGTCCTTTACTTGTCTACCGTCTATACGCGAGGTGAACTCGCCTTGCGTATTGGTATCTTTTATACGGCCGCGTCTTTATCGGGTGCTTTTGGAGGTATGTGTCTCATTCCTCATCGTGTATTGTTGTACACGAGGATCCTATCTAACAACACCTTAGGACTGCTGGCTCGCGGCATAGCTGAGATAGGTACTCGAGGCGGTCTCAATAAGTGGAGATGGATTTTCGTGATTGAGGGTTTATTCGTGAGTGGTTAGCAGTCCTGTAATTGGAAATCGGCAACATTAACTCTTCTGAAGACTGCCTTAGTCGGAATTGCCGCGTATTTCATCCTCCCTAACGGCGTTGGATCGGCGAAATTCCTCAGCGCAGAGGAGCGTCAATTCGCCGTCGGTCGTCTCAATGCTGCTAGCCAAGGCGATGGCGGCGACCGCGAAAGGTACGTCTATTTCAAACTAACTAGTTTCGTGCGGCATTATATTGACGAATTTCTAGGGAGGCTACTGAGAGGTTCGCCTGGTCCGAAGTAGGTCGCGGCGTCTTCAGCTTGCAGACCTGGTTCACAGCCGCTGCATACTTCGGCATCCTTAGTGGACTTTATAGCTTTGGACTCTTCGTAAGTAACCGCCAGTATTCTTGTTTACAAGAGAGCCATTCTAATAGAAAAATATTAGCTTCCGACGATCATTACGGGCTTGGGATATACTGCAGACGAAGCTCAACTGTGGTCTGTCATTCCCTACGCGGTAGCCTCCGTGGTTACAGGTGAGTTTACCACACGTACCCTTAGGGCTTTAAACGTCAAACTTATATAAAATAGTGATCACTGCGTTCCTTTCCGACCGCTTCCGCGTTAGAGGAATAGTCATGCTCTTTTCATTGCCGCTGGCGATCATAGGGTATGCCGTGATTGCGAACGTGGACAATGTTAAAGTCAAGTACGGCATGACGTTTCTCATGGCTACTGGCTTATATAGTAGTGTGCCGCCTGTCCTCGGTTGGCTCTCAAACGTAAGTATCGCCCAGAAGTACTCCACAAGATAAGCATCTTTTCTCTTAACACAATACTATTAACGGTTTATACCCGTATTGGCGTTTTTCTGGCGCTGACGATAGACAATGCAGAACTCGGCTGGCCACTATAAGCGAGCGACGACGAGCGCCCTACAGCTTGCCATCGCGAACTGTGGTGGATTCGTCGCCGTGTTCATATATCCGAAGGCCCAAGGACCGGCATATCATGAAGGCCATACCATTATTCTGGGAGTGTTGTGCGCTGGGTGGTTCTTGTAGGTTACTCTCATCGCGATGAACTAGATCGCCGTCTAACGAAGTCCCAGGGTCCTCTGCAACGTGCTGTACTGCTGGAAGATCAACCGGGATAAGGCGAATGGCAAATACGATAAATACCGCGGCTTCGGCGATGATCGTGATCCTACATTCAAGCTAGTGTTATAGGCAACCAACAACCTGGCCAAGGGTGAAGGATGGTGTTTGCGTATATGATTTTTATGAGAGGCGGGTGACAATATCGTTACGGTGGGTATCTGCCTTATAAAACAAAATCAAATCAACACTCAATTCGAGTTAAGTACGTGTGAAGGAAACACGGTCCTTTTTGGGTCCTTCTTATGGTATTCGACTGGATACCTCCAAGGCTCCCTGAAGTATTTTATACCCGACTATCGATGGGATATGCGTATCGGCGGGTATACAGACATAGACATAGAATTTGGACGGCAGGTTTCTGTGGGAGTTTTGAACACACCATTTCAAATAGTGGCTATGAGATATGAATTTAGAGTCGTGAAACTTCCAGTAAAGTGTCGACGTGTTATTCTGTTGGCAATAGCTTCGTTGCTAAGACAGCGTTGAATATATTTATATAATTTCCGTTGTGACTGCTGACATCATATTTAAATATTTCATAACTTACGAAACCTCTAAAAAAAATGGCACGATGCTCTCGTGAGTTGCACATGTATGTTTGTGACCGGCTTCACAAGTATTACCCGAGAGTTAAAGGCTAGGGCCAATGGATGGAACCTTGGTTGCCCTTACAGTTTCCTTACAACCCTTGTCCCTGAATTAGCGGTCCGATACGGTGAGATATACCGTATATGGGTACTTAAAAAACGAACCGCTGTGGCTAGGGGAATTTGGGGTTCTACATAGCGTCGGGGGTTCTTGAATTACCGAACCCATTCTTCCAAGGATTATTACCGCGGCATTCCAAAAGCTTACATAGGTACCTAGCCTGCTAAAGCCGCGCATCTTAGGCCTAGAGGATAGGTGAAATACTTAATTCGCACGCTAATGAATCGCTATAAGCCTTTGGAAGACGAATGCGACAAACGGCGATTATCGGATATTATTAGGCCGAAGAGGAATACCTGAATACCTGAATACCAGCTGCTTTCTCTAGCTTTTATTCTTTCCTCTTGACCCCTTATCCTCTTCTGCGCAATTACGAAAATAATATGTCGAAACTTTCAGAGGCCGTCAAGGCGCTCATAAACGCCAGCCACGCGCGGTCTGGCTACACTCCCTCGTCGGCAAGTGTGCAGACTGTCCTAACAAAGTTCGCGAGCGACGCTGCAGAAAAGAAGGTCGGATTACCGGCTTGGGTGACTTTGTCGGTATGTTTTGTCTTGGTGCTGAAGTATGGGAAGATGGATATAATGATAATAAAAAATAATAAAAAATAATAAAAAATAATAAAAAATAAAAGAGAGAAATATGAGAAAGAATAAGAAACGAATAAACGAAGCACCAATAGCTAAACATGGATATTTACTATTCTAGACAGCCGTCTCAGCGACGCTAAACTGCCCCGAAGCCATGACGCAGATCTTCCACCTAGCCAACTCGACCACGACGAACGACGAGCAGCGCACACCCGTTCAGAATGCCGAGCTGATCCGCGAAGTCGGGCTCAAGTGTATCTCTTTCAACGGCATCCCGCGCAGCATCAACACGCTGGGCGCATTCCGTAATAGCCTACCCGCCGATGTCGCCTCATCATTGAGTACGACTCCGACGCGCGAGCTGACGCCATCTAACCTCGAGCTTCGTAAGCGCGACGGTCTCGCCCTCTGGGATAGCGTCTACGTAGGCTTCGAGCGCAAGCTACTCGACAAACTAGCCCAGTCGCATCCGGATCTGCCCGTCCACATCCTCAACGGCCACTACTCCAACTTGCTATCAAACCCACGAGGCGTAGATGTTCCTGTGAAGGTCGGTCGCGTACTCACGTCGCTTGTGGCTATCGCGTGTTTGCGCACACAGACCGGTGTCGGACCTCAGGTTATCTCGCATATCTTTGGTCTACGGAAGGCGTACGATAACGGCGACGCGCAAGCCGAAGGCGAGGAGCCTGTCGAGGGCGGTGCATGGCTGGCTACCGAAGACGGCAATATCTGGATATTGGAGAATATTGATAAGTTAGTCAACGTGATTAGCAACGGCGAAGGAACTACATTTGCGCCTGGGTTACGGGCTAAATTATAAGAAGGGCATAGTACACGGATACTAAACCAGCTAATGACGTGCTCATGTGCTCATCAAGGGAGGGTTAGGATATCTAATGTAAATGAAGTTACGAAACTGTACATGGGAATAAGAGCTTGAATGATAAATCAATATTCATATAGGTCTGAGAGATAGATATTAGGTTAGGAGGTAGTTTATATATCTACCATATAAGCAGTTTGTTTATACAAGTTTGTTTATACAAGTTTGTTTATACAAGTTTGTTTATACAAGTTTGTTTATACATAACACAAGCTAATAGTACCCGTTTCCATGCGTTAAGTACCTACCTAGATACGCATTAATATATATACAATAAACAATAAACATAAACATAAACACTCGGTGCGAACCATATTCCGTCTTGACTCGTCCCGTCTGGTATCATCTTGTTGTCTCACCCTCCCACACCTCTATGCTTAAAACGTCTTCAGATCATCCGCAACTATAAATTCAGCATCGGTCTTAGCCTTAACAGTCTCAACCTCAACACCTTCCGCAATCTCAGTAAGCGTTAGACCACCCTTGGTGCGATCAACCTGGAAGACAGCAAGGTCTGTGATAATTGTACTGACGACACCCTTGCCGGTTAGGGGCAGTTTGCAGTCCTGGACGATCTTGCTGCGGCCTCTCTTGTCGACGTGTTCTGTAGCCACGACGATCTTGGTTTGCTCTGGGTTCGACACGAGGTCCATGGCGCCACCCATGCCCTTGAAAACACGGCCGGGAATCATGTAGTTGGCTAGGTCTCCCGACGCAGATACCTGGAAAGCGCCTAGAATTGACACATCAACATGACCGCCCCGGATCATGCCGAACGACTCAGCCGAGTCGAATGTCGCTGCTCCTGGTAACAACGTTACCGTTTCCTTACCCGCGTTGATCAGGTCCGGGTCCGCTTCTTCCTCTGTCGCCGGGTAACCGCCCATGCCTAGGATACCATTTTCAGACTGTAGCCATACTTTGGTATTCTCAGGCAAGTATGACGCCGCCAGCGTGGGGATTCCCACGCCCAAATTAACATAATAGCCATCCTGAAGCTCCTTAGCTGCACGTCTAGCAATACGGTTCCGAGCATCAAGCGTGCTTGGTTTACCCGAGGTCGGATCCTCCTTAGGTGGTGCTACCTTCAGCACTTCGAAGTGCTTGGCCGCCGTGGCCGGCACGATACGGTCAATAAAGATGCCCGGAAGATCAACGCTGTCCGGATCAATAGACCCGATCGGTACGATATTCTCGGCTTCAACGATGGCGATGCGTGCCGCCTTAGCCATAAGGCCCGCATACGTCTTAGTAGTGTATCTACGTGGCGCGTATAAATACTCTATACTACGCAAAAGTGACGGTTTAGAGAGAAACTCACTTAAAGACACAGTTGCCTGCCTCGTCAACCTTCCAAGCGCGCAGGACCGCTACATCGCCGGGAAGAGCTGTCTCCATAATGTAGGATTTGCCATTGAATACCCTGGTCTCTTTTGGCTTGCCTTTTTCGAGGACAGCCTCCGGGGTGAACCTCACGGGTATCTCGCCAGTCTCAACGAACGTCTTCCCTCCTGTCGCCGTATAAAAAGCCGGGATGCCAGCCCCGGCCGCTCTCAGCTTCTCGGCTAATGTACCTTGCGGACATAGCTCAACAGCTATTTTCCCCGTTAAATATTGCTTCTCGAGCTCCTTATTTGACCCTAGATAGGAGAGGATAATGCGATCTAGTCGTCCGTCCCTGGTAAGCAGGGCTAAGCCGTGGTCACCGGAGCCAGCATTATTCGACACGGCCGTGAGATTCTTGAGACCCCTTTTATGTATAGCCTGGATGAGAGTTTCTACGCGTATGATCAGTCAGCCAGTCGCCCATGCAAGTCAATACTATCAACGATACCTAGTCATGATAGCTCGGACCAGAAACTTGCAAAATCGAGATAGTTGGCAAAGCCCCCCAAAGATTGAAGAAGCCGACCATTTTTATTTTGTACGTACCAGCAACGCCACATAACCCAAACCCAGCACTAAGGACCACGTCGCCATCCTTCAAGTCTGCGACGGCCTCATCTGCAGACTTGAAGACCTTTGAGCCGCCCCGCGCCGCTTTCGCGGATGCCTCAGTCGCGTAGTACCGGTGTGATCTCCGGAGGCACGGCGTGAACCTAGAGCTAGTTTTAGTAGCTGTAGCTGTAGCTGTAGAAATACTATATTGTCGTCGCGCGTGAGGTACCGCCCATCGATGTGAGAGTTGGACGGAAGCCCTAAGGACAGCACTCCGGGGCCGAGCCATCTTAGAGGGGTGGAGGGGTATGTAATGTAAGAAGACTCTTCTTTAAAAGCCCCAAGTTCAAAAGACCATTTGTGTTAAAAAGATTGGGAATGTCTATATCTCAGATCTATTTACAGAGTTTCCTGATAATGTATGAGTAACTGATCTATTGGTCGGTTCATTGGTTTTATTTTATCATGACGAAATGCGCTTGCGCCGAGGTTCGTATTCGGTGCTCGCAGGTTAATTGCTCTGGCACTTTGGTCGGCTGTTGATTTATGTCCGTACATCCTTTGTCGCCCTCTACCTTGCTCCAACTTTCCCGGGGCGTCGGATAAGTCCCACGCGAGAGTGGATAGGGGGGATTCAACATTGACTCGGGGCTGACTTGTAGGAAGCTATTCAAATGGTATAGGGGCATCAGTAGGTAGGTAGTTAACATCAAATGCGTCGCCATTTAAATATATTACTTATCAACGCTTAGAAAAGCCGGGATACTACATAGTATACAGTAATAGCAGCGACTATTCCGATTAAGCCCATCTTCCTCGACGAACTTCTCTTTATGAAAAAGCCGCTGTTTTCATATAAACTTGTAGAATCCAATTGCTCCAATATCAAAAATCAAAACGAAAAAGGGGGCCAACAAGACTCTTTGAAGGTAAATCCAGACCCTATGCAACCCAGTAGACCCTCTTTAAGCTACTCCCTCATAATGAGCAATGCGGTATTGTAATCAGCGTAATCAGTGTAATCAGAAACCATATAATGCGAAAACGACCCTGAAGGGAAAGAAAACCAAGAAAAGAGCACTCTGACTCTAACTCTCACTGACGCCCAACACTCTCTACACGAATACCCAAGTTGGCGAGCTCGTTCGCATCGATAATGCCCTTGCCGTCGAATAACCATTTTGGCTTGCTCATACCAAAAGAGATTTTGCTCCAGTCTAGCTTCTCCTTGGGCCTATCCTCGCTCGAGTTTCCCGCTGTGGAATAGCCGCTTGCCTTGATCAGCCCACAGTCGGGACAGTCGCTCTCACACGCGGGCTCTGGTCTATATCGCTGCAAAGGATCATTGTCAGGGTACGTCCCTGCGGGTGCAACGTGTAGAAAGTACTTGTGGAGTGATAATATATCCGACTCAGTAACCTTATAAGCGAATGGTCGGGGGTCAACTTTCTTTGAAGGTTTTGAAGGAGGGTTAGGCTTGTCTGTCTTGGCCGGGGTGCTTCGAAACTCATCGAACTCGGTTGTTATTAGGACGGCATGGCTGCCATCGCAGGCGGTATAGGCACTCGAATAAATCTCAATAGGCCCTCCGTCTTCTCTGAGAGCAGGCCGGCCTCTGATAAGCTCCTTGATCTCGGCTTTGACAACCACCGGGTTGCAGCAGGGATCAAATACTGCAATCTCCCTAGGGCCCTCCTCAAGGAGCGTCTTGATGATTTCGAGTGCGGGTGATTCTCTCGTGTCGGAAGTATTGGCCTTAAATGCGTAGCCAAGGAGGGTAATCTTCTTTCCAACCAGAGTGTTGTTGAGGCGCTGAATCACGCGCCTAGAGAAGCGGTCGCGCTGGTACTCGTTCATCTTTACCACCTGTCTCCAGTATTCGCCCACTTCATCTAAGCCAAGCGACTCGGCCAAATATACGAGGCTAAGAATATCCTTCTTGAAGCAGCTCCCGCCGAAACCAATTCCTGCTTTAAGGAACTTATCGCCAATGCGGGGGTCACGACCAACAGACGCTGCTATCTCATCGACGTTAGCTCCCGTCTTCTCGCAGATCGCAGAGATTGAGTTGATGCTGCTTATACGCTGCGCTAGCATCGAGTTCGCTACAAGCTTTGCCAGCTCAGACGAGTAGACATTGGTGGTAATGATACGAGATCGCGGGACCCATGCCGCGTAGACTTTTGCTAGAGATTCCGCGGCTTTACATCCAGATGGCGTCGTCGAAGATCCGATCAGTATGCGGTCGGGATACGTAAGATCGTTCATGGCTGTACCTGCTGCCAGAAATTCCGGATTTGAAAGTATCTCAAAGTGAACTCCGGGGCGGTAGACTGCCATCTATTAAACTGTTAGCCGGCCAAAGATCGTCTTGGTAGACTATCATATAGTAGGTGCCCAACTTACAGTGTTCCGGACAAGCTCTGCTGTCCTACAAGGGACGGTTGACTTTTCCACAATGATGGTTCCTGGCCTAGCATGCCGGGCAACCTCGCTGGTGACAGCCTCAAAAGCTGTCATGTCGGTGGCGCTTCCCGCTCCAGCCCCTGTCGACTTCGTTGGTGTGTTAACTGCGATTAGAACTATATCGGCCTCGCCAATATATCGTGCTACCTGAGTCGAAAAGAACAAGTTCGGCTTCCTAGCGGGTACGGTTGCCTTTGTGCTATAATACACATGATCAGGTGTGCAGAAGTGGTAAGTTTTCGATGTGCCACTATTGGTACTAGTTGGCTCATTATCGAAGTAACACTTCCTAGACCCATCACGAGCGATGCGAACAATGTCCGCCAAGCCAGGCTCGTAAATAGGTAGGTGCTCTGAGTTCCATCGGCGGATTCTCTGCTCATTTTTGTCCACGACGGTGACGCAGAGGTCCGGGTTTTGGTAAGCCATGACAGCAGCTGTCGGGCCCCCTACGTTTATCCTTTAGCTTCAAAGAATAGTAACAAACAGAAAGGGGCGATATTTATTTGTTCATACAAGAGGAGATAGCGTAAGGGAAGGGGGAATAACTAACCAACATAGCCAGCGCCGACACAACATATGTTACGGACAGGACGGGTCACATCCTGAACGGCAGGCGTCACCATTTTCGGTAAGGCGGTTCGCTCAAGGTCCGCGGCTAATTCCGCGCGGAGCATCGGACTAGATGTTGAGCTTCCATCCGGGGTAGTCGGAGCCGTTGAAGCAACATCAGCAGATGTGCCACTGTCTTCAGTTTCCGCTGTTGAAGTAACTATCGGCACCTGTATAGAACCCATAGTAGCTAAATAGAGCCTGGTGTGGGCTACTATTCTCGAGTGCTGACTTCTAGGGGGTCGAGAAAGTAGCTCGTGATTTCGCACGCGATATACGAACAACAGGGAGTAAAAAGACAATGATGAAACTGGGGCTACGATGCCTTCTAAACCCACTCTAGAAGATTTGCACACAAGTAAGTTGCGCAGCTGATGGGGTTTGTAGTAAGGTGGCCGTGCAAGGGTAGATATAGATACCTAGTAGGTAGAATAGAGAGCGTGACTGCTGACTCAGGAGACAAGTAGGTATCGTGAGCAACTAGGAGTCTAGAAGGAAACTGACGATGGTATGGTATCTGTGGGTGAGTCAAAGGTAGTCACGAAGGGCCTGTCTGGATGAATGGAAGGATGGTATTTATAAGAAGGGGTGGCCTCTTAGATAAGGGCTGGGTTAGGTTTACGTCCACCTAGGCAGGTATGACTATAAGTATAACTATATCTAAACTTAGGCACCGCTAGGACGCCACTTGGTTTGAAAAAACACAAGTAGCCTCTTCTCTAGAAGGGTACCTAACCTAAGGTGAGGTCATGTTTCCCTCTTAGCTTGGTAAAAGGCTTGGTAAAAGGATGTGCAATTGCGTTAAGCTCCTACGAGGACCCATGCTATAGACGCAGGTGGCGGATCTGGACAAGAGCTTAGAGCCAGTGTTTTGTCTAACTCTGTGCCACGGGCCATCGTCGTATCAGGTATATGCGGAGGGGACAGCAGATACCTACATAGGAAACCTAGGGTGTTGCTTAGGCAAGTTAAGTGCCAGCCCATTGCCGTAAGTTAAACGAACTGTATAAGCTACCGCGTGTACAGTGCCGTTAGCTGATGTAGTATAAGTACGTAGTAATACCTTATACTACCTACATAAGAGGTAGGTATGTATACAGAGACAGCTAGCAGGTGGCTCAACCCAGGCGAGTAAGCCCTGCAATGCACATACCGATGGGTAAGTCTGTCTAGGGCTTATTCAAAGTTGGGTTGCAATCTAATGAACTCTACACATATGTAAGGTACGTGCTAACCTGCTACCTACCGTAGGCAGGGTGTAGGAGCGGGAGGCTTGAGAGAAGAAAGTAGAGGGCCTCCTAAGATTCTAAAGGTAAGGGAGGTTATATCATCCCATTGTTGGCATTGCGAATATTCATAATAGTCCATCCCCGTAGCGAAGAAAAGCTGGAGCAGAGGATATAAGCAATATGTAGTTCGTATTTATCTACATGATAAACGACCTATGTCAACAAGGAACACATAGCAGATGAATATATAACATGTACCTACCTACATACCATGGCTGTTATAAGTGCGTAGTATGCGGCTTGGGTGAAACGACCTATGTAAGCCGGCCTTAGATATTTGAATGTGCGTCACTGTATACCTAGATACTGTAAATAAATGCCCACCAGTGTAGAGAGTACATGATGGGAATAATGCGAAAAGCTAGACGAATCTCTAGATCCCACTACATCTTATAATGGAAGAGAAGAATGAATCAGCTGGGAGAGGAAGCGAAAAAAAAAAAGAAAAAAAAAACAATAGCTACTCTAACCCAAGTCATACTCCAAGTATGATGGCGCAAGTATTACTTAGGGATAGATACCTACACAGCCAACAGATAAGCGTGCCAGACACACGAGGGTCTGATGTAGGGTGCTAATTTGTAAATGAGACAATCTAGATAACCTCAGATAAAAATGGTGAATGTCCGTGTGACATCAATCACTCTAAAGGCCAAAGCCTCATCCGGTACCCCCTTGTAAAAATGTAAAATGCCTTTGTTGAACGAATCTAAGTCCAGATGTTGCTTAGGCGCGATGTCGGTATACATGCAGATCTATATTTACTGCTGTAAGGTTTGTAGGACCCCAGATTCTCTTGCAGGTCTTTGCAGGTCTTTGCAGGTCTTGGAGGTTAACAAGGTTAAGTGTGAATCTGAGTTCATCTAAAGTTGATCTTATTGAGAAAATGTGCTGTCAATGCGGTATATGATTGGTGCGCTGACCTTTTTCGCGTGTGCCGTTAACAGAGCGTGTCATTGGGTGAATTAATACTAAAGGCAAACGGGAAGACGAAAAAGGTTACCCAAAGAAAAGACATATAGTACCTCAGGTAGATACCTCGAGATTTGCCTCTGGGAACACAAGGTTGGATATTAGACATTACATGTACATGTTGGTGGGTGATTAAGTATAACTATTAGTCTTATGCCCTTGAATCACCACATAGTCATAGTACCCCGTGAGCCACCGATCAGACCGACCGTGAATACCTACCTCTAATACTACCTACATCCCACAGACACTAAAGCCAATATTCCGTGTATACATGCATTAGGTACCTTAGGTATATATTATGCTAGGTAGCTGCACATAAGAATACACTCTCTTCAGCCAAGTACATAAGACATCTAACATGCCTTATCTTCTTATGCCCACCGGACCATCTTATACTCAAGCCACGGGAATACTTCACACCTTCTTTGGCAAGCAAGTAAATGTCAGCCGCCGCTATTGATTTGACACGAGATCCAATCCCCAAAGGAGCACAGATCACTTGTTTATAGTTTAGTATCATTTTCCTAAGTTGGCCGAAACTTTTTAGTTTCATCGCATCAAAACTCTGATCTTAACTCTACTACTACTTCTTATGGGATCTTTTATCCTCTGTGCTGGAATAAGACTCGTATTTATTTCCCCCGACTACTAGAATTTCTGATTCGGTATCTTTACCTGCAGCATTACATTACGGGCATCCCTTTTATACATCTTGACAACGGCTTATATCACGGTCTACTGATTAGTCTGGCAGCAGAAACCACGACAGGACCACCCAGGGATAGCCTTGACATCGTTCCTAGGTATAGATACATGTGAGGTGAAAGAGAAAGAAGCATTCCTGATCTGAACCTCCAGCTTGAAGCCACCGGACCACTTGCATAGTGCAGAGGGACATCGAGGGACTACACTACGTCAACCTGTCAGCTTCATCAAGCTTGAACTATGGCGACGGCACAGAAATCTCATAACTTTGATAGTTTCCCGTCTGGTCTGGCAGGGAAACGTATCCTGCTATGCACTGAGAGCCTCGGCCCTGTGAACGGCGTGTCACGCACCACCAAGATGCTGGTGGATCAACTCCGATCTCACGGGGCACTCGTCTCGGTAGTTGCGCCGTATAACCACACCAAAATAAACACCTTTAACCCGATTAGCTCTTCCAGCAATGCCAACTCGCTGTACCGCGAAGAAATACGGCTAACAGGGTATCCTCTGCCTTTCAACCCCGAACTCTCAGTGGCATATCCCGTACGGCTTTCTGAGATATACAGGCGGACGTTCGGAGGGCCCCCTGACCTAATCTACTTGGCTAGCCCTGCATCTTTAGGATTTCAGGTGATGCTGCAGGTGCGGCAGCATGCGAAGGAGTTGCAAGTACCTGTCATATGCAATTTTCAGACCGACCTGGCAGGATACTGCTCTGTTCTGTTTCCTTGGCCGCTAGGCGGGATCGCGAATCGCATCTTTGGCTTCGTCCAAGGCAACCTCTTTCGCGACTCTTCCGTGAAGACCATTTTCTACCCAAGCACATTCGTCAAGACATATCTAGACAAAGTCGCAAACGTGCCAACTAACAAAATGGAGGTTCTAAGACGGGGGGTCGACACCAAGGGCTTCGATCCGGCCAAGAAAAGCTTGGCGCTGAGAGAAGAATGGGCACCAAATGGAGAGCTCATCCTATTCACCTGTTCGCGAATAGCGGGCGAGAAGGGGTTCGGGTTCCTTGCACAGGCGGCCAAGAAGTTGGATGAGGAAGGGTTGGACTTCAAACTCGTCATCGTCGGCGGAAATCGTAACCCAGTCGTCTTCCAAGAAGTGAAAGATATGTTTGGCCCGCTGAATGAGAAAGGCAAGGTCATCTTCGTTGGCTTCAAGGTTGGAGAGGATCTGATGACACATTATGCCTCGGCCGATATTTTCCTACACTGCTCCGTCACCGAGACATTTGGGCTGGTGGTCTTGGAGGCGATGGCGAGCGGCGTGCCGGTGATTGCACGGGACGAAGGTGGACCAAGCGATATTATCGAGCACGGAAAGACCGGATTTCTCGTTCCACCCGATGACTTGGATGATTTCGTGCGAAAGACGCTGTTGCTTGGTCGAGACTCGAGACTCCGCGAACAAATTGCTCTAGCCGGCCGCGCGTTTGCGTGCGACGCCACATGGGACAGGATCAGCAATAAGGCCGCCTGGCAGATGTTTGACACGATCGAGCAATTTGAACAGAACAAGAAGTCGGGCGCCTCGACGACGCAGGCACCTAGCGTCGGCTGGCTACTCCTGAGTGCTCCCGCGAGACGATTTCTCCTCCCTAAGATCATCACGGCGAAGATAGCCTTTTCCCTCTCTATCATTTTTGGGTTCTGGGGGATTGTTGGTAGTTACCTCGTCCTCACAGACATCGGACATATGTTCAAGACCCATACACCGCGGGTCTCTACGCTGAAAAAACCTATAAGTCGTTGGATAAGGGGCTGAATATTACGACTAGGAGGTTCTGAGTTGAGGTTACAAATAGCCTTTCTGATTTAAATTGTATTCACAACTCCCCCCGAATACATTGCTTTCCTTTTATACCCAGTTTATTGTACTGCATCATTTATTGCTCAAGCTCATGGTCGTATGCACCACCTGACACACCACAACTTGGTGAGATATTAGACTGCGCAGGGCTAACGGGTTACATGATGGATTGGTTATTGATTGGTTATTGATTGGACTTGTTTTTGAGAGCGTATATATCTACTCCCCCTCGAGTGGCTGGCAGATGAGGAAGCAAATTGTAGATAGCAATTTAGTTTCCAAATACGTTACGCAGGACGTCTTGCGTGTTTACAACTTGAGCAAACTCGCCGTTTAAAGTAACAAGGCTCACTTTATGCACCGTTTCAGCGTCAATTCCACCCTTCGAAAACGTGGCGCATGCATCGCCGACGAGGACGATATCGCCTTCATCGAGTTCGCCGGTTGGGCTTGTCACGGACACGACCCTTAGATTGTTGGCCATCCGTGTAGTTGTGCTAACACAGTGGTCCGTCGTAAGGCCCATTATGACGAGCTGTCTAACTCGTTGGTCTTTGAGATGGGCTTCTAGTTTGGTGCCAATGAAGGACGAGTTGACATCTTTGATAAAGACGGGCTCCTGCGGTTCTGGCTGTGCGAACGACAGCGGCTGTATCCCCTGGACTAGTTTGCCATCTATCTCAACCTGAGTACCGGGATAGAGTATCGAGTTCGGATATATGCTGTGATGGTGGACGTGATAAATGTCTACCGCGTCTTCACCCAGCTTCTTATTGTATTCCCGTGCCGCGTTCAGCAGAAGCGCGACATTCTCCTCGAATTCAGGCGTACTGCGGCTAGTGCCCCAATGTGTTGGGTGTCGGAGTCCATTTTGAACGTCGATGATAATTAGAGCTGTCTTGGCGGAGTTGGCAGGCTTCATTTTGATTTATCTTGATTGTTCTTTTTCTTTCTTATAAAAAATAGCTTACAACTTGCAACTCACAGAACGCAGTATGGTATCAAATGGGTACCTTCATACATGTAATTAACTAACCCGCCGTGGGCTTCTCCCCGATGACGACCGGAACTTCCACTGTGAGTCACGGAAATATTGGAATGATTAATAATATTCATTACGTTTGGGGGTCGTCGAAATAGCTTCCGCGTGGTTAGTATATATGCACCCACCCGATTATTCTAATGAAGTAATCTGCACTAATTGATGACTCTCGTTTGACGTACACATTTAGAAAATCTAGTATAAACGAGACGATGGCGTCAATAGTGACCCGCTGAAGAGGGTAGTTGAGTTGCCGATAATAGTAGGTAACTGACCTCAGCGGTTGTGTGTTTTCCCAAAGGATTGGATCTGTCTTAAAATAGAGGATCAAACAAACTATAAGCACGCCGTTTCCAGGTAGTTAGTCCTCATCTCCTAGAGAATTAGGTACTTAAACATCAATAGTTGTAACATCTTACAGCCTCAGCTTAGATTTTCGAATTACCTAGAATGTCACCGTTATAATTGTAACTTTACGTGCACTCTTGTAAGATATACTCCCCTAATACGGATTAGAAATAATATAAGAAAAATGAAATGGGTTCGGTAAACTCGAGCATCTTGCTTCTATGCATTCTTATTTTTTTATTGTAGGCGCTAGCAGCGTATGATAGGCGCAACCCCGTACTCGGTGCTTGGCTACTAGGGTCTGCGACACGAGAACAGGGGTTACTTAGGGGTTTGCTTAGGGGAAGTTGGGGGCTTTGAAGCCTCAAGATGCGACCAGACAGGGCTCAGGGGTCTTATTAGGGATCTTCCTAACCCATCCAAATTCCAAAACCCGTTAAAGTTGAAAGCTAGGAGAAAGGCCGATTGGTTAAGTCCATAGGTACCTAGGTACATAAGGTTAGTAATACTTGGAGCAATGGCGCTTTGTCTGCTTTGTCTCACTGACGCCGGCCTCTCGAAACCTCTTCCCTCTTCATCGACGTCGCATCGTTAAGCGATCCGACAGTCTCGGAAACTTGCAGAGCGTCAAAACACTAGATACCTGTTATGTTGGCCTACTACGTGTATAGTACAGACCACATATTTGGATAAGTAGAATCTTACCTTTGTTTCTACTAACTACCACTTTTTCATTACCACGGGCGTGACCCATCATCCGGGTCTTATACGATCCTCTCGTAGGTCAAGGTCGGCTTCACACTTCATTCGTTGGCTTCGCGCCGGTGCAATGCCAATGTCACTACGCTTCTTCAGTCTCCACAATGCGTTGGCTCTCCATCATCTCTTACATACGTAGTATGTAGCATTCTCCATCGTACCACCAGCTGCTGCAACAGAGTCTTTTAACTCCTTGTTCTTAATTCTTAATATTTGTGTCATAAGGGGGTCCTCGTTGCCGCAGAAGGAGTATGATAATCAACAAGGGATAATCAACAAGGGCTAACCAACTCCTCGTGTTTTCACTCCTCCTGCTTGTCTTAAGTTCGACAGCAAGAGATCTCCCAAACCCTGCATCTTGATCTGTTCTAGGCCGCCGTGCAAAGATCGCTCGACGACCCACCGTCATGCCATTGCCATTTAGTCGGTCTACTGGGGTCTGTTTATCCCTTGTCTTATTGCATCTATTCTAAGCTTGTATTCTAAGCTATCGAGTTGATATCCGCCTCTTTTTTCCATTCTCTCCTTTCCCGAATCACATTACTACCCGTTCTGTCCAAACAATAATATTGCCGCCTTTCCGTTCTTTGTGGGCAGGTCCCTTTTCCCTTTATATTATTTTGCTGGATCTCCAATCTGATCGGCGCTACGGATTACTTGGGTCTCCGCTCCTAGCGAAAATCGAATAGGTACAATACGGACAGGTTCCACACGCTCTTTACGAACACTCTTTACAGATATATCGATATATCACCTTCTTCAACCGCCGGCCGGCTTATTACTGTTCAACAGATACATACTTTAGTCCATAGTCCAATATCATAATCGAAAGTAAAGGCCGTCTCGCTAAGATGGTTTGGCTAAGTGTTGCCGTAGCTTCGCTATTTGCCTCGTCGGCATTAGCTAGCATGGAGCCTATGGTGGGAGGAATCATGAACACGCGTGCGACCATGTTGGATACAAGATTCGACGATGCCAATGCCGATGCCGATACCGATTCGTTAGAAAGGCGACAGACGACGTCGACAACGAATGATTCGCAAGCGAACATGACTCAGTGGAACACGGACACTTTAGCAGCCTGCATGACAGCATTGTCTCAGCTCGCAGCTGCGTCGAACCCCTCGGGAACAGCCGTTTGCTATAATCTATTCAGCCTCGACACGAACGCCGGCACATTCATGGCTGACTTGCGCCTCTTCCAAGTATCAACACCTTTCGGAGAATTCGAAGGTATCCCTCCGTCGGACATCTCCGTCGGACTTCAGTACAACGGGGCCTCTGTCTCGCCAGTTGGTCAGGGTGCGCAACCCGCGAATGTCTCCAAGCGACAGAGCTCGACGCCTACGATACTCCAGACGTACATGTTTATTGGGCAGATAGATAAGGCCAAAATGGCTCAACCTATGACGATGTAAGTACCTAAATTAGATGCATATCTCATGCCGTATTATTGCGCGCAGAGGCTTATATTTTTTTAATAGGGGTGTGCTAGAGGCGTTGGTGATGCCAACCGTCACATTGACAGGAAAAAACTTAGAGGGCCAGCAAGTTAGCACGAATGTCTCTTCTAATGAAGCTGCCTTCGTCAATGGCATATTTTCGACGGATGTTGTCATGTCTGATTTTGCACTCGCCTCGTTAGCGGTCGAGAACATCACGGCCCAAATGCTCGAAGGCACAGTGGCCTTCGTCTTGCCTGGTGTTAACATCCTAATCTTCCCGGTAGGTCTAATTATCACCAGCATCTGGTTGGTGGTTGGATTTGGATTTTACGCGTTTGGTACGTACGAGCGATACAATTACCGGGATACGTATAGGAGGCGAAAGGCAAGAGCTGAAGGCAAACCCGCCAATGCGAGAATATAAATCGACCGCATTAGTAGGATGCAAATTCATGTGTAGGTGTACAGTGGATGCCGTCGAAGCGGGTAGATTAATGTTTAAATGACGGGCAATTTTTTGGATTTCGGCAGCGGATTTTAGACTTATCAATCCTTAAGGCGTGCTGGTTTAGTACCTATTCAGTTGGTATTCGTATCAACTTCAGTTATAGGCGGGTTACACTGTTCGATATTACCAAGTATATATGCTAGTTTGATATAAAGAATCAAGAAGTTGTTATAAATGGCTCTGGTCACAGTTCCAAATTACCTTATGTATAGAGGTCAAGATTTTATACACAGCGAGCTCATCGATATACCTTATATATATACTGAGAAAACTTGACTCGTTGGTAAGGCGTCTACATACAAAAGTATCCCAAGACTCAAATGAACGACTAAATAGTAGGAAGACACTTTATCCAAGTACACTAACTTCTATAGTTATATATTGTTCACCCTTTATATCCAATCAGAAGAGCAGCTCGTCCGGCTTCTTCACCAACATCCCCATTATCTCCTCCAACTCGTCCAGCAACTCTGCCGCAACGCCTATCCAATCCTGGAATGTAACGAGTTCCAACGTCAGACTATCCCCATCGACGAACGCCTGTACTTTCCACTCGCGCAACGGCTCGAGGTGCGGGTATACCGTCTCAAAACGGCACGTCGCCCCGCCCCCATCCCCGTCCCCGTCCTGGTCGCCCCCAAATCCAAACTTCAGCTCCTCGACGTGGACTACGTCTTGGTGCACCACCGAGTCGAACCAGTCGGCGCCTTCTGGCCAGCCCGGGAGCGGTCCGCACTCACGCATGATCTCCGTTAGACCCATGCACTCGTGCAGCGCGCTGGCGACGTGCTGGTGTTGCACGTATCGTAGCAGGTCGCCGACTTTCCAGTCATCCTCGAAGCGTACCCGCACCGGTACGTATTGCCATGTCGGTCCCGCGACGGTGTCCGCATGCGGTAAATCCGTATTCCGGCCGCTGACGACCTCGCCGAATACGACGTCTCTCCGTGCGAGCCGTCGCGCGAGGCACAAGGCCCACGCGGCTGTCGGTAGCGTCGCCACCGTTATGTCCCTTAGCCGCGCGGAGATGTCGACCGTCCGGCTGATTGCGGCAGGGGTCTTGGATGTTAGAGGTAAATCCGGACGGAGGATGGTGAGCGAGCTGTCTCGTAGTAGGTCTCGCCAGTAGGGGATACTTCGCGGGATGCCCTTATTCACGACGTGGTACACGAAGGAAGAGAATGGAACGGAGTCTACTGTAGCCTTGCCGTCGTATAGAGCGCCGAGCTGGTGTATAAGGCCCGGGAGACAGACTTCGTCGTACTGTGCGTGGGAGATGCGGAAGAGGAGGCAGCTCTTATTAGCATCGCCTTGGACGAACATGAACTTTACGAAGGCAGATCCTAGAGGCATCTTGGTTTGGACGTCGACGTCGCATAGCTTATGCGCAAACGAGTCCAAGTCCCCTTCGATCTCGTATTGGTCGATTGCAATATCAAGTGTTTCAAGGACGACGCCGAAGCACTCCTCGCCGCTCTCTACGAAAACTGTTCGCAGAATTTCGTTACGAGCGACGAGTTCCCGACAGCTTTTGAAGAGTCTTTCCTTGTCGAGGTGTCCGTCAAAATGGAATAATTCGTAGCGAGCGGAAAATCGAGGAAGTTGAGTTGTGCCCCTTACCGCAACTTGCTGGAGCGGACGTGCCGGGAAGATATCCCTGATTGCATGATCGCCTTGGACAAGCTGTGGCCTGACCGTTTCAGCGATGAAGCTTTCTACATCTGGGACGTCAAGCAATGAAAACGGTGACGGTGGCGGCTCGGTGGACTCAGCAGTCACTTGCTTCTCTTCTCTTAAGATCTTCGCCATATCGTATAATGTCCTATGCTTAAAAATCTCGGGCACCGTTAATTCCATCCCCCTAACTCGGAGCTCCGACACGAGTTTCATAGCCCCGATAGAATCGCCGCCAAGCTGGAAGAAGCTGTCGTTCAAACCAATTTCATCTTCGTCGATTGCTAATATTTGACTCCAAGCCTGCCGAAGACTCTTCTGCTTCGCCGAGGTGGCCGATACATGCTTTTCTCGTGGGCCAGTAAAGAATATTCTAGTAGAACTCGTTCGTTCGACGAAGGTAATATCACCATTCGCATCGTACTTTACGAGTTTATGAGTTTTGTAGAACCGACCGGTGTTATTCTGGTCAGCCCACTGGGGAGACGACGTCAACTCGAGACCAGGTTCGCCCGAGCACCGTATTAAGAGTTCCCCAACAGCACCTAGAGGAAGTAACCGCTCCGGATCAACAGCGTCGACGATCCACGTCTCGGATAGCTCACAACCAGTAGGAAGTAAAGCAGCAACAGCTGGACTTTTTGCGCCAGCCTGGCTCAGGCGAGTAAGCTCAGACATATCCTCCTCGGCTAGTATCTGAAGCTGGCTACATCTAGCATCTGGGTTCTCGACGAGCTGCTGCGTAATCTTTTCAAGCTGTCGTAACATTCTCTCCATCTGCGGACTCGTTACTGTTTTCGAGTCGAAGCTTGCCATGACCAAAAAGCCCCGCGGGTCTAAGGAACACACCAGCATCAGGGCGTACGTGTTAAACTTGAGCGCTTCCTGTGCCGCTTCATCATCGCCAGCAGGAACAAAGCCATCCGCTGGTTGCTTTTCGCTGGGGGTGGTTTCGTCAGCATCTGCGCTGGGATGTAATACCAAGCCGGTTCTCAGCTCGCAGGCCTCCCGCGCATCCGGACTTAGACGTCTGATATGTTGCAGGCCAAAGTGCTCGTGGGGGATTCCAAGGACTGATTGGTCATGGATTTCCTGTAAATACTCTCTCACGGTCATATCATGGTTAACGGCTACTCGAACTGGTATCGTAGCGATCATAGGTCCTTCGATCTGTTCGACACCCGCAATAGGAGCGTTGCGCCCAGTAAGCGTCTCCCCGAACACCACATCGTCGGTCGAAGTATAAGTTGAGACCAAGAGCGCCCAAGCACCGCGGATAACCGTGGCAATCGTTATCCCGGTATTGGGCTTGCTAGTATGTACGTAGTGTTCTAGAAGAGAATCGGCTTGTTGCTGATAGCCTGAATAGGGGAGAGGGGGGAATTGTTCATTATTAGCGCCATCTAGTCGTTCTCGCCAGTAAGATTCCGATTCATTGCGGTCCATATTAGTGAGGTAGCTAATAAAGTGTTTAAACTCAGCTGGTCGCTTTGTTGGGAGGCTGTTGTATGCTCTATTAACTCGTTCGACCACTAGAGGCATCGACCATCCATCGTAGAGAGCGTGATGCATTGTCAAGACAAAATGCGACTTTCCTGTAGACCTCTCGTTGACGACCACGCCGTATCTAACTAGAGGCTTGCCAAGTTGAATAGGTTCGCTCCTATCTTGAACCAGATAATCGTTAAGACTCTCCCCGGATAACCACTTGCAGTCGAAGTCATCTTTAACGACTACTTGCATCAATCCTTGGCTTGTGACCTGGACTATCCTCGTCCGGAGAATTGCGCAATCTGCAGAAGCTAACTCGAAAGCCTTCGCGAGGTTCCGCGCTGCCGTCTCGTCTTCAAGTTCGACCACGCGCTGTGCGACATAGGCTTCGCTGACCTTAGCGGACAATGCCATGAGTCCTTCTTGAAGAGGCGTGCAGGGGTAAATATCTTCAATATTTAAGGGGTCGACGTCGCAGATAGCAGCGCAGTCTTGTCGCGCTAAATCCTCTGACCATTTACTACCAAGAAGGGAGAACGGCGGAATCTCGACCACGGTTTCGCTGCATGCAATCCTCGCAACCAGAGCCATGTCTGAGAGCACAGGGTTGGCGAATATGTCGGCGACCGTAAGCGCGGTGTCTTGTGTTCGCGCTTGAGCTACCAGCTTCATCGCGCGAAGAGAGTCACCTCCTAAGTTGAAGAAGTTATCATGAGCGCCAATATCGACATCCTGTCCGAGGACTTGACCCCATAACTGTGCAAGTTTCTTTTCCGTTGGAGTTGAGGGCTCTTTTCTAGGGACCGTCGCTGCGGCGAACCCGGCGATGTCTTTCCTACTAAGGGTATGCCCCAATTCTCGGAGGCGTTTGCGATCTGTTTTCGCCGAAACTAACAAGGGCATGGTCTGTAAAGGAATATATGCCGCCGGCACCATATATATCGGTAGGTGTTCCGATATGGCCTTGTTCATACCCGTGAGAGAGTCTACCACTTGGGGCGATAATGATCCTAGAAGAGGTTCGGATTCGGGTACAAGACCTGCTCGCTCTGCTATGAACGCAACTAATGTCGGTTCACCAGCAGGTCCGCCAGGCCTAATGACCTCGGCAGCGACACGAGTACCCGGTGGTAGTTTGTCTCGCATATTGTACTCGATCTCTGCGAGTTCGATCCGTTGTCCACGTAATTTCACCTGCTGGTCGCCTCGACCAACGAAAATAATCGTTCCGTCCGGGTCGTATCTTACTAAGTCGCCGGTCTTATATAGTCGTCCACTACGGCCTACATGCTGTGGGCCCCCGGCTAGAAGCCATTTCGGGTCGCTAATGAATGCAATAGCTGTTCTCTCAGCATCGTTCAAGTAGCCTGGTCCTACTATAGGGCCTTCAACCAGAAGCTCGCCAACTGCGCCTATGGGCATGAGTCGATGGTGATTGGAAGGGTCGACAATCCACAGTGTTCCTCCAACTCCCCTACCGATGCTGACATGCGCCTTTTGGCTTTCTGCACCCACATCGCCATTCACAGCGCAACCTACGGTACACTCCGAAGGGCCATACGCATTGATTACCTTCGTATTTCGACTCCAAGTGGCTGCGTCGCCCGCGGATATAGCCTCTCCTCCCAACCCGAGGACTTCAAGCGAAGGTATGATGTCGGGGTCTAAGACGCGGGCGACTGATGGTGTCATATGAGCCATATTGACATCCATCTTCCGTATGGCGCCGCTAAGGTCATTGACTCGATCGGCATCCGAGGGAATGCATAGGCAACCTCCCACCGATAACGTGCACAGCATACAATCGATGCAAACGTCAAAAGCGTACGACGCAAAGTCGAGGACTCGCGAATGTGCGCGATATCCGACTATTTCCGCGCGTGGTATCGCGCCGCTAGAATAGTTTTCGTGTGTTATAATAACCCCCTTCGGCTTGCCCGTGCTGCCCGACGTAAATTGTATGTAGAGATTCGCGCTCGCCGGCACGGAGGGTAAGCTCGGAGATGTATTGTAGCTGCTAAACTGTTCGCTAGAGAGGGTAATATGAGTTGCGCTTGGTGCAATACGATGGCCGAGGCTCTCTTGTAGCTTCGACGTTACAATAGTAGAAGCGCCCGTTTGCTCGACGATGGTGCGTAGTCTGCCTTCGGGCTGGCTCGGGTCCATGAGCGCAAATGTCGCGCCTGATTTCATGACGGCAAGAACAGCTACAACAGTCCATTTTGATTTCTCGAAACATAACGGCACAATCGATCCTATCCTGACGCCTACTGATACGAGATGAGCTGCTAACTGATCTGATTTCGAGCTAACATCTTGGTATGTGAATGCGCCATCCCACGAGTTAACAGCTGGCCGGCTGGGATCTTCCTTTGCCTGCTTTTCCACCAATTCATGCATGCAGATTTCCAAGGTAGGGGGAACTGGTGTGTTCCAGCTCCATATCTGTTCCAACTGCTCTGGGGTTAAGCCGTCTTCTTCGAGATCTGTTGGTGGAGTTGTAAGATGACCACTCGAGATACCCTCGTCAGTGTAGACGGAGTCCACACACGAGTTGTCTACATCGTTCTGGCCCATTGTTGAGTTTGCGATAGCGACGACGACGACGAAGACGATAGCAGTGATAGTGACAACTGCTCCCGAGTCGATGACCAGGACTTACAGGTCGATATACAATTTTTCATCGGCTAGAATAGCAGGCGCTGGCACATTTGATGAGCGAGTGGACCTTGGGTAGAGTCTTAAGTCTGGTGATGCTGAATTCAAAAACTTTCAGAGACGGAATGCCCAGAAGGCCAAGTGCCTAAGTAGGGAAAAGGCCGCAACAGGCACATGATAGTTTCATACCTGTCTCCATTGTTGCCGACAACGGCAAGCAGATTCTTGTATGATTTACTAACGCTGGTACGAGAAAACAGTCACTAATGGAGCTGACTTGGAAGCAACTTTCCTCTTCTGCATTAGACGCTATTTATGGACGCCGTTAGAACCGAACCAAGATGACACCAACGCACGTCTTCTCCACAGGGGACGGATCAGATAACTTTAAACGGATCAGATAAATCATAGTAATTTCAGAAACCTGGTTAGAGGGTAGGCGGACTTGGGGAGGGTCCAGAAAGGGTCTAGAGAGGGTCTAGAGAAGGGTGGAGAGTCTTGGCTGTATATACATACATACCTCCTATGTATAATCGCCGTTGTAACGGTATAAGTTATACCAAAGACTTGATGGTATGTTCTTGGTGGTGTGCTTGTTAAAGCGAACCAGCAAGATCCCCGCACAAGCTCACATGTCATTCCAATTCCTACCTTTTGAAAGATCTACATCTGCCACTAAGCTCTCCTACGTATTCACTCCGGTCGGTCGTATATTACTTGTAGGTGTCTAGGTACATATGTACGTGGGTGTGCGTCAATTTCAGAAAGTCACTAAACCCCACGCACTTACGAATAACATACGAATAATCACGGAGCTTGGGGCGTTAGCAAGTTATAAGCTGGGCAGATGTAAGTGGGCATGTTTCTTGTGTATGGAATACATACAGTAATATGCACACTTCATAACGTACCTCATTACCTGCCTCGCGTACCCTAAAGTCTCAGATCTCTGGCAAATCAGCTTGGGATAATCACATCTGGACCTTTCGGTAAAAGCCAGGTTCACCACATAGCTCGATGCATCAACCTGCGTTAGCGGATAAAAGTTTTACGTCAACTGGCTAGTAAAGCATAGAATACCTAGGTAGGTACTATGTAAGGGGAGTCGGGATGGTCGGGATGGGGGGTGAGTTGCATGGTACCTGATGTTCCTAGAATACAATGGCGTGGCATTCAAGAACCAATGGTTTTGTCCGACTTCGGACATTTACCTACGAAAAGAGTATTGTAATTGATCCTATAAAGTCCCGCTTAAACACTAAGAACGTGAGGTTGATTGCACTTATACAGAATAACTTGGTGTTATTAGTTTATATCCTAACTTTATAAATATTTAGCTTGGTTTTTAGGATGCATGTAAACGATGAGTACCTAATGCATTAACACTTCAATTGCTTATAGTAATTGATTGACTGGTGAGTGCTCGTGTGGGTGGTACTCTGTACGTAAGGTAATTGAGCGATTTGTGGCTAAGAGGTACCTATCTCCTTTAAAATCTTCTCGGAGCCCCGATATATCTTTCGTCTTCAGCTAACAACTGCGACTAACTAAATCAGCTTCAACATTCCAAATTTATCTATGTTATCATTAATATCTATCGAAATGAATATTTAAGATTTCGCATCATATAAACAAGATCATGTTTGCTTCTATTTGGCAACACTTAGTTATAGGTTTATTATAACTAGACCAAAGGCTCTATCACACTTCTAAATCTCTTCAATAACTTTCCTTAGGGAACTATTAAATCAGCTTTCGAGATTCCCAATTTTAAAGGCTAAAATTCTAACCAATCCGGCATTAAGAAAGGCGACCGCTAGGTAACTATCTCCGAAACAGTGAAGAACATAGCCGCCGAGGATGATCATGTCGTCACTCAGCCACTCGTAACCTTTACGTTCATGCTCATAAGAATAGGTCAATGGCTGTCTCATACTGTTCTTCGTCTCGGAATATGATAAGCCATCATCTATGTCTTCAACTACACGATACTCAGCTAGATGTCTACGCCCTCGGAAGGTGATCCTTCCGGCAAACCCAATATCTTCGCCGACCGCTCCACTGACCGAAAGGAATCTCCTCAAAGTGCGTTAGGATGCGGAGAAAAAGAACCTGTTACCTCAGTTAGAGGAAGTGTGTTTGCTGTAAAGGGTTAAGAATAGAAAGTATAGCCATCTATCTACGCATAGTAGGCGGTACAAATATTACAGTCAGTCAGTTACCAGCCAGTAGAGTAGATATGATGGATGTGTGGTCAACGCGAATGTAAGTCTACTATTATAGCCGCGGTCCTAGGATCGTTTCGAAGTCGGTTTCACGCGGGATTCATTCCCAACTACAGTGATCTTCATTATTCCCGTTTCAGTGCCTTCGTACGAGGACCTTGGGCTGTAGTATTGTCAATCCTTTAACTTCATTATGTGACTTATTGTGGTTGTAAATGCGCTTTTCAAAATGTACGGGTATGTACAAGTAACCATGCCAGCCAGGCCCAATGAATTCCACGGCCTTCAGTAAATTCCCCAAGTCTACTGTATCCTGACACATGCCTCTTGGAATCAAAAAAATCTCACATGATATATACAATTCATAGCCATAGCTCACATGCAAGGAAATAGTGTACATATGGTTACATACAAGAGGCACATCTATACGTGCTGTGCAAATCCAAGAGTGTTGTTTCCGCCGTTAAAGGCGACAAAGTTGCTCTTGAAGAAGATATCACCGTAGATCTGGAGACCTGCCGTCGTAGCTTGTAGACCACCGAAACAAGCTATTACGTATTAGCATGACAACTTCGTAGCGGAGCTGTAGTGAACTTACTCTGATCATCGACTTGAGCAAAGTTGATGTCGGTGCCCTTGACGGTAGCCATGGTGCCACCCACATCCAGCTGGAGATCGGGCAGTTGTGCACTACAAGGAAACGTAAAGCCACCTTGCTGTTGGTCATCTACGGCGCCATCGACTTGCGCATAGTAGGCCTGTGCCACAGCAGGATCGGCCAAAAGGAGAGTGGTACCGGTGTCGGCAATCGCCTGTGCGCCGGCCGTAGAAGTCTGGGGAGTTCCACCGTCGACTGCGAATTTCTCGCTCGTGAATTGCCAGAAACCATCTGTTGTATTGACGGGAACCCATGTCATGGCACCTGTGAACTTGCTCGTATCCACACGCCCGAACTCGTATGCGCCAGCTGCTTGCGCGCGGAGATCGGCAGTGAAAAGGGGTTCGGCGAGTGACGACTTTACGTTGTCGAAGAACGTCTTCTGTTGAGCTGGCTGAACAGTGTTAAGTTGACTGAATGCGAGACCGAGTAGGCCGTTGTTGTTGGTGTCCTCGACAAAAGATCGGGAGACAGCGGTGGCCAACTCTATTGCTTGCTTGGTAACGGTAGCGCCGCCAATGTCCACAGTATCAGTGCCGACGTTGCCCGCAGCACCCGAGCCGTCACCGTAAGAAATTTCGAATGAGGCACCTTGCATGAGAGCAAACGTCTTGGATTGAGTTGGGTCATAGATAGTGTGGCCCTGAGTCGCGGCTGTGCTAAGCTGACTGTTGAAAACCCATAGATCGGACGAGCCGGAGTCGAAATCGAGGTTCAAAGTTTGTCCACCAATGGTGACAGGAGACAAATACTCAACATCGTTAGCCTCAGGGGTTGTCGTCACGAGACCGGTTCCGTTAGCAGCGGACCCGGCAGCCTGGCCACCTGCGGCTGCACCTCCATTCTGACCCTTTTGACGGTGACCTTTTCCTCTCTTAGGTTCTCTCTTTGAGATCATCTCAGTCTGTTGCTGAGCAGCGCCTGCAACGGATGCCGGTATAGGCATCCTATATTTCCGGAGTGTCTTTAATAGAGCTCGAGGACCATTACGACCAGTATAGTTCGGGTTCGGAACTCGTTCAACCTTGTATACACCTCGTTTTTGGATTCTAACCGGGGAGGCAGAAGCCAGGGCCAAGAGCCCAAAGAGGAGCAACAACTTCGCGAAAGACTGCATCTTCCTATGATCGTAAATGAAGTGAAAGAAGGATGTCGTAAAAAAATATACGTATCACCACACCAGGTGGAATAAATGAAAGAAGAGACTCAGAAAAGACCTAGCCTTGGTTGGCAGTTGGACCAGGAAGAATCGGTTAAGAAGCGGAAGAATTTACAAAGAAGGGTAATGAAGCCAAAGAGCCTCAAGGAGCAAGAAAGGATTGAAAAGAAACAAAAAAATAAAGCAGCTGCTGAATAGAAGTTGTCTCAGACAACAACGAACTTCATGGGAGTTGAAGCACAGGAAAGAGGGTAAAACGAGAGCCAAGAGCTCTGCTTTTGAAGGAAAGACGAAAGCCAAGAGAAAGGAAAGGGGCGTTGTGGGGATTAACCCCGGTCGACCATCATTCGATTCTGCATGGAAGTCAGAAACAAGCTCTAGCCAAGCTAGCTAAGGTCGATCCTAGATGTGATGCATAGTTTGTCTCGAGTGCCAAATGGACGGCGGAGCTGTTGACTAGAATAGGATCTGCGTCGTCATGCTCTCCGTCGCCAGTCGAAACGAGGTCCACTAAGACTATTCCCAGACAGATGGTGTGGCATAACCAGTGGGGGCTGTTAAGTGACGAGTAGGTAAATTCGTAATACGAAGCTTGACTGGTTGAAAGGCAGAGGCATCTTAGTGGACGTGGACATGGAACCCCGGAAACTAATGCAGGGGCTTCGAGCCCTGTAACGGTTCCTAGAGAATTGCGCTTTGATACTGCATGGCCTTCCATATGGACCCTATCTACCGACAAAGCCTACGTATGTATGTAAGCGTCTCCAAAAGTTGCCGGGTAAGCGAGCCATCATACCAGCCGTAGCCAATTCGATGTAGCCGGTTCTGGCTGATGTAGAAGCATTGTTGCAATGCTGTCATAGGTGAGTAGACAGAAATGATGATGATGGGTTGAGTCCAAGTTGAAGACCTAGAGACTCGGGTTAACGGTAAGAAAGTCCTTAAAAAACAACGTATTAAAAAGAACATTTAAAAAGCCGTTATGATGGCTTTCTCTGTGATCAACTAAGAGATCAACTATGAGTTATAGATCATGATTTAGGTACATGTACCCCCGGACAAAGACCAGACAAAAAGGACGGGACATCTCCTGGTCTCGAACTTTTGAGGGACCAATCGTAGAGCCTTGAACGGAGATTCCAGAGTGTTTCAAGAACGACGCAGGGTTCAACCCAGGTACGAGATCAGAGAGTAGATCGTAATGAAAATACGATTGTATTTTAAAAAGGGTCACATGGAGGGTCGAAGAACATTTCGTTGCCATATATCGACGCTAGAAGAAGCTTGTTCGTGATAAGATTTCTTCTTGTCTCGAGTTGCGGGAGAGAGAAGTTGAGATGACAGTTCCAAGTTCTTGGGGTGATTGATTGATGTTATGCCCTTTATCGATAGGAACCTTGATATGCTTATGCTTATCGGCTAGGTTAGTCGCTTCCAAGTTACATGGACATTACGAGGTAAATAAGAGGTACATACAAGTCGGCGTAATTTTAGGTGGAATTTAAGTACCGGTAAGCCAACATTGAATGTACCGAAGAAAAGAAAAAAAGGCATCAAGCCACATTCAACACGTGATAGGTATCACCAGCCACCAACTATTCTGTTTCCATGACCGTTTGAAACTGGCAAAAAGTCTCAACCTCCCAACCTCACATTTCCCACCGTATTAGTCTGTTTTCCCCCCCCCCGTTCCAACCCCGGAAGAGCTTCAGCGATAAGCAACCATCGCATCTGGGTTCCCCCCCGTAGTAGCGATAACAGCTTTTCCGTCTAATCGGAACAGCTCATCCCATAATCGCTACGGCATCCTGCAGACGATCGTCATCGCTGTCGTTATCGTTAGTCAGAAATTGCCGTCATCATGTCCGACGACGATATTGAAATCACGTCGTCGCGAAGCTCGCGCCGTAATGCCGACAGACGAACCCCGCGATTCAGTTGGAACTTAGCTTACGAGGAGACCTTCTTCAGATCGCTATGCGAGTCCATGCAGATGGGATACAAGGAGAATCACAGCTTCAAGTCGGGTGCTTGGGAACGCGCCGCCATCGCTTTACGCGACAAGCACGGAGCTTATCCCGAGAAGAGCCACCTCATCAACAAGGCCGACAACGCGCGCAAGAAGTTCCGCATGTGGAGAGGGTTAAGGGAGGATCCCGAATTTTTATATAACCCCACTACTAGAATGGTCACGGCAAGCGAAGAGGCCTGGAGAAGACACTTCGAGGTAGGTAGAGGAAATAAAAATATACGGGGGTGTCCAATGATACTGACCGGCTATGGTTTACAGAAAGAACCCTTATCAAAAGCACTTAGGGGCCGCCCCTTTGACCATGAAGAGTATATGGAGATTCTATTCCCTGACGTTGTCGGTTCCGGCGGTGCACCGAAACGTATTATGAAGCCGAGACGGAGAAACGCCGACGGTAGTTTAGGTAGTTTGTCAGGTAGACCGAGCACCGCGGATCAAACCGTCATCGATCCCTCCCTCGACTCGAGTATATACGCTCAGACTCAGACTCAGACTCAGACTCCGGCCCAAAACCAAACTCAGCAAACCCAACCGCTAAGCCAACCGGTGCCGACCCCTTCTGTTCCCCAGCCCATGCAGAGACCTTCATCAACTACCATCCCACCCCGAACATCCATAACCGCAAATCCAAGTGCGCTTACACCACCAGATGAGCACGTCCCGAGTACCCAAGCCCAAGCCCAAGCGCAAAAACGGCCGAATCCTAATCCAAATCCTAATTATCCAGAGAAGCGTCGCGGCAGACCCTCGCGCTTTTCTACCAACTTCTATACCCAGCAGTCCACCAATACGCCATCCTCTTCTTCCGCCGCCCCTCGCGCTGCTAGTCCCTCTGCGCCGCTTGGACTTCATTCGTCCTTCACCTCTACCAACCTCGTCGAAGACGGCATCTTATCTCTAGCTGAGGCCCTCAAGACCCGTAGCCCGCCTAAATGGTCGGAACAGGCGGTTGAGATCTTTTTCCGCGAATTTGCAGAAGAGGATGCCGACTTGCAGCTCAAAATCGCCGAGAAAGCTCTCACCGACGAGAATAAAGCGATGGTATTCGTCAAGATGACACCGGTGTTGCGGCGACATTGGGTAGGTAGACTTAGGGAGGTCCACATGCGAAATCTAGGCGGCGGACTTGGCTTAGGAGGACGAGTCGGAGAGGAAGCTACTTAAAAGTTATCTATGCTCACGGGAAGCGTTGTCGAATCTGGTCTGGCTTTTAGGCGGAGTTCGGCGCACGGGCGTTGTTCAATAGCAAGTCGAAAGCGGCGAAGGGTGTATGTGGCCAAGGGCTAAAACTGTGCATGAACAGCCTTGAAAGGTCCAATATCGCCCAAGCGGAAGATCTCACGACTTTGTAGTCGAGACGATTGGCAGCCAAGTTAGCGCCAATTTGCCTCCAGCGGAAAAGCAGCTCATTGCCGCTCAATTTCGCAACTACGTTATGATCTGAGCACGTATATACCTCTTATACTGCTTTACGAAACTTAATGGTATTATTTAAAAGCGGCATTGTTTTCTCATTAAGCCAAAGCTGGCTCTTTCTCTCCTGTCGACTTCATTCTTTACATGGGTTTAAAACGAGATTGGCAGGTTTGACGAAGATCATGGAACTTCCATCGTCATCATATATATTTATTATATCCCGATGCTGAATTCATTGGTGGACTACTGGTATACCAGTACCATGTCGCGAGTATTACGCTCTATGCTTCTATACTCTTTGATTCCCATGTACCAATAGGCGATTCCAGACCAGGTACTACAGGCATGGTTCTAGTTAGGTACTATTCTATCAGCGAAGGCGCCTATTACAGCAGATAAGCTCGCAGATCTTATTCTAAGAGCTTATAAAGCCTTCGGAATTAATTATTTCTACTGAGCTGAAGGCTTCTAGTCATGAATGCTTTCAGAGGAGAAAGGGGGTATGACCTCCGAGTTTGATGAGTAGATGAGACCTACAAAGCTATTGGCTAATAAGTAATTGATCTCTAGAAGGTACCCTTATAACTCACTTCGATGGCATGAACTCATCTGGGACTGCTTTGAGCTGTAACTGCATGAATTGAGAAGTACATAGCACATGCCACGCGTATACCATACAATCCCTTGGAACATCACGTAGCAAGGCCGTTTCGAGAAGACTAAGCCTCTAGTGTTGGTGACATAGCGAGCGACGATCCCTGTTGAGAGGCCATTAACGCGGAAATAACAAAAGCGTATACTGCCAGTAGAAAAGGGTGAGCTGCATCGATAGGTCTCTATAGTTAGCCTAGTAGTCAGCCTAGTAGGTGTGTTGTTCAAGGTTTTGTAGGGTCCAAGTTTGGAAGTTCGTGCTGTCATTTAGCCTTTCGTCGAATTACAATGCACCCTTGGGTCCTGTGCTATTAATATGGTTGCTCTCCTTCTCAAAGCGTGTACTAGGATAAATTTCCTCTTGAGGTTGTCTGACTCCAGCTCCGGCAAGAGAATTTAGATACCCCTTCTGACCTAGTCACTTGTTTTCCCAGCGCTGTTTCTATTCTGTGCATTCTCGTTTCTTTCATACATTCCCTTTACCCCTATCACCTAAAGATTAGTAAAAAAAAAGGAAAATGTCGGCCCGTAACGTGGACTTACATACGAATTCGAAGCCGCACAAGATGCCCTCTCGCGGATAACGCTCAGAGTCTAATGCTCTCGAGCCCGTCATTATGCCTCGTCAACAGCACGACTAGACGTATACAGTTCGAGGGCGTTACACAAAGGTCAGCTCTAAGGAGCTGGTTAGCTTGTTCGGAATACCAATATAGCCAGTGCTAATCCAGCATATCATATTAAAGGGGCGGCTAGCTATAAGACGATGAAGCATATCTCCGATGCCATAGCAGAGGCGAAGCACCCCGGGTATGAATAGGCGGTGAATAAATCTGTCAAGACTAAGATTGTAGAGGCGGAAAGGCTGCTGTGGGCCGTGATACACTTGGATTGGGGTGTAAGCTTAGTTCTCTTGTCGCGAGTCTATGACTTATGGTTCGATGCCCAAGTAGGTAACTGAGAAGCAAGATACTATTTTAGTATAGTGCCCACATTCTCTTGCGAGTTAATAAGATAAGTAGGAAAGCCGTATACCCGCGATGAGGTTGCTAGTGCTTATGTGTAACGCTGCTATCAACTGTCATTTCTTTTGTCTTTTCTGCGTATTAGGTATAAGTGTTAGTGTTATAGGGTGAAGAATCTGGCAGCCTGTTTGCTGTCTCAAGGTAAGTACTGAGTGAGTATGAGACCACTGTAACTTTCTCTGGACGCGGCATATATGATATAGCTGGGTACCTAATATAGGCCTATTGTTGAGTTTGCTAATGTTAGATGCTTAACGACATATTATGTTAAGTGACCAGCCTTTACTCGAATACAATTTGATCCGGAAGCTCCCCAATGCCTAACGTGTATCGCGACCCTAAGTTCGATAATCAGCTCTAAGGGTTAACCTGTGTAAAGGGTCGGTTTCTCCTGGCATAGGTACGGGCTGTAGTTCGATTAATGGACGCTCCAAGTAACGTATCCTCTAATCCAAAGGCGCTTATCATCGCATCACTCGGTCAAGTTGTGTGTATCAACAGCAATTATAGCCCGGTTAGACCGCGAAGGATTGGTAGTTTTTGTATATCGTAGCGCTTTCTTTATGTTGATTAGTAGACTATTATTGTAACAATATGTCCTGATACCGAGATGGACTTTATTTGCGTTACTTCTTGCTTGATAATGGCCGATAATACCCATCAAGGTAAACCAAGAGTGATGTGAGTGATTACTATCCGAGGAAGAATCGTGACACCGTAGCTGATGGCATCCAGAGGATTTATTAGCCGGGCGAAATAACTTAAACCGTGCAGTCCGTCTTACAGTTCGTGGCCGTCAATGCAACCTATGTTTAGCCGCTGACCTTAATAAGATCTTACTGATGTAACACGACGAATCGAGTCATTGGCTTGTTACACAGTGGCATATAATAATGTGTTCGGATGCGATATTGTGTTGCGTTCTTGGCTAAACAGCCGGAATCAAATGGTCATGTTTGACTGTCGTGTTACCACATCTATTGACCCCGTAGTACTGCCGCCGCTCAATACCATAGTGGCACATTGCGCGAGTGACACTCAGAACGGAATAGGGGAGCGAATAGGATGTCATCTACGAGATCTAATGATAGTATGACAGAAGCATGTGGACTATTAAGTTCGAACCACTTTAAGAAGAACGCATCCTGATTAATCCACCTGTACAGCTCATTCTTGGGTGAGTTGTCTACCTAAAGTGAATATCGTTTGGGTGGTGTAGGTAGGCAATCTGTATTTAGAATATCACGCTGACGCTTGTATCCACTAGAGATTAATCGACATGAAATTTGGCCGTTTCCAGTCTGACCTCGTTTAGAATAAGTCCAACAAATAGGGATTGGGGATGCGCCTAGCTGCCCTATCAAGGGTAATGAAACAGTGGTTCTGCTGGCCTTTCTTATGCGTCTTCCACCCGAACCGCTCCACCTCGCCCGGGGTAAACTGCCAATACCTTAAAGGAGGACGGCGTACTATTTTGAATGGCAGCTCCTCGTGAGAATCAAGATTTTGCATGTTGGGAGCGTGCGTTTTTATAGGCAGCGAGGGTGGTAGCTCGAGGGTAAAGTTCCCCAACACCTCGAGATCTTTTAGTTGTGCGGTGACGCCTTGCTCGGGAATCTTCCGCCACGGGCCATGATCGTAAATATCTAAAGATATGCGTAGACTATGCAGACATGAGATACGTGCTAGAGCTTCCCACAGCTCTCGAACTCTGCTCTTAGGCCCATCGACGATGAACGGGGCGTACTCGTGAAAGGGAAGACTGAGTGATAAGTCAAGGTGGCGGATACGTGTGATATATGGCGAAGGGTTATAGGCGAAAAATCTGTGCGCCGAGAAGAAATCGTTGAATAAGAACTGGTGCGATTCGAGTATCGATTCCATAACCTCGGGAAACCTACACGCTCAGCGGGTTAGTTTAATAATAGCGAGTCTAACTGTAGCTGGAGACATGATAAGAGAGTAAGCGCGGGCAGGGCTTTTTTAGAAACTTACATCCGTTTACAAACGAGCATCATAGACATGAAGTTTGTACCATCTACAGACTTTTGCGTACCGTATTGGATTCTTTCCTCACATCTCCAGTGACGGCTACCCCAAGTCGACGCCAGTCTCTTTTGCCACATTAATAGGTTTCCTTTGCCCGAGTTATGGGCTATGTCCACTGAAACAAATTATTAGTTTTTAGCAATGATAAAATAGCTTTTGCGCCCTTAAAAGGGGTAGGTACATAGCCACAATAGATGAAGATGTGAAATATACATACTGTTCTTCTGGATGAGATCTGGATCCTCGTCATCCTTATACATGACGCATCTCATGTTGACCCAGTGGCCGTCTACAAAGTGTATATGCCTTCCGCGGAGCGTGTGGTATTTGTGGTCATAAGGTCCGCACCAGACGAGTTCATATATCATCCGTCTGATCTCAATAGGTAGGTTGCGGAAGAACGGGCTGGCGAGCTGAAAATCAAGTCCGGGACCGTTATTATCTTCGATTGTTAAGGCCGAGGTATTCTTTAGTTTCTTATGCTCATGCTCCGAATATGGGCTGCTTAATCTTCTTCTTCTCTTTAAGCTCGAACGGAAGAAAGACTTAACTTTCAACTGGATCGTACCGACAGCCATCTTAGCTAGGTAAGTGTCACACAAATCCTGATGAGATATGAGGAAATGAGGAAATGAAAGAGGATTACACCGGTGTATAGGAAGGTAGGGCACACGGGGTAGTCTAAATACTGTTACGTATACAATAGGGAGTACAATCAGAGGCAAGCAGTCATTATCGACATGCACTAGGGAGGCGTCTATCATCGCTCCTCAGTCGTGTTGAGACTAATACGCGGGCTGGCACATGTTATGTCCATGTCACCACCCAGGCGAGAATGACAAGTCTTACAGCATGATAACGACAAATAGGCTAAGCCACCAGTAAGAATTTCAGACTTCGCCATCGTGACGAAGTTGGCTTTCAAGCTCGAGAGGCATTCGCGGACAGTCATGCCGGAACTATGCTTCATCAAGGGTTGTCCGTTAAGGTGATGGGGAATTTCCACCGCCCCGTCTTGATTGGTCGTTTGGGCACTTTATACAAGTTGTACAGCGTACGCCTACGAAAGTTGTTGCAGTCGTGTGCCATTAGGATGGTAACCAATCAGCGTAGAAGTTATACCCGGTTCAAGCCAATAGCGCCCAATAAGGAACAAGAGTTCTTGTAGGATCGCTTAACCTTAACGGTAAGGCTAAGTATCAGGGTACGTGGCCATGTTAACGGCCGTGCTTAGAGTAGCAATAGAGAGATGCCGGCCGGGTTCCCCGATCCAAAACTAGTATTTTTACATTCTCACACATCATCACCTGTGATCAAGTTAAAAAGTCAACCGTCTTCAGTCAGTCATATCCTGATGATCACAGGAATAGTCCTATCGCCCGATGTTATTGGGGATCCTGAAGGATGACTCTTTTCTGGCCTTCCAGGTGATCTGACGCACTGTAGTCCGTACATTGCGTGGCTGTGTTCGACGAATGGAATATGATATCGGCGATGGATTCGAGACCCCCTCAGGCCACACCTCCTGAGAAAAAGGAGGGTACGATATATCTCAACTCTATGTAATGCCAATACTAATGGGACACCTAGACAGGTCTCAGGGTTCTGACTGACGGAACACGCATCAAGATTCAAGTGTCTCGTCTTTCAATACTGTTTACCCCACGTTCTTTTTTCTCCTTTCAGCTTGGCCAACATATTTGAAGGAGCACAAGCCAAGCCATCGTCACACCATTTTACATATCTGCCAACGCTATTCCCAACTTAAGTTCCCATGAAGTTTACTTCCTCGGCCTGACAGTCCTGTCTCCCCTCCTCGGTTATAGTAGCACATTTTGCAGTTATTCAGCAGATGCCTCACACTGCCTCACACAAAATGTTCCATATCGGGTAGCGATAGAACTAATATCTTAAGATACTGCGCCGTCATTCGTCAACGAAAGGATTGGGGAAATATTTCTCCTGGCCTATCTTAAACAGTATCTCGGCCGCGGGCATCGTAGAACAGATTGCCCTGCAAGCTACCCTGATTAACTGAGTCGCAGTACGTACGTACTTGATGCGATGTAATGCAATGCATGCCCGTCAGTTCTGAACAGCTGACGAACCATTAAACTCTGACTTCTGGTAGACATGTCGCCCAAGGACTTGTATGGAAAATCTTTATCATTATCTCTATTCCCCGGGCGTAATAATGTGCTGGGCCATATCGACCAGCTAGTTCCCTTCCCTACAGTAGATTTGTCCGTTCTGTTAATACCCACCAAGGATAGTATATAGGTTGCTATGTTCTATAAGTTCTACACGATTCAGTACTGAAGCCTATCCAAGCGGTCGGTAACCCATATGAACTACTGTCATAACTTTATCTCGTTAGCAATAGGTACGATCAAAAATATAGAGTTAGTGAGCAGAGCTAACATTGATGTACGTCGTGGCCTTGGGTCCGCTGGTGGTGTCGTCCTCGCCCAGTAAGCGGCGTCTTTGGGGGCTCATTATTTACTTTACCATCAGCGATACTTATGATTGGGTTTAGCAATGGTAAGCTGTATAATTCCTATTATATGAGAGTAAGATCAACCATCATACCGAATACCCGCGGGTCTATTCACTTGCTCGGTCGAGGAAAACCCAACGCCCGAGTTCATCGGATTGGAACCCGAAATTTAATCTATCTCTATGTTCTTCTCTAACGGGTGGCGCGAGCGTGGGAGGACCAACTCAGGAAGGGTCGTCAGCACTAATGCGCGAGATCGACTGGGGAAATCATGGCGAAATCTGTTGGTGTACTCGATAAGACTTACCCATGGGCCACGTTACGTGCTTAATGCTGTGGAATCGTAAAGTAGATCCGTTTCGCCTCTTCCATCTGATACAAATGATCAAATTAACGAAGTATGACATATTAGGGGGAAACTGATCGACCATACATTGATATGTATCATTTTAATGTTACATTAGATGTCATCTCTTCACCAGAGATGCTGAAATCTAACTGACCAAGGTTGGAATAAGCAATTCTACTTTCACCTATCACTAATGTACGTCTCAGCCAGCCACGTACGCCATCGTACCTAGGTTGACGGCTACACTACCCATGGATGCGGGTTCATCTTACTTACACACACGTGGGTACCCCCATGTTTCCTGCCATCTGCCCCGTGGAGAGGATTGGCCCTGCAAATAATTGCCGCAAAGCGTGGGCATCGTAGACGTCTGTCCGTCCATCTAGTTGCCTTCCTCTTCGGTGGACCGGGCTGTAGAAGAAGCAAAAGGTGTTCGCCACTCGTTCGGTAGGGAAGCCAATAGGAATCAAACCGTATCTCATATAGAATCTAGTTATTCTTTAGCTGTAAGTAATAGTTATGCAAGAAACACGCCGTTGAGCATCATGCCAGATATATCTACACACCACCTTGACCCCCCGCGGTGACCGTTCCGCCTACATATGACATGCAGGCGACATGATGCTTCCCTCTCGTGCGGTCAAATGTCCCCGAGTTTATACCGGGCATAGACCGGCGAAGATCAAGCAACCAGGCACCAATAGCGCCGACAGGAGACGACGCCATCCTTTCTGATATATCCGACTGGTAGACGTAGCAAGTGAACGCTAGGAAACATATTGGTTTTCGTGAAGATCTCGCCAAACCTAGTAGGACATCTTATCGAATTCCGCTATCTAGATGAATACTACGCAGTCACTTTCCGCCGTGACACAATGAAACCGGCCTTGTAGTCTTATTCCCTCCCAGCATGCCGTAGTAAGAAGAAATACAATCTCCCTGCCTATCTCCGGGTGCGACATTTTCCATGTTAGTTAGGATTTACGTTATTCGGTAACCTTGACTTCATGTTGACCCGCTCATTCATTCTACTCTCAACTTCTAAACTTCTGAACCCACGAATCCCAGATAAACTACAATGTATTGTGGTGGTTTCCGTTGACTCATGCGAGCCGTGGTGCAATAGTAGACACGGATGAAGACCAAACTCTTTATTTTCTTTTCCCCTTTTTATAGCTTCTACCGAATTCATATAACACACTAGCCAGTCGGGGCTTCTCCTATTTTTACGCCCCTTTCTCTGCCTAAATTTTGACAAAATCACTGCGCCATCTCTGCGTGGATATGCAAAAATAGGAAGACCGAGCCTGAGGAGAATCTTCATCATCAATTCATTAATAAGCTACTTACCCTGTCGAGTAGCTATACACTCGTGTACGTTGTCCTGGTATATACCCCTTTGCTCACCAGAGCGCGAATCTAACCCGTCCCTATCTCCGGGCTGGTAGTACTCGATCTAGACATGCATGAACCTAAGTATAATCAGTTAGAGAATGGTTCATCCCAAGGGGGTTGGGACACGTATGTTACTCACTTCAGGTCCCCAGACTCCTTGATTTTCTAGATATCTGCTCATTCCCTTAATCAGTTCAATCTGCTCCTCTGGTGCCAACCCCGTAATAGCCATCTCCATGACATTTCCAACGTTGACTTTGTGCTGTGCGATAAAAGTTTGGTAGTAGATGAAGGCGAAGAATCCCATAATAAACTGACAGTCCATTCTGTCGGTCATGCCACCGTGGCCGGGGATCGAGTCGCCAAAGTCCTTGATCTTAAAGGTCCGCTTGAGTCCCGATGCGAAAAAGCCACCAAAAGGTGCGATTAAGGATGCAAAAGTCGCCAATACGATGGCGTGAAACTGCATGGGTTCGGTAGTGAAGGAAAAATTGGTCCTCCCAGGAAGGAAGAATAGATCGGGGAGTGTATACGTGTGCGGGAGGAACACCGGGTTGGGATCACACTCGAGACCGGTAAAGATGCTGGATCCAAGATTGTTGACGGGGCAGATGAAGTATTTGGATCGCATTAGCACGTTCGTTAGAAGCACAGCCCAGACAATGGTCATAATCCAAGCACCCAAAAAGCCCTCTACCGTCTTCTTGGGAGAAAGCTTGATTAACTGGGTTCGACCAAAAGTAATACCGCAGATGTAAGCGAAGATATCGTTAGTGATAACCAAGGCCGCGGGCAGGAAGAACCAGATCATGCCCTCGAAGACGTTGTTCATGACGAAGTGAGCCTGTACGACGATCAAGTACAGCGCCATATGCGTCCAAGCAAAGTTGGTAAACTGAAACTTCAGGTGTCCGGCCTTGAGGTTGGCGACGAAGAAGACGAAGCCGATGACATATAAGACGAAGCTAATAAAGCGGTGATGCGTGGCTAACGGGAGCAGAACCTTGTCGACAAGTACGATATGCTTAAAGTAGTAAATGACCGTCTCGCCGTAGAGGAAATACATGGTGGTAGCAAGCCAATACCAGTTCAAGCTCTTAGTAGGACGTAGCTGTCGGGCTCGACTGGGGACACTGGCAATGGCAATGACTTCTTTGAAGGAGACGATTTGTACAGCAGTAATGCAAGCGATGATGTATATGTGGCCTGAAAACAGAGCTGCGAAGAAACCCCCTATCATGACGAAGGTCCAGAAAGTTCGCGTAAGGAAGTTGGCCTTTTTCTTCTCGTAGTCAGTCATCTGGGGCTGTTCTGAGGCTTTCTATAGACAAGGTAATACGTTAGCTCTGGGATCAAGAATCTACTATACAGTCTACTAGTTATATCAGAACATACTTCGCTAATACCGTCTAGCTGCGGCGAGCTTTTAGTTTTGATAGGAGACCCTGATCCATCTTCACTTATTTCGCTGAAGCTAGATCTCCTACCGTCAGAAGAGACGTGGCCATTGACGCTTCGACCGGGGAAACGAACACCACGACGTGGTTTTGTCATGGCGGTTATTGCTTATACGCTTCCACGTATATATGCAGGCGTAGATAGAGCAGAGGTCGGCGGCGAGGATACTAGCTAGCAATGGTCTTGTTTTGCATACGCGACAAGTATTTAGTGAGTACCTTTCTAGCTAAGCTGAGGATATCGAGAGGTTTCGTAGGTCAAGGAACAACAAGATCGGCAGGTCGGGACTGTTGAGCTGAAAAAGATACCGCGCCGGTAGAGACTGTAGAGACTATAGAAATTCTGTATTCCTCAGATAGTTTAACAGCTCTAAATTAAAGGCTCGGTAGGACAAAGGGCGAAGCTTTGAAAGTCGAAGGGTGGGGGGATATCGGATCGTCGGCTGGTGGACACTTTTAAATCTTGACACTCAATAAAAGAGGTGGTGAGAAAAGAAGTAAGTCAATAACGACCAAGAGGTTTAGTCTTTTCTTTTTCTTTTCCTCTTTTAGACGCGTTGATGTCGGCTGCTGCGGTCCCTAAAGAATCCCGAGAGTCCGTGTTGTTGAGCGACGATATGTACACTTCTTTTTTTTTCTTGGTGATTTTTCTTGATTTGGGGCCGCGGTTTTCATTAATTGCAGGTGCTGACGGGCTGAGCTTTAGCACTAGATTTGCCTAACCGCTAGACCTTGCAGACCTTCCTTGCTTCCAGTTGTTTGCCTGTGGCATGCTTGGCTACGTCAAACCTGTGTGGCTCAGGCATCAATAAAGTGTGGCATTGCAATGTGCCACATTTATCTACTGAAGCCGAATACATCCATGTGTCGTCATCCCGTCTATTCAATCAACCTTATCAACTTCACATGTCAACATGTCATTGGATGCATACGTGACCTCAGATTATGTACCGAAACTTGATCGATGCATATGCAGGTAATATAAACTTCTACATACTCCACCACCAATGATTCCCATTCACTACTCTTAAACGATAATCCACAATGAGGCCCATAAAAGAGCCTCAAATATTATCTTTTTGTAAATATCTTCGAGGAAGCGAGTAGGGCTACTATACTAATACCCCTAGACCTCTAAGAATAATCGATAAACACATCTTTCTGGGCCTTCCAAAGTACATTTTGAACCAACAATACCCTAGGCCAATATCCTCAATGCCACTAAAAGGTAGACTGGGTCGCATAGATGATGTGATTCCTGTATATTTGCCGGCTAGATGGCTGGCGTTGTCCAAATGCGCCATCAAAAATGCTTACCCCCCGAAGAACCGGCCCAACTCCTCACCCTCTTCTGGTGTTACTGCTAGCTCCAATAACTCATGCGCAAGTTCTGCTGTTTCTTCTGACACCAAGTCTTCTGAAAAATTGAGTCTTCCTAAACTGAGCAGGTACTTCTGCGATACCCCTGGTGGCTTGGCCAGTTTCCCTGACACATTCACTAAGTCGGCAGTCAAGGGGTTCGTGATGATCGTGTGTAATAGTAACACCGAACGTGCTACCAATGTCTGTAGTTCCTTTTGTGAATCGTCATCCTCCGAAGATTCGTACCGCATGTCGCCATCGTAGAGCTCGTCTATACACGAGGAGAGCAGGGTGACAAGGCGTGGGATAGCATAGTCATTAATGGCTAATTGCGCAAGTCCGAAGGAGGACCTTGCAAAGGCCGCCAGCGTTCGAAGTACGGCATTTCGAACGCCCCGTTGCTTATATTGGTCAATTTCCCAACGTGGTTTTTCGACAAGCTGATGCGAAATGCGCTCAATCAACGCACCCGCCACAACCTCCAACGTCCTGTCAGGACTGATAGGTCCGATGCTTTCGGGGAACACCGACGTGCATAACCATCGCAGTATGGTCAAATAATCCTCTACTGGATGTTTTTGACTTAGATGTAGGAGGACGAATTCCACCTGGACCTGACTCCAGAAATCAATTGCAGGGTCTGTGACACCGTCGACGGGCGGTGAAGCTGCGCATCCTAGGGCGGTTAAATATAATAAAGAGAGAATCTCAGGGGTCGAGATATTCTTGTTGAAATTTCTCCAGGCTTCCTCTGGCGGATCACCAGGACCCTCATGATAAAATCTAGGAATTCCTACCTCAAAGCACGAGTCCATAGCAACCGGCAGAAGGGAGGGTGCAATATACGGAGAAACAGCGACGGTATATAGCTGTACGGTCAAATATATCAAAGACACCAGCTCCATTATAGGTTCCAACTATAAAGTGGTCAGTCAATGCTCCTTAATTGCGATGAGAAATTGGATACTCACAACACCCTCCTTGTGACAGCTACGCCATAGTTGAATAACTTGCTCGCAAAATTCTATCGGTAGGCGCATAGGGTCGTGAGGATCTCCGATGACAGCCAGTTTCTGAAAGAGGGTAGAAGCAAGGCTTTCCGTAGGTCTCGACGGAAGCCGGTAATTAGCTAGGGACTCGAAAGCCAGTGGGCCACCACGTTTAGAACTATGATTAAGTATCACCTTTATATACTGCTGGCCATTAGTATTCTGTAGATAATATATTGACTACTTACGAGGTTCCGAAGACGACATACATCGAAGGAAGCGGCTCTAGGTGGCGCATCTACGTGTGTAAATTGTGCGTTGCTAGTATCGTTCACACCAGTATGATCCAGCATGACTGCATCTTCCGAGTGAGTTTCCAGCGCTGCGATAGGACTATCGGCAGCCAGTCGTTTCCTCTTTCCTTTGGTAGGAGTTCTCGTTAGTCTTGCAGGCGGTTCTACCATGGCGCCGGCTACGGCACCGGTATTCCTACCACGCCGTCCCTTGCTCGGGCTACCGGCCATCTCGACATCTTCAAATCCATCTGCAATGCCCCACGATTTAGCAGCGGCATTCTTCTTAGGCGTCGCGGGTCCGTCTTTACGCCTAGCGCGATCTAGCTCGTCTTTGAGATCTCGCCTTGTAAATTCAAGTTCTGTAGAAGCGGCCTGTTGTGCCGTCTTAGCAGCCTCGAGAGCTCTTTCATGTTTTGATACCTGCTCGGCTGCCTGCTTCTTGAGTGCCTGAAGCTCGCGCTCGTGATCTTCGCGTGTCTTCTCCAACCGTTTCCGGACAATGCCTATCTCTCCGTCTTTGGTTGTAAGTCTCGTTTTTAGGTCTAGTATCTGGGCTTGTAAGGCAGATATTTCGTGATTCGATGGTACATTGGGCCTTTGAGCTTGCGAGGCTTGGTATCTTGGAGGAATAGAAGGAGCCGGTCGGGGTAAGGGAGGCGGTGGACGAATTTGGCTATATGATGGAGCTGGGGCGCGAGAAATCGGTTGCTGGGGTTGACGGGAGGTAGTAGGAGCTGGTAGTGGATTTCGAGAGGCTGAATGGACAGGCTGAGGGCGGAAGTGATTGGCAGGAACAGGTACCTGACCACTCCATTGTTGTTGATATTGTTGATATTGCTGCTGGGGAGCTACCCTCGATGGCAGCTGGGTTGTTTCTTCTGGTAGGATGGAATTTCCGCGCAGTTCGTCTTGTACGACGGCATCGTCGAGGTCGTCATCTTCGAAATCGTCAACGAATTGGGGTTGAGTCTGAGATTGTTGGTATTTCTTCTGTGCTTGAGTGAATTGAATGGCATTATTCTCGAGCTCCTGTAGGATGTTCGCATTGAGGGTGTCGAAGTCATCGTCGGAAAAATCGTCCATGGCGACTCAAAGAGTCAGGATTGGCTATATACAAGCCCATTGGCGAAATCATATGACTTGTCGTATTATTTTATTATAAGCATCAAGCTTGTCATCTGTTTTGTTTTGTCAATGAGGGAAGTTTAATGTGTTACCTCATGTAGGTACTCTTAGGCTTGTTTATCTTATCGTCTATTGTCTATCGTCTATCAATTAGCTACAAGGCGGTACCTAGATCGCGTAGCGCGTTAAGTGGTGGATACCGGAAATATCACGTCAAATGTAAGGTACATGTACGTCAGTAGGTACCTGCATGTACTATTTGTATACATGATTGGTCTTTCTTCCATTCTTCAACTTAATTGCCCACTTAGACTTACACCATTCATAATTCTTATATTTTGTACCTCTTCCTATTACCAAGGAGATCATCATAGCAACATCGTGCTTCCAGTTAATAACACACGATGACTAGGCTGAAAAAGAATAGCAAAACTACCTTAGACCATAGTCAGCTGGTTGCCTTAACAAGATAACCCCAAAGCTGACTCTCTCTATCTCAATCAGGTACGGATATTTGGCTTGGCAGATGTAAAAATCGTGCTGTGGCCTAAGAAGGATTCTCCAATCTCCAAATCTATTGGATGAGAAATGTGGCTGAATGAAATGGTGGTAGCACAACAACTGCGGTCGGATTCCGAATCTTTCTGGAGGCCTCTTATTATATTATTATATCAACGCTTAGATTTTAATTGGTGAGTGTAGCTAAATAAACTCATTTCAGCCTTGTTAGAACGCTTTGGGATATCTTGAGAGACCTATATCTTGTCCCACCTCTCCCCTTTTCTTTCATCAAGTACTCTCATTATCCTATAGCATACCTACCTCGAATATATCTACTTTATACCCCACAAGAGTAAACATACCTAACGCAACTTACCTAGATCATGAATCCTCAGAATCGGCAATATTATAATCAATATCCCCCCACCGGTGGACCTCCAGACCAGCCTGGGCAGCCTCAACCAGGATATGAGCAGCCTTCACCCGGAGCCTCGTATTACTCTCCTGCCGGGTCACCTGCTCCTGGACAGCCTCCTTACCAGCAACAACCTTATTCTTCTTACAACGCACCTCAGGGCCCTCCTCAGACTAGTCAATATCAATATCAATCCCAGCAGTATCCGTCAGGTCTACCTCAGGCTCCGAGACAATACACTTTACCTCAACCTTACCCATCTCAGCTGCCACAACAGGGACAATACGCGCAACCGCCACCTCCGTACGTGCAATGGGGTCCTAGCTCTCCGCAGGGCCCTCATAATACTTATTCACAAGCCCCGGCCCCTTATCCTCCACCGCCGCAACAATACGGAGGTCCTGTAAGTATAATGCTAGCTTTTTATCTACTATAAATAGTAACAATTACATGCAGCTAGGTGCTCCGCAATGGTCGCAGCCTCAGCAGCCCGAGCCCGGTTATGGTTACGGCGTACCTCCGACCCCTGCGTCGCCTGGTTATGACCTAGCTCAGAGAGCGTTCCTGGCCCCCGTCGATACGTCGGCCGACGTTGAAACTCTCCGCAAGGCTATGAAGGGCATGGGATGTGATGAGGCGGTTCTAATACGCGTACTAACTTCATCCAAGTACGAGAATCCGTGGGCGATGGCTCAGCTTGTCGGTGATTATAACAAGCGTTTCATTCGCGATTTAGCCAAGGATATAGAAAGCGAGACACGTGGGGGTGTAGAAACCGCACTCCTCGCTTTGATCCGAGGACCACTAGAACAGGATGTGCGAGTCCTCATTAAGGCTCTCGATCGAGCCGGCACAGATGAAGATGCCCTCATGGATGTTCTTTTATGTCGATCGAATGCGGACATTCGCGCAATCAACGCCGAGTACAGGAGAATCAAGGGCAACGAACTCCTGGTAGATATCAAAGCCGACGTAGATGACACGTTGTTCCGGCTCTACAGCATGGTACTCTCTGCCACACGTGCCGAAGACGCAGCGCCCGTAATCAGTTCGGATATCGATCATAAAGTGACAGAGCTACAGCGCGCGACCGAGGGCACGATCGGCGCCAATGCCATCTCTGTGGCGCAAATATTCACGAATTCTAACACCGCACAGCTAAACGCTATCAGCAAGGCGTACGAGCGGAAGTACCACCGCTCGCTCGAAGAGGTCATTGAGAAGGAGTTCCGCGGAGATATGGAGGACGCGCTCCTCTACATGCTCGAGAACGCCATCGACCGAGCACGCTTCGATGCCAAGAGGCTGGAGAAGCCACTGTACAAGACTCCGCGCAAGGACCGGCTGTTAATCAACAGGGTCGTCAGTCTGTACTGGAACCGTCCACGTCAGGACGCGGCCAAATCTGCTTACCAGATACACTCTTCGGCTAGGACCTCATTGCGTGCTGCGTTTAGGGGTACCCTGAGTGGAGATTACGAGGATCTGATGATTGCGTTGATTCACGAGAGAAAGTAAATGGAAGTTCTTAACTTTGGATACGAATGAATAGATCTGGAATAGCTTGTCATAATATTTTTACAAGTAGAACCTTTGCGTGTCGTGTGTACTAGGTTATTTTTCTGGCTTGAGAAATGAATATTGTAAAGACTACTTAATAAGAACGAAGAATAACCTGATAGTTAATTACTATCTGTTATAACTATATTCATACGTATACTGAAGTTGCTTAAGATTGTATATAACCTAGTTAAGTATACATATGACGTCAAAGTTATACAAGAGAGAAAATAGTACCGAGGTAAATTATTATTAGTGAGCTCTATCTTTAATAAAGGGTCTCATATATGTGGATTTTCTTCTATAGTATAAGGATAGTATAGAATGACATAATATAGGGGGTCACTTGATTACATCAATTACAGATAATAGAGGATTTGGTCCACTGTTAAACATTTTCTTCTTGTGACCATTGATTTAAATTTCTTGTAGGTTAGTATGTTCTATACTTTCTTCTCTATTCTGGTTGAACATCGAATATATCTACCTCCACATGTGGGTTAAGTTCAAAAAGAGGGGTGTGGGGGTATCGTGGATCGCGATATGGTGCCACGTGATTTCGTGTTAAATTGGCTTAGGTGGTTTGTACATACAATCCGTGCTGTGTTGGACCGAGCCAAGCCGGTCGGTAAACCTAGGGTAAAAGAAGAGCGCCATTTTTTTGAATTTCGCTTTTTTTTCTCTTTTTTGATTTTCGCTCCCGCTTTCCTGCTGCAGTGGTTTGACAGGGGATAAGTCGATCTTATTACTCACCTTAGGTACTTGGGTACTTTTTAATTTACCTAGGTCAGATACATTTATGGAAGCCTCCGAGGCAGCAGAATTTCTTATAGCCACTTATCTTTTAATCTTTCTACTTATTTTCTTTCCCCGTATCGAAATAACTTTTATTCAAAATTGAATGAAACCCTCAATTGCTTTGAGGAAAAAAAAAAAAAAAAAGAGTTGGCTCCATAGAATTGCTGCAGGGACAACGTAGCAATGTACAAGTAGGTACCCATAGCAAAAAGGATCTGCCTACAAGGTACAGGCCTTTTGTAGTGGATGCAAGGCGCTAGGGCCAAGCGTAAATCTAGGGAAGTCTTAGCGCACATGATCCCCCGACAAGTAGATCCAGGTGCGCCCAAGGTGTACCTAAAGAACCCCAGCCAAAAAATACATTAGGAGGTACCTAGGTAGGTGCAGTCGCGCGACTTGGACCGCGTAATAAACGGCCAATGGCTTCCCGCCATTTCTTCCCCTCCTAATATTGGAACCCATTCGCTACTTTGGATACTTTGCCCGAGTTGACTTGTTCCTATTCCCTTGGATCCAAGTCAAAGTCAACGTCAACGTCAACGTCAAACGTTCCCCTCTGACTTTTTCAATATCATCACCTATGGGGGGTTACTTGACTAATTAAACTGATACTTCTGTCGTCAACCCGCGTCGCGTCTAACCCGTAGCTGGATTTCAATTCGAGCTCTTTTACTATTAATTCCCGTGTGGCCGCACTTATTTCGCCTCCTCGCTTCACCTATACCTATACCTATACCTATACTTATACATACATATATCTATGTCTCAGTCCCAGTCTCACACCTTCTTCGAATGCTAAATTTGCTGAGTGTTGCATTGGCTCAACGCGACTATAACAATACGAGTGTTATAAGTCTTGATCTATACTCCCGCAATAACCGCGACTCTGACGACGACGCAACGCGTACACCTCGCTAAGCGACATCAGCGCCCATAAAGGAAATCCTTCGTTTTCTAAACGTGGAATCCTACCGCTTTCAACAATATCTACCTTGCAAATAGGCTAGCTTCAAGACATATGGTTTTATGGAAAACGCGATTGATAGCTTCTGATTAGTTGAATTGCATCCACATCTAACAAGACGCGACAACCTCGTGCCTTTGGCCGTGGCACTTTCTCTAACATTATATCTAACCCACCTAACTTTTACACTGGATCATGTCGCAAGCCAACAGCTCAGGTTCCTTGACGGGCCTCGGCCACTCGTCACAATCTCAGAATATCCCAAGTTCCCAGAGTCAACCACTCAATTATTCAAGCAACGATTCCCAAGATACTACCGCCTCCAATGATACAGATCGTATCTTCACTCCGCCAGAAAGTGACAGTGAGGGCAGCAATGGAATAAGAAACAGCCATAGCTCGAGTCAAGAGTCCCAGCTTCTGCAGCTCTCTCAGCTCGCTGCAGCACAGCAGAGGATGGGCGAGGTAGACGGGGCACCTACGGCTGGTGGTCAATCAAGAAAGCGAATGGCCGACGGTGTGGTCAAGCACAAGAGGAATAGCTCAAGCGTGTCTCCAATTCGTCCTGGTCACTCTAGAAACACTAGCACCGTGAGCATAGCTTCTACCTCTAGTCGCATCGGAGAGGTAATTCGCCAACATCTAATAACGCATTGCCGCGGTCTCTGCTAACTCAATCGTAGCTATCGGCTGAATTGAGGACCAAACTGTCTTACGCCATGGTCAAGGTTAACAACGGCTGGCAAGGGCATTCTATCGATGAGGTCGAGTCGCTCGCGTCTCAAGTTGCCTCTCCTACCTCTAGCACATCTACGTTGCATGGTAGATATGGGGCGTCGGCAAGCCCCCGAGTCGCAGTTGCTCCTATGAGACACAGGGCTTCAAGTATGGTTACTAGCCCTACGACGCAACATCCATCCCAAGGTCGCCCGTATGAGCCATTATGGAGAGAGGGTAATATGAAGTCGTCCGCTTCAACATCACCCAACACCCAAGTGCCCGCGCTAGCTCCGCCTGCGCCTATACAACCGCGTCAGCCCAACCAGACCCAGACCCATCCTCGTCGTAGCTCCAACGCGAGGTTTGCACCAGCTTATCTATCCCACCCGCATCACGTTTCTCCCCATACTCCGGCTCAGCCAAGTCCATTACAAGCCACTCCGGGTCACGGAAATATTAGAACACCCAATGTCGACCCTATCCTCTTTTCTCCTCACCAGAACGTGCGAGAGCAGGAAGCGTTGGAGACGCTGATGTTTATGAGTAGCCCTGGAAACTCGGCGAATGTAAAGCATGCATTTCCCTCGTCTCTCCCTTCATCACAAGGCTCGCAGCCAGTACAGCCATTACATCCGCCGCAAACGCGCAACGGCGGGCGAACTGCTCTCCCTACCTCGCGACTGGGTTCGGGACCCGAGGCCGGGAACCAGGGACGCAAAAGTTTACCAACGGCGCGGCCGCAACATAATCACGCGCCCCAGGTCAAGCGCGTAGGATTTGAGAAGTCACCGGGTATCTACGGTGGGATGGATATTGATGAACCGCACGTATCTCCGCGAAGTAGAGGCACACCTCGTCGCCGAACGAATGGATCGGCTCCGCGACCATCTCTATCTATCCCTGCTGGCCTAAGCGGCCCGTCCCGGCCGAGAACTGCGCTGCGGGGTGACGACATAGAAAGGATGCTCGACCGGGTAGGGGCAGACGACAGCTCGGACTCGGAGGGTGAGATCCACATTCCGCAGAGTAGAAGAGTGAATGGCCCAGTGGTCGGAGTTTGACGCAATATTTTCTTTTTCATGGGGTTCCTATACGGCGTACTTGGCGACTGAGATTGTCATTTTTATCAGTTGTCTCGCGTATATACATGTTTTCCGCATTGTCGAAAAAGGATGTAATTTTTTTTCCTCGATGTCGCATTCACGACCATGATGCATTGAGCTACTGGGGGTTTTCATGAGATGACACTGGGGATTGCAGGAGCAACTGGGTGCATTTACGGGAGATTTATGAGCATGATGACTGGAGGTAGATGTCGTTTGGGTGTATATGTTGGAACGGGTGATGGGTTTGTTCAAGCGTAGGTTACCTACCTATCTTGTCTAAGTAGGGTTATCTTCGGAGCGATTGAATGCATGTGTTGAATGATTCACCATCAAATCAAAAATGCTCTCAGTAGTGTACACGTATCTATCTGGGGGTTATGACATGGGGAACGAGTCATGTTTACCCCTGATCAAACCTAGGCGTAGAGTGCCATGGTATACCGAGGGTGTATTAAACGACGACTTGGATGTGTAAGAGGGGTACGTACCTAGGGTAGGAGTCTGTAATGATATTTGTATGACGAAGGCTACATTAACGAAATAATGAAATTTACAACGATACCAACAAAATTCCCCACGTGTTCATCCCGGCTATCAGCCTTTACGTGCAGGTATGTCTTACAAGGGGGTTACCTACCTGAAAAGGGGGGGGGGGGGGGGGGTAGGGGGCAGCCGACAGCTCCGTAGGTAACCATGAAAATCAGCCTCATTCGAGGCTTGAACTAATTGGGAGGCTAAGTTACATGATGTACGTAATCCTGCATCGATTATCTAATGGGGCGAAGCTGATTTCTCCCGCTACATATGGTTTGTTTGCCAGTTTGGTCAAGCCTCCGCCACGGCAAACGCATTCACTAGCACAACGCCGGTGGTTGCTAAGCTCCGTCTGCGTATCCGCATCGCCGCGTGGTTCTGCTTTGGTGCACCATTATAGTTAATCAGCTGCGAGGCAAAATGACTGCGCCTCCCTAATCACGATGGCTGTTTTCAGCAACGTTAGCGCTTATTGGGTTAGGAGATAAGGGGCTGACTTTACTTACAGCCTCAATTTAATATAACCTACCTACCTAAGGTACATGTAAGCTACTAGGCAAGTATATAAGTGAGGTCTGCTTACTTATAAATAAGCTTTATCAACTTTCTTTATTTTCAGTGAACCTTTTACGTTGTGTTCTTTTCTTCTTTTCCTCTTTTCTTACCATAACTAAGACATTCAACAAACTATACTTCCTCTGATACCCCTAGAAGCCATTCTTCATAGAATTCTTACTTTCAACTTATACCCTTCATTCCTAAGAAGAAGAAAATAAAAAACACTTTCGACATCGCGAGCCTCGCCATCAATATCAACATGTCAGCAGCAGACTACTATGGTAACAGTGGAGGTGGTTATCCCCCGCCTCAACACCAACAGGGCTCGTCGCCTTATCCCCCACAACCTCAATACGCTCAGACGCCCTCGCATTCCCCGTATCCATCTCAACCAAACTACGCAAACGGTACCCCCTCCCCGGCGCCTTACCCCGCTCAGCCCACCTACGCCCAGTCGCCAGCCCCGTCAAAGCAGGGCTACCTTACTCCCTACCAACCACAATCTCAGCACTCGCGACCCGGTTCCGCCCACTCGGATGCCGGCTATGCGCCGCCTCCGTACCCACAGAACGATGGCCGTCACCCAGGAGGATCACGCCCTCACTCCGCGGATCCCTACGCCCAGAATGACCGCGACCCGAACTACAACCAGGCGCAAGCTGGCGAGGACGGCGAGCGTGGTCTAGGCGCGACTCTAATTGGAGGCGGAGCCGGCGGTTTCCTCGGCCACAAGCTCGGTAAGGGCAAGCTGGGCACCATGCTAGGTAGTGCCGTTGGTGCGGTAGCAGCCAATTTAATAGAGAACAAGTTGGAGAAGCGCCATTCGAATCAGGGCAATGATCAAGGCTATGGACAGGGACAGGGATATGGGCATGGTCACGGACATCATGGTCAAGGCCACCATGGCCATCACAGTCATCACAGCCATCATGGGCACCATGGGCATCATGGGAAACACGGCCAGGGCTGGTAGATGATCTAATAATTCGGCAGAACGGTTAGATTGCTACAGTGGATGCTAAAGGGGTTTCCCCCCCCGCTTCCCTAACGATTAACTTGATATTATAAACGGCGGCGTATTGGTCGGTATAAGTCGGTATTGGTATAGGCTTCGGTGGTTTCTCGTTTGTTTTAGATTCCGGTAAAGAAATGACGAGATGATGCTACGGTTCCTTATGTGGTTGCTACAATAAGTAGAGCGTTGGTTGTATGGGGAATGCTTATACCTACCTATGTACTACCTATATTACCCTTGTCGACGAAGGTATTTTTAACAGCCCACAGTTGGCTGTCACTAGCTTTAAATATACCTATGTAGTTACATGATTACCTTGGGTATGTTTTAATAGTGCAATGATGAAGACACTTGTGGAACCCAAATGAAGAATATTAGTAAAGGTGTCTGATCAACAAGTCACTACCTCTTATGGAAGATGATAAAAATGTGCATAATAGTGAGCTACTCGATAGGATGACAATGATGAATTTGTTAATGTCCAGTAGGCGCGTCAAGACTATCTACCTAAAGGCCTATATATCCTCTGCCATGAGAAATGTCTCCTGCGCACCTTTTGCTCTTGTAAAATAAAATGATAATTCTACCATCTTTCAAGCTACTCATTAAACTTGACTTCTTTTACCCTTACTATTCGATTTAACTTCGCCCCTCCGCTTATCACCCGTCGGAGCTAATTTCTGCATAATATTCTTTTATGCACCGCCTCTATAATTTTTAACCGTATATCAAAATCGCCGCTATTTTTGCACCTTTCTTCAAAATATTTAGGATCCATCCAACGAACCTTTTCGGTTTTGTATGAGATCTCAGCAGGGCTTAACGTAAGATAGTTGTGCAACGTACGTATGTCGTAACCAAAACCATGGTTGCCTTAGTCTTTCGGTATTGAATTTTCTCCCGGAGATTTTTAAAGCTGGTGACCGTCTTCAGTCAGGGGGGTTTTCGGTGCCATGTCCCTCGATAGTAACAGCTTTTTCCACGGCAGATTGTGCGACAATCCTCGTCGATGGGCTGTTCGATAAGGCTGTATTCGAAGTATAAAACCGTATCTAGCCTCTTGGGCAGATGATGATGATGATGATGACGACGTTTAGGTCTACTGGTGGCTATAGGCTACCTTGGTGGAAGAGTTTGAGGGTGATAGGTTGTAGCATACAACAATTTCGTGCCATATGTCGTTTAAAAGGAGGATTAGAATTCGGATTTTTAGGGTCTTGATGTGAGATGATGAATTTGTGTAGACCTTATCTAACGTTAAGAAGTTGGTTATAAAAAGATTCGGCTTATTGGGGAGCGTTGTAGTCGTGCTTTCCGGGGATGAGGGTAATGGCTTTGGTGAATTACCCAAGTACCTTGGAGCTACCAGATTGGTAGACACTCATTTGCTGATTTCATAGAAGTTGAGGGTGTATTCAAGTCTGGTTCTCATCACGGCTTTGTTCTCGTCCGTAAGATGAGCTGTCCACCATATCTGTGTGTCGCCGCGCAGTAGCTGCGGGAAATTGTCTCGGAGGATGGCTTTCTTGGCTTCATTCTCAGCAGCTGTACGTACTAGTTATAGCGTGCGCATCTTTGGCGCGGAGACGTCTGGAGTACTTCGCGAGGGGAGTAGAGCTAGAGTATCGCCTGCCATAGGAAATAAAAGTGAGAGTGTAGCCTCTAGGCAGGATAGGTAGGTAGTAGGTAGTGTTATACCAGCACCCAACAATAGGAGTGTGCTCGAGACCATATGTCTAGCGTAAAGTCCATATATACCCCCAACGTCTCCAAATACTGTGACTTATAGGTAGATATGTTGCTGTTTAGAAATGTCCCCGGGATGTGTTAGGTTTTTTTCCTTCTTTTCTTTTTTTTTTTTTTCTTTCTTTTAGGTGTGAAGTTTTAGCTCAATTTTTTCTCACTCCATATTCGGTAACCAAAACAATAGTTGTGCTGCTTGGATACCTGATTTATAGTTTGCGGTGTTGTAAACGAAGAGTTTATTTGTGTTGTGTTGTTAAGTTGACTAAAAGAGGTGATAGGAGGTTTTTAATTATTATGGAGTGGTATTAATATTTGAATATGAAGTATCTAAAATTGTTAGTTTCCATATAAAGCTATGAGTGTTTGATGCATATAAGGTACTTACTGGATTTTACTTTGTAGTTAGGTATGAATGCTTCTTTTGAAGCTTTTGTTCGAGTAGAATAATCTCGGAGAGAAAAGGTAAGCTTTGTGTATTAGACAGACCATGAGTATAAAATGACATCGGGCCTACTACGCCACCAACTCGAGTTGAACTGATCTTATAGCAGCTACCTGTCTGCTAACAGGTAACATTTGATAATCTTGCCGACAGTCTTTCCTATAGTTTTGGCTACAGTCTTCCTCGAGGGTTGCTTCGGATGGTTTTGTATAAGCTGGGGTGTGTTGATTAGGTATACGAGGAAGCTTGGTGCTTCTTCCTTTTGATGGTGTCGACCTCTTTGATAGCCTCGTGTAGCTGTCTGTGTAGTTGAAAAATCTTTGTCTTTTATTTTTCCTTTTTTCCTTTTTTCCTTTTTTCCTTTTTCCTTTTTATTTTTTATTTTTTTATTTTTTTATTTTTTTATTTTTTTATTTTTTTTTATTTTTTATTTTTTTAAATCTTTTTTTTTTTTTATTTTTTTATTTTTTTTTTTATTTTTTTTTTCGAGAGACTACTGTCCGCCAATCTCATTGTATCGGCAAGTTGCTCGATGTCGCTTGTCCAAGTTACTATACCATAGAGTTATTGGCGAAGCTACCAACGTACTAGTACATATATCGATGTTCCGTTGGGAGGCTACGCCTCTCGGCCCTGCCATAAAGTAGGTAGCCGAATAATACCAACGTCTTGGAGAATGAGATATCTATAATTACTTGTTAGATTCGCTTCATCCTAAGTTTAGCATTCTAAACACGTACCTTGCATACTGTGCGGAGATATGGAAGCCAAGTGACCGATGCGATGAGGTAGACGCTAGAGGACCTGCGAGAAGAAGGCGAGAAGAAGAGAAAAAGGGGACGTAATAGTCTAAGACACGGCTTTCTCCCAAGCAAAAATAAAATAAAGATAACAGCCCATCTTCTCGATGTACCACTCCAAGGAGGGAAGAGAACTGGTGTTAAGCAGCCAGACTGCCCTCCAGTCCCCCAGTAATGACAATTAGTACAAAGACCCAAAGCCAAGCCAAAGCCTCGAGCGAAGATTTCATCCTCCAGACGGCATATTCCCTTAAATCAACACCAATCAAAGATTGGTACATGCACCCCATAAGTGCATAATACATATTAGCCCGCTTGCGAGGCAGGGCTCACGCCAATCCGGCGAAGGATGGCCATGGGGTGCAAGGGGGATTATGCCGAATGAAAGAAATGAATTCTTGCGACCGCAAGACTGTTGGGTTAGTGTTGGGACTAGGTGTAACTGTACATTACCAAGGTTCTGGGAGTAGTCTACTGTTTATCCTCCGGCTTCTTCGGTCTCTTTGGAACGATAAACGGGTTGGCAGGTCGCTTCTTTAATTTCATTAGTGATTGGAAGTCTGCGTCGTTCTTCTTCTTTTGCCATCCCTCCTTCAACTTCTTCTCGGCCTCCGCAACCAGATTATTCTTCTTGTTCTGCTCGTCTCGGTTGTGCTTGCTTGCCGTGTCTAGCTTCTCCATCATAACACTCAAACGCTCATCATCCCACTCTGTGAATGGAAGTCCATCGGTCTCCTTGTGAGGCAAGCCCTCGGCACCTATCGTGTAGTAAGTGTCAGGGAGGAGGGCCCCCTTCACAGCTGCTTGGTCGAAAGCTCTCTGCTTCCCGCCTCGTCCCATGATGCTTTCTTTTGAGCGCTCTTCTATATTGCTTTTGAGGGTCTTCTTGAGGGCGTTGAGATCTAATTTGGCCGCCTCCCGCGGCTTTGATGGAAGCAGCCAAGCTGTAGGAATGCTCGAGAAGGCTGGGGCTTGAGGTTGCGCCTGGACAGGCGGGGACTTATGTAGAGAAGTCTCGTCGAAGGGATCCTCTTCCATAGGAGTATCTTCCATATCGGAACCGCTGGCAACCATAGGTGCTTCAAATATCGGCCCAGGTGCTTCAAATACTAGTTCCTCGTTTCCCATAAGGGGGTTACTTGGCGGGGCGATAGTAGTCTGGCTTGAGATACCGATATTGGAGGTAAAGTTAAAAGGGGATGTAGGTGTATTGGTAAAGGTGATGCCAGCTGGGCTATGGTGTAGGAGGGGAAAAGGTATAGGTGTATGTATGGCGGTAGTGGTGTTAGTCGGATTATAACTTGGGATGGTAGGAGTATTAGGAACAGGCTGGCTGTGTGTGGGTCCAGTCTCTGTAAACGGAGCTTCCGTCATAACTTCATCCGGAATATCTTGCTCTTCCTGATGGCCATCTACTTCTGGTGCATCTCCCATAGATTCTTCGTGGTCAGGGTCTTGACCATTTCCAAGATCCGCATTTGCTAGCTCTGCTGCCAGCTCCTCCTCAAGTGTCTGTTCCATCAGTTCCAGAATATCAGCATCGGGTTCAATGTCCATTGTCCCCGGACCTGGTTCACCCGTTTCGACTTCGTCAGCTTCGACATCCATTGCCTCTTGAATTCGATCATCGGTTTGGGGGTTCTATTCCATTAAAGCCGAGTGATCAGAATTCATTGGCTCGTTTGCATTAATCTGCCGGTTTTGCTGATCCGAGGAGCCCTGATCAGCTTGGCTCTGTGAGCCATTATGGAGCTGATCCGGGAAGGTAAGTTGTCCGATATGAGTGAAACCTTGGTGACTAGAATAGGACATTGAAGCATACTGTCCGGGTTCGATAGGCTCCTCGTTGCCGTAAGAGAACATCGGCGCAGATTGTTCGCCACCGAAGTTAAAGATAGGGGCAGACTGTCCAGCTTCCGTGGACTGCTCGGTGCCGAAAGGGAGTACAGGTGCATATTGTTCACCATCGAAATTAAAAGTAAAGTCAGGTTGCTCAACTTCCGCGAACTGCTCATTACCGAAAGATAGCACCGGCATTGGCTGTGGAGCCTGAGTTGGCTGCTCGTTAAGGAAGGAGGATATAGGTGTATGTTGTTCGGGTTGAATAAACTGTTCAGCACCGAAATCAAAGATGGCAGCAGTCTGTTCAACTTCGGTGGGCTGCTCATTGACGAACGAGAATGTGGGTGTGAATTGTCCAACACCGAAGTTAAAAGTGGAGGTAGATTGTCCAGCTTCAGTAGGCTGCTCGGTGCTGAACGTGAACACGGGGGTAGGTTGGGTTAGAGGAGGCTGTTCACTGTCGAAAAGATGGCCATTTTCGACAGCTTGTTCCATGCCCATAGGGTTCTCCAAAAGTTGTATATTGGAATCGAACTCTGCTGGCGCGGGGACGATATGTGGCTCATGGATAACAATCTGCTCACTGCTAAATTGGCTGTCCTCGGCTTGCTGTGAATTATCTAGAGACAGCATTTCGTCTAGTATATTGTCAAGAATCTCTTCCCATTGAGCCATATCATTGGATGGTTGCTCATCGTGTGAAAGTTGTTCAATAGCATGGTCCTCCACAATGGGTTTCTCGATAGGCTGTTCCATTGCACATTGCTCGGCCGAGGATTCCTCCTTAAGAGTCTCCGAAATAGTAGACTTCTCCATGGAGTTCGTCTCAGTAAGCTGCTCGGTGAGAGGCATCTCCTGAATCTCGGGGGACTGGGAGGTAGGTTGCTCAGTAATGGCCCGCACAGTGGATTGCTGCTCCGCGGGAGGCAGCTCGAAGGTAGCAGGGCCGTTGGTCGAGGGGTCTTCGGTACTATGTCCCTCAACAGCAACAGCTTGCTCAATGACCAGCTGCTCCACAGCAGGCTGGACACCTAGAGGCTCCTCGTCGGCGGGTTGAGAGATAGGAGAACCATGAGTAGGAAGCATCTCGATAGAAAGCATGTCATCACTGAGCTTCTCAGGGGCAGACTCCTCAGGGGTAGGCTGCTCGATGACGGGCTGCTCGATGACGGGCTGCTCGATGGTAGGCTGCTCGATGGTAGACTGGTCAATAGCGGACTGTTCGATAATAGGCTGCTGGATACTAGGTTGGTTGCTAACAGGCTCTTTAGACTTAGGTGTACCTTCAGTCGGCTTGGGCTGGTTAGGTTGCTTGGCAGTAGCCCACTTATTCCTGAGGTATTCACGTGAAGAAACCGTCTGACCTGGAGCCTGTAGTATCTCCTCGACAAGCCCTGTTCCGGTACCCTCTTCGCTCATAAACGAAGATCTTCGAAGAAATGTAATTCTCGGCTTAGACTTTCGAAAGATCTTAAGAACGGACTTGTGAGAGTAGACTATGGGTGTAGGCATAGGCGGCTCAGGAGGGGTAATAGGGGGCATGTCTGTGATAGTTATGATCGCAGATATGGCCAGTTGAGGTCGAGGTTGGCTGTGAGTGTCCATCTGCGTGCTAGTGTGAACCATCTTAGGCTTTCTTATAACTCGACATAACTGGCGCCAGAGAGTAAGAGGGAGCTTAAAGATAGACACCGTAACGCGCAGAATGAGAGCCAAGAAACGTCGCATGAGTAAATATGTGCGGTGGGCTAGTGTGAGAACCACGGAGAGTACCTATGATATAACACGTTAAAATCAGGGGCGAGCATAAGGGTCAGGATGAGACTTACCTGGAGAGGGATGCGCCGAAGAGAAGGGGTTGCAGCGCAGACAATCATGACAAGATCAAGATAAAACATATGCTTGTCGCGAGTGAGAAACTTATGCATTATCATGATCGTCGCAACGGTAATCGCGCTGGGATAAGTGACACCCCAAGAATCTTTGCATGCGCACATGAGCGCGATGCCGTGGATCTCCCGGAGAATACCTCCTCCAAAGACGTACTTCACGCAAATAGCCGTGAGAGTGTTTGCCAAAAGAGCGCCGACATTAGCAGAGGGATCGCTGTCATCATAACCGGAGAGACAAGAGATCATAATCATGCCGATAGCTCCTCCAAAGGGGGCGGCGAACATGGCGTCAAGGGCCAGAAGGAAGGGAACGAGGATGGTAATGGCGTACATGATGAAAGACTTGGTCAATCAATGTAATAATAGGAGGGTAAATAGAAGAGTAAGGTGAATGGGAGAGGGGGAGAGAGAGGGAGGATGGGGAGGATAGGGGGGGTAATAGATAGATAAATCAATGAATCAACTGAAGTCAATGATCAAGACAATAGGATGAATCGATTGATGAATCAATGGTCGAGCGAATTGATTGATGGATGTATTGAATAATTGTTTGGATCGAAGGATCAATAGATCAATGAATCAATGTGTAGTCGGATAGTGTAACTAATGATATGTGTATGTCAAAGTCGAAGTCGAAGTCGAAGTCGAAGACGAGAACAATTGTTGCACTTAGTTAACTTGTAGAAAGAAAAGAAGGAAGAGAAAAAGACGAGATTGGGTAGCAGGTCTGTAGAATTAAATAGAGAAAGTTTGCGCCAGTGATTGTGGGAATAATCAGTTGTAACATTGGTACTTTGGCAACAAATCAATTTTGGAATTAGGAAAGAGGAAGGTACGATGCTCGAATTTTCATATGTACCTCAAGTATCATGAGTTGAATCAACAACTTAGCACATCTCAGGCAGGTTCGTTACTGCAGTTTTACACATATCGTCCGTGCATCTCTTACTGCTAAGGTTGTAAGGTTGGAAGGTACGCAACAACAGCTAGTCAACATCTGCAAGCGATCACTTTACAGGTGTATCTATTCCACACGGGGGACAGTTGATTTAATCCTTAGCTTGATTTAATTATTTTTCTTTTTACAGGAAATCTAAAATCAGCTGTTAAACAATTATTAGCTGATATTTCAGAATTTTAACATAAACACCAATTCTTATATAAAATGTAACACGACATTGCTAAAGCCTTTAATCCCAACATTGACTTATCAGTAAGGATTGTACATTAGCGACTTAAGCTAACTTTAAGTATGACTTTAACCGATGCATTTTTGAACTTGATCTTTGATCGTTAAATATATTTCAACTATAACAACTTACTGTAATATTTATTTCAAGTCGTGACTCATTAATTATGATTGTGTAATACAAGAGTGTAATACAAGAAGTTGTGTAGTGATTCTGATGGTTGCGAAGGTTAGTCTGATTATGTAAATTGTTTGTGTAACTGTGCAATGATTGGCTAATAATGCAATCCACCTTCCAAAGATAGTATCTTTTTTCTAAGGCAGGGGTTCCCCAGATTTTGGTTGCAGATTAATTGATCTAGATCTAGCAAAGGGGTACGTACCAAGATCAGTTGATTTAGATTTCAGAAAGAAAAAGAAACAGAGGCAGGTACGTATCGAAGTGATTCAGGCACCGATTGATTGCAGGATGTTGATTTACTTTTGAGTTGGTACCCAGGTAGGTACATAGGTACGATGCTGGCATGGAAGCTTGGGTACAACAAATTCTGTCCCCAGTCATGACCAGTCACCCTTGAGAAATAATGCGTGCTCACGCGTTTCAACTCACATACAAACCAGATGACTGCCACATATATTCAACATTTATCTCTCAAGTCTCAAGTAAGGATCTAGTTAAATATAAACACCAGAAAGCTTATTACGGCCGGTTTATGAAACATGTGGTAAGGATGTGTGTTTTTAAATGGTAATATTCAGGCCTACCTATAATAGCTTATGTTGTGTCTATGGGGTGATCCTCAAGGAAGGAAATAATGATATATGGATTGAGTATAAGTAATAAAGGGATACGTAATGTCGTATAATATAATGCTGTTTAAAAAGTTGCCTGGTCTAAAAACTAACTTATATTATAAGACTAGGTAACTACCAACATCTTTTCAACCTGGGAGACAACAAGCCTGAAAAAGCTTCAAATGATGTAATACCAAAAGTAGGCAACAGATACCTTAGTTAGTTAGTAGCAATATGAATGTCAGAGTTTATAGTGTCCTTTATGAGCTATTCATAGTTGAGGACGAGCACATGTATGATGATGATGACGTTTACATCTATTGGTCTGCTATATCTACTTGCGTAATTACAGCGGCGCATCTCTGGCGCTTTAGACGTCTAGAGTACTCCCTTAGAGGGAGCAGAGCTAGAGTATCGCCTGACATAAGAAAGGAAACGAGCACATGTAGTTATGGGCTGAAGACGCGAAGGACAATAGAGCACCACATTCCCTTTTCTATTTTTTTTTTCTAAGATCATGGATCTTAACTAGGTCTACCCCCGGCAACATATACTTGCTAACACTATAGCGCATTCTCATCTACTAGATCTCGTTCACCATATTCAAATCAATGTTCCTATTTCAAGTTCATCCGTGCAAGTGCGTAAAGGCATTAATATAAATCCAAAACTCGTCGCTAAACGTCATATGTTCTATTTAATATACAAATAAAAACCATACATATACATATATTTTATCTTCGCCCCTGCTCTAGATCCACTATTATTTGTATTTCCGGGTTGTTATTCGAAAGAACGCCCTCGGAAATTACGATCTCGGGAGCTGTTTCTTTTTCTTGAGTTATATTAATTTCTTGTTTTTCTTCCGATGAGGATTCCGTCTTCTTCGACTTCCACATCCTGCTAAAGACAGCGCCGATCTTGGAAAAGAATTTGGCCAGAAGCTTATATACAGCGACGATAGGTGCGGTTACGATCTCAGTGATCCTGGCGAATAGGGCGTCCGGGAATAGTCGTATAACAATAGCCCACGGGAGCGAAATGGCTGCTGCCACCAGGCAGATAGCCCATTGCACGCCGTTGATAGCAGTGATCTCGAACGCAGCGCCTCCCACGAAGACAATGGCCACCTGAGCGCCAACCATAATAATGTTGATTACGATGAAGAATTTGTTGCGAAGCACACCTTCGAAGATGTTGAACTTGTTATCCAGGCGTCGGTTGTTAAACTCGTTGAATATTTGCATCCATACGAACGTGTTGAAGACCATAGTGTTGAGCTCGGTCTTCTGGGTTTGGTTATTAGGATCGTAGCCTAGGATGGAAGCGCCGGCGAAGTGTAGAATTAATGTAATGATGAGTTGGTAAATTGCCTGCCCGACAATCATTTTCCACATATTAGTTGTGATAAGGGGTGCACTCTTCGGTTGGGGTTTGCGATCGAGGATTTTTTCAGTTGGAGGGTCCGTTGCGAGTGCGAGGGCTGCAAAGGTGTCCATGATGAGGTTTACCCAGAGCAATTGCACGGCTGTAAGCACGGAATGCATTTCGGGGTCGGCAACGGCAGATATGAAGGCGAGGAGGACAGCGGTGATATTGACGGTAATTTGGAACTAGAAAATGGTTAGCATCATACAGAGATAATTGTTTGTGTCATTGTTGACGTAGAACTTACCTGAAGAAACTTCTGAACCGAGTCGTTAACTGCTCGTCCCCATTTGAGAGCAGTAAGAATAGAAGCGAAGTTATCGTCCATCAGTACAATTTCCGAGGCCTCCTTAGCCACCTCAGTTCCACAGATGCCCATCGAAAAACCGACATCGGCAGTCTTGAGAGCTGGAGCATCGTTGGTGCCGTCTCCAGTAACAGCTACAGTTTCTCCAAGAGCCTTGAGTCTCGCGACTAGAATCCTCTTATCCTCAGGCGACGAGCGCGCAAGTACTTGTAGCTTGGGTAATTTGGCATCCATCTCATCCTCGCTGAGTCTCCTGAAATCAGGACCTTCCATAATAAGGCCATCGGTGTAAATACCACATTCGGCTGCGATGGCCTGAGCAGTCACAGCGTTGTCTCCAGTAACCATGCGAACGACAACGCCAGCAAGTTGAGCTTTTCGAACCGCTTCGGGGACACCCGGTCTTACAGGATCCTGGATACCAGCCAAACCAAACCAAACCAGGTTCTTTAGTACTGAGCCGAATTTTACATGGCCATCTTCTATCTCGGCGTCGGCAGGTGGCCAACTCTCAAAGTCTTTGTATACGATACCGATGGTCCTCAGCGATCCCTTGGCATAAGAATGAATAATAGATATTATGCCATCACGATCGCTATTTGAAAGCTCGCTTGTAGCAAGAGACTGAACATCTGCCTTCGCGCTGCAATAGTCTAAGAGGATTTCCGAAGCTCCCTTCACTAAGAGCCTATATCCAGAACCGTCTCTTAGCTTGATGACTGCGCCCATGCACTTCTTGGATGAGTCGAAAGGCATCATTTGAATTGTCCGTTCGTTGTTGCGGGCCTCGGCCAATGATTGCATCGCAAGGTAGTCCCTTGCTAGCTGAAGTAGTGCTGTCTCAGTCTTGGAGCCAATAAAAGCGAATTGGCCATCTTCCTCGCCCTCAAAGGCGGTCGAGTTGATAGCCACTGATTGCACAATAGCGTCCTTGGTTTTTTGACTAAGGCCGGCCGCCCATTGGGAGACGCTCTGAATACCTGGCTTCTCGCTTTCGGATTTGGCAAAGCTTGATTGGCCGAATGTTCCCGCGACAACTGTCATTTTGTTGGTTGTCAACGTTCCCGTTTTGTCAGAACAAATTGCGGTGGCGTTTCCCATCGTTTCACAGGCGCGTAACACACGGACAAGGTTGTTTTCCTTCAGTAATCGAGTGGTGGCAAAGGCCAGCGCCAAAGTAACCGCCAGGGGCAAACCTTCGGGTACAGCCACAACAATAATAGTCACGGCCACGATCAGGATGTCCAAGAAAGCGGAGGCCTTCTCTGAGCTAGAACGCGCGTCCGTTGAGAGGCCGCCGAGGAAACGAAATAGCAGGACGAAGAAGAGAAGACCAGCTGCTGTACTACCTAGTTTTGCGATAGCGACGGCGAGTCTTTCGAGTTTCTTCTGAAGAGGAGTTGCTTCGATATCTGTTCGGACAGACATCATGATCTTGCCGAAGCTGGAATGCACACCGACAGAAGTGCAGAGGAATGTGCCAACGCCTTCAAGCACCTTGGACCCTGAAATAATAAAGGGGTCGAGACCATTTTGATTGGCGCCTGATTCCAGTATTTCCATAACCTGCCCACCCGGTGTCTTTTTAATAGCGTCAGATTCACCCGTCGCTGA